CTAAGGTCACTGCCATCCAAAGCTTCATGTACCTATTTGGAGTCATGAAATATAGCCCTGTGGATAGTACTGCATATGGTTCACATTACATTTCTCTTGGGGATAGCTGGTCTGAAGAAACATGCTTCTGATGGGGCCAGTAAATGCATACCAGGAAGTAAATGCATACCAGGAATCAATTTCTTCTGTCCTCTTTTTACATACAGGTGAGTTTTCAGGGGTTTTTAGCACAGGTGGAAAAATCACAACACAAAGTCAGCATTGCACTCTCCCAAGACACCACCACAGTAGGGGCCCTCTAAGCAGCATTCTCAACCTGTAGGTCTTGACCCCCTTGTGGGTCAGAAGAATCTTTCACAGTGGTCACATAAGACCATCAGAAATATCAGATATTTATATTGTGATTCATAACAGCAAAATTACAGTTCTGAAGTAGCAATGAAAGTAATTTTATGGTTGGGTGTGGTCACAACATGAGGAACTATATGAAAGGGATGCAGCATTAGGAAGGTTGAGAACCACTGATCTAGAGTCTAGACATTCTCACAGCTTCTAACTACAGTGAAAGAGGAAGTTTTTTGTTTTTGAGACAGGGTCTTTCAATGTAGCCCTGGCTGTGGCTGTCCTAGAATGTACTATATAGACAAGGCTGGCCTGCAACTACCTCTGCCTCCACTATGCCTGGCTAGGGAGGAAGTTCTTAATTTCAATAGTTAAGTCTTTCTGGAGAATACATTTTCAGTACAAAGTGAAGTGACACAGCTTTAAGCCTGTTTTGACTAAACCTGTGGATGTTGGTTATCTAGTAGATAAGTGGATAAGTAAGGGTGGACAGAAGGGATAAGAGGTGATCCCAGAGGAAGACAGAAAAGCAGCATGGAAGCAAAGTGAGTTTAAGGAAGACTCCTAAAGTGAGCTCGCTCGCTCGCTCGCTCGCTCGCTCGCTCGCTCGATCTCTCTCTCTCTCTCTCTCTCTCTCTCTCTCTCTCTCTCTCTCTCTCTCTCTCTCTCTCTCTCTCTCTCTTTTAGTTTTGAGACAGAGTTTCTCTGTTTAATAGCCCTGGCTGTCCTGAAACTCACTTTGTAGACCAGGCTGGCATTGAACTCAAGAGATCCACCGGCCTCTGCCTCCTGAGTGCTCGGATTTGAGTAATATCTATTTCAAGTGGGAAATTCTGAGCCCTAGGATCTAATTACAATTGAATCTCACTTGCACAGTGCTGTACAGGAACTCAATGTACTTGCCTTTAGTCATCAGGTAAGACCTACCCTGAGTCTATGTGTCTCAGCCAAATGATTTGTTAACTAGGGCACTGCTATCCAACATGAAGTCACTGCTTACATATCTGATTGTGAAGGGGTGAATTGTAGCTGATGGGACTGAGGAACTAAGGTTCCATTTCAGTAAGCTCAGGTTGAACTACATATGGGCAGTGGCCACTATGCTGGCCAGTTTGTCTCAAGCCCATTACTTCAGGTGTGTGCAGACTAGCAGCACAGACACCACTGAGAGTTGGTTAGAAATGCAATCTCAAGTTCTAGCCAGACATCCCAGACTGTAGGAAATAATCTGCACTTTAAGATTGAAAATCTGGAAAGCAGCCACCTAGAGCAGGGGATCCAAATGCACTAAAGCCTGAAATTATATGAAAGTTTGCAAAAATGTCAATGTATAACTCTCTCTTCTCTGGAGGCAGTGTCTATAATTTTCCCTTATTAGATTTTCCAAAGTGTTAATAATCACAAACCAAAAACTTCTATCCTATGGGAATGTAGCACCATGAAATGAGAAAGGCAATTTCACTGAATAAAGAAAAAAGCTTTGTTATCCTTCACTATGTAAGCAAATTCTCTTTCCCTTACAGCTTTTACATTAATTAGCAACACAGTGTGTGTGTGTGTGTGTGTGTGTGTGTGTGTGTGTGTGTGTGTGTGTGTGTAGGTGGGAGGACAACTTATGGAGGGCAGTTCTTGCCTTCTACCATGTGGGTTCTGGGGATGGAACTCATGTTATCCATTTTGGCGGTAAGTGCCTTACCTTGCCAGCCCCACAGCTTGGGAGCTCCTCTGCTTGCCTCTCACTTCTGATGTCTGAAACAAGAAATGGTTCACTTTCCTGACCTGTTTTATTTTCATTTGAGACAAGGTCTCATCTAGCTTGGGCTGGCTTAGAACTCACTACATAGCCTAAGATAAGTTTGAACTTCTGATCTGCCTGCCTCTACCCTATACTACCCGGTTTTAAGTGGTGGTGGGAATGGAACCTGGGGCTTTTCTTCTTGCATGTTATCAAGACCCCTACACCTGAGCAACATCCTCAGCTCTCTCTTAACTAATTTTCATGTTTCAAAAAAGCACATACTAAATCTGGGTGTGGCAACACATGCCTATAATCCCAATACTTGTGAGGGAGTGCAGGAGGACTGAGATGAGTTCCAGTGTAACAAGGTTTTCGAGTAATATCCTGTCTCAGAAAAATAAATAAAAAGCACATACACAATCAGGCATGGTGGTAAACACCTGTTATTCTAGCACTTGCAAAGTTATGGCAGGAGGAAACTGTGTTTAAGAACAGCCTAGGACACAGGTTAGTGAGACCCTGTTTCAAAATACCAAGACAAAACAAAACCCCAAACCAGCATAGCCTGACACCCAGATCACATTTATGTGTAGCACTTGGAAAACTTACTTTGTTTAGTTTCTACATACAGGCTCCTTTTCATTCAAATTGGCCACACAATCTATTCCAATATAAATACTACATGTACTATTGCAGCTGATGCCAACTTATTGGTTGATTTAGGAATCAACCAGGTACTTTTTTTTTTTTTTTTTTTTTGAGCTGGGGTTTTGCTCACTATTTTACCTGGGCTGGTTCCAAACTCCTGGAATTAAGCAATCTCTTGCCTTAATCTCCGAGTACATGGAATACAAATATTCTCACCACATCTGCTAGGATTCTTTTTTTTTTTTTAACATTAGAGTAATGGTAATCAACCAGTTTTAAAACACTTGAATTAAATTTGCTCTTTGACAATTTGCTACACATATAAAATGCATCAATTACTCTCACTACCCCATAGACCAATCTCTGGTCACCCTTCCACTTCCTCCCGAGTCCTTTTCTCATTGTATGATTGGCTCTTGACAGATACAGCTGCTGTGATTGATGGTTGTAATGGCCATGCCATTTCCAGAAGATAGCATTTCGAAGACCTTCTCCCTCATCCTCTGGTTCTGATTCTTTCTGTCTCTCTTCTATAATGTTCCCTGAGCCTCAGAGAAGTAAGAACCAGATGTGTTTTTTTTTTTGTTTTTCGAGACAGGGTTTCTCTGTGTAGCTTTGCGCCTCTCCTGGAACTCATTTGGTAGCCCAGGCTGGCTTCAAACTCACAGAGATCCGCCTGGCTCTGCCTCCCGAGTGCTGGGATTAAAGGCGTGCGCCACCACTGCCCGGCTAGAACCAGATGTTTTGTTTCCTGTTTGTGTTTAGTAATGGCAACTACTATACTATAGTTGTCTGTAATATGAAACTATGAATAAAACATTTCATAGGAGCCAGGCATGGTAGGTAGCTCATGCCTGTAATTTTTTTTTTTTTTTCATGCCTGTAATCTTAGTGCTTGGGAAATCTGGCTAGGATTGTTGAGTTTAAGGTCAGACTTGGCTAATAGTGACTTCCAGGGTAACCTTGGCTAGAATTTGTTTATTTGAAAACCAAACCAAACCAAACCTCTAAGATTGACCAAATAAAAATTGCCATTTTCTTTTCTTTGTGAGAGACTCTCCCTATGTAGCCCTGGCTGGCCTGGAACTTGCTGGCCTCTAACTCACTGAGTTCTGCCTGTCTCTGCCTAGAGTGCTGGGATTAAAGGCGAGAGCCACCAAGTCCTGCCTCTTTGAAACACACTTACGCAGTTCTCAAGTGTAAACTTGGCCTCGGCCTCCCCAGTGCTGGCCAACAGGTGTGCCACCACACTCAGCTTTATTTACCTTACTTTTGCATTAGGAAATGGTTCCAGTTTGTAAATTTGCTTCAGAGAATCCTTTTCCTACTGTTAACATCGAGGGAAGTGTCCTGACTTCCATGCTAAGGTGATGGCTTATTTCACATCAAATCTCTAGAGCTAAACATTATGTTCTCGAGTCCCAAAATAGCTTGAAGAACCTGCCTCAAATCATTACTGTTTCTGTTGATGTTTAAAATGATACCTATACAGGGAGCCAGTGAGGTGGCTCAGTGGTAAAGGTGCCTGGTGCCAAGACTGATGACCTGAGACTCACATGATGGAAGGAGATAACCAACTCCTGCAATTATTCTCTGACATCCACATGTGTGCTGTGAGATGTGTACAAGAACACACAAATAGGCACACACAGAGAGACAATAAATAAAGTGTAATAAAAAATTATGTGTATACATACAATAAAATGTAATTTTAAAAAGACAAAGTGACATATACAAATTGGTGAAATTGGCTGATGTGACCAGGAAAATCAACTCCTCACACAGGGAGGGCTCAAAGTATTTCCCAGATGAGGACTGTAAGCTGAGCTTCTTTGTTTAAATGTCAATTTACATGTAGTACTGCATACACTTCCAACAGGAGACTAAGTCTTCTCATAAGTAACTGTTACTAGTTCTGTTTCTCACTCATTTGCAGTCTTAGCAGTGACACAGGCCAGTACAAAGAAAGAGTTAAATGCATTATTGGTTCTCACTTGTGCTTTCAGGGCCAGATCCAGGACACATGCCATTCATGCTCTGCTCTAAGCATTTCTTTACATTCCAGAAAGCACACCAGGAGGCCATGGAGTGATACTGTGGACTGGATAACTATGAACCCAGGCCATATCATCAGTCACCCCAGTGGATACAATTTCACATGATTCTCACATTGCATACTGTATCAAGACACTTCTATGTCACCTCTGCCAAGGACCCTTCACTCACTGAGTGCCTTGCTTTCCTTTAATGAGGGACAAGATTTTTACATGCATTCAGTTTTAGAATATTTATTTGATTTATTTACATAATTAGTAGAAAGGAGTTCTTAAAAATATTTGTTTCTAGAAATAATAGAAAATAAAATTAGTAGAGTCATGTTACACAACTTGGGAAAGGCATATCCATCCTTTCAGAGAAAGTTTTTTTTGCGGCGCCCATGATGGAAATGCTTGAGCAGCTGGTGACAGGTTAGCATAGAAGGAGCCCTTGTAAGTTTTCCACATTTTCTTTTTGATCACTGTTTACTTTTGAGTCCAGTGGAAAGAGTCCTGAAAGTAAAAGGCACCTAGAGCAAAATTAGACCTTTACCAATAAAAACTATGTACTTATATCAAGGAAAAGTTCACCTGAAAGACGCTGATACTATAAACAGGAAAGCCACTGCAAGCTAAGACATCTATAACTGCTTACTTGAATCCAACACACAGCTGCACCATGAAAACCATGTTGTGTTTATAAACCTTTGAACCAACATGAGTACAGTGTGTTAAGTATGTACTCTAATTTCCATAGTCAAGATCTGTTTGCTGCATTTGCTCTTGAGACGAATCACTGTGTATTCCCATCATGGACTTATAAAAATTCCCGGTGTTTGTACTTCAGGAGCGCAGCAAAGCCTAAAACTGCTCCTTTAAACCAAAGTCCCCTTTATTATTATAAAGCCAAAAAGCTGATGCTGTACTAAGATTTAAGCACCTAAAGTATATCCTGACCAATTTATATCTTCTGAGCTATAATTAGGATCCTCAGGATTTGTATATGTGTACAAACATTGTAAATTTCTTTAAGCTGATAAAAACTTTAAAAAATACAAATAATCTTTTACTATAAAAGTTTTAAAAATCAAATATGAGTCAGCAATTAAAAAAGAAAAGAACAGGAGGTCATCGAGCGGGTACTTGTCTGTGTCTCCTCTCTGAAGAATGCACTACTCATCGCAGCCAGTTTGTATTCAGCTGGGTCTGCTTCTTGATGCTGGTGTCCATTTTTAGCACTTCTCGAATGGCCATGGTGGCGTAAGTAGATGGAGGAAGAGAAAAGTCCATCTTCAGAGCCCTATATTTGCCTTCTACCAGGCAAGAAAGAAGTGCGTGGTCAAAGACTGAAAGTGGCTGCCGGCTGACCAGAGATCCCAAGACTCCCCCAAAGCTATACCCTTTCCTTAGGATTCTACTCCCCAAGGGTCCTCAGAGGATGAGACCATGGAAATGAGAGCACATGAGTGTATAAACCAGCTGGATGTATGTGGCAACTTTATTCAGGATAACAGAGCAGGTAGGGCTGGAAAGATGGCTCATCAAGTAAAGTACCTGCCACTGAGCCTGATGACTTGAATTTGATCCCTGGGACTCATCTGATCTCTTCAGTCCAGTGAAGAGCACCGGCTCCCACAAGTTCTCGGGTTCTCTCTCTGTCTCTGTCTCGCCCCCCCATCTCTCTCTCTCTCTCTCTCTCTCTCTCTCTCTCTCTCTCTCTCTCTCTCTCTCTCTCTCTCTCTCTCTCTCACACACACACACACACACACACACACACACACACACACACACACACACACACACACGAAAAACTCTTCACATCATGCTCATTTACCAGAAGCAAAAATTGGTGGTGGTTTTCCTTCTAGATTGTCCACATCCGTGTTGAAAAGTGGAATTTTAGGATCATTATATGCAACGACTTCCCTTCAAAATACATAAAGATAAGCATGAACGTGAACATTCACAAATGGCACAAAGCTCTTTATCCCCATTTGTGGAGCAAGAAAAACATAGTTTGACTAGTAAGCCTCCCCCAGAATAGAACAGGCCAGATTTTATGCATAACAACTGCTTTTCCCTTACTTTATAATAGATGACAAATGCTATCAGAGGGTGGAAATGACCTGGAAGGTTTCTCTAGCATGGTGGACTTCATTTTGTATGGGTGAAGTGCAAGTAACCATGGCATTTACATTCCCACCACAGTGGGCACCACTGCCATCACCTTCTTATGAGAGAAACTGCTCCCCAGAGCATGGAAGGTAAAATCCAACTCTACCAACTTCATGCCCATTACCAGGAAAAAAAAAGAAGAAAGGAGAATTTCCTGGCAATGGGCAACTAGTTCAGCATTTAATTTTAAAGTTAGAAAAGCTTCAGGAAATAAAAAATATCAAAGGTATCTTTTAAAATAGATACATATTTTAAATTCTAATTTTATTTTGTATGTATGAGTGCTTTGTCTGAATGTGTGTCTGTGCACCATGTGTGAGTGGATAGAAGAGGGTGTGGAGCCCCTGGAACTGGAGTTACAGAACTGCCATGTAGGTGCTGGGAACTGAACCCTGGTCCTCTAGAGGAGCAGTCAGTGCTCTTAACTGCTTAGTTATCTTTCTTTTTTTTTTTTTTTTTGGTTTTTCGAGACAGGGTTTCTCTGTGTAGCTTTGCGCCTCTCCTGGAACTCACTTGGTAGCCCAGGCTGGCCTCGAACTCACAGAGATCCGCCTGGCTCTGCCTCCCGAGTGCTGGGATTAAAGACGTGCGCCACCACCACCCGGCTTAGTTATCTTTCTAGCTCCAGAATCAAATGAAGTTTTACAGAGAAAGGTAAGAAAGTTCATTTTCTGTGTATCTGTTTAGTAAGTCAGGGATGCCAACAAAATATAAAAAGAAGTAACTTTCACTGCATGACTGCAGTCAACACTAAGTTCTTGATCACTTGAAAAATACCAACAGGTGGCAGTAGTGACAGCAGTGATTAGGACAGTCAACAGCTATGGAGCACTTACATGCTGGATTCTAAGCACAGAAACACACACACACACACAAAGCAAAACCTTGTGGTTCTATAAAATACTCCACTTCTGTATCCTCAGTCTATACTTACCAGCTGACATTCTGAGGCCGAATAATGATCTTTCGATAGGCACCTGATAAGGAGTAATCTCGAATTGTGTGTCTCATGTTGTCAATATCAAGATTGTCTGCAGTGAGCATTTCCCTGTAGGCTTCACTAACTGATACAAAACACAAACAGTTAATTGGAATGCAGTCTGTCAGCACGTAAACTTGAACTGTAGTAAAAATGGCATAACATGTAGGTCCAGTCAGACTGTCCTAATAAAGTTAGTTAACTATAACACCTCTGCGACTCAGCCACCAGGCCTAAAAGGTGCCGACCTCCAGCTTCAGTGCTGTCACCCTGTGGCTTTATTTTTGTAATCAGCTATGGGGCTTGTGGCATAAAGATCCCAAGCTAACTTCAAAAAACTTACATGAAGTTTCTAAATACAATTTATATATGGTGACTCTAAATGTTTAAAAACAGGAGACCCTAGAAACTATCTGGTTTACCTCAGCCCACAGGAGATGGCTCTCTAATGTTCCCTTATGTGTCATCTGTGGGGACTATTACACAAGCCACAATATTAGAAAGTTCCTCCCACTGCAAACAGGTTCTGTTTTCTTACAGGCTCTGTTGATGTAGATTAGCTGTCCTTACATACATCCATAAGCATTGGAGCTGTAAGTCCTTTCATGTGACTTTGGTTCTTTCAACTCTGTCTCCTCTGACATTTTTGGTTTTATCTGCCCCGGAGTAAGAGGATTCAAAAGGCACTCCAGATACTTTATTTTTGTTGTTGTTTTTCTATTTATTTATTTGAGAGAGGGTTTCCCTGTGTAGTCCTGACTGTCCTGGATCTAGCTCTGTAGACTTAGAAAACCACCTGCCTTTGCTTCCCTGAAGCCATGGGCCACGACACCCAGCCCAGATACTTTCTTTGTTAAAGACTTTTTCAGTTTATTAATTGTGTGTCAGTATGTGTTTGTATATGTGTGTGTGTGTGTGTGAGAGAGAGAGAGCGAGCGAGCAGAGCTGAGTGGGCACTGAGCACATGTGGAAGACAGGGTGCACATATGGAGGTCAGAGGACAACACTGTGGAGTTGGTCCTTTCCCTGACTTCACATGTGTTCTAGGGACCTAACACAGGTCGCCAAACTTGGGTGTCATACAGCAAGTGCATTGTTACCCATCTTGCTGGCTCTTAATGTTTTTTTTTCCTTTTTGGAGACAAGGTCTCACTATATACCCCTGGTTGGCCTCAAACTCACAGTGATCATACTAACTCTGCTTCCTGAGTGTTAGAATTAAAGGTGTGCGCCACCATGCACAGCCTTTGTGACCCTTGTATTTTATAAGCTACCATCGAACTAATTTTTCTTTTCATGATTAAAAAAAATTTTCATTTATATGTATGTATTTCATTTTATTTATGTATGTGTATCTGTGTGTAAGTAAGTATGTGTGTGTGTGGATACCTATTTTATGTATGTATGTGTATCTGTGTGTAAGTAAGTATGTGTGTGTGTGGATACCTATTTTATGTATGTATGTGTATCTGTGTGTAAGTATGTGTGTGTGTGGATACCTATTTTATGTATGTATGTGTACCTGTGTGTAAGTAAGTATGTGTGTGTGTGGATACCTATGATGGCCAAAAGGCACTGGGAACCCCCGGGGCTTAAGTTGCAGGCAGATCTATGGTGGGAACTGAACTCAGGTTGTCTGGAAGCGTAACAATCTTTCTTGACTACTGGGCCATCTCTCTAGAATGTTGCTATATAGCTCAGGTGTGGGAGCCCACAGAAGTTTCCTTGTGAGATCTGAGATCTGAGTTTGCCTGACACAGCAGAGCTGCATAAGGGGATGATGTGACCATGGGCAATGTTGCCAGGTGGTTGGAAGGGTCTGCACTTGGCTGTGCCTGGGAGAGGTTTTTTGCTCAGCCCCTTGGTATTCCTTTAAAAACCCTTTGACAGAGGCAATTAGAGCCCGATGGATAAGGACCTAGGTTCTCCCGAGGCTAGTCTATGTTTGTTTCTCTCTCTCTAGCTATATTTCTATCTAATATTTCCTGCTGCTTCTGCTCAAGAATACCCTATGGAAAAGTGGGGGTGAGATGGCCCCCCCCATCAGGAGCCTTTAATTAAAAAACTTCCTGCTTCAGCTTCAACAGTATTATGGCAATGGCATGTGTTACTGCCTGAACATCTGACTGCTCGGCATGTCTATGAGAATTTACATTCAATGCCGAAAGGTACTTCTTATTTTTTCTATTCCTAACATTAACTTCATCTTACATTATTTACAAATGTAAGACGATTTAGGAATATAGTCAATTCATTTCTTTATTCAAGTTAGTCATTAAAAATGCTGGAAATACAGGGACAAGGAAATAAGACAGCCTCATCCCCTAAGAAGTTCTTGGTACTAGATGTGCCCATGTTATAGGTCCAAATGCTTAACTCTTTTCTAGTAGTGTGTGTCCCTTCCAGGGCTACAGGGTTTCATGAATGGCTTTGTCAAATGCTCTGCTAAATTTACTTTTTCTTGGAACCAGTCAAGTTCCAGATACTGAGAGGAATAGGAAAGAAGAGCGGGAACATTCTTTTCTTTCTGTGATGGCTGATTGAGGCTATCAGCTTGACTTGGTGTACCAGTTAGTTTTTGTTAACTTGATACAAATTAGTGAGTCAACTGGGAGAAGGTAACCTCAACTAAGGAATTGCTTCCATCAGACTGGCCTGCGGTGTCTGCAGAAATCATATTCCTGATTTCTGGTTGATGTAGGAGGGTCTAGCCCATGGTGGGTAGTGCTGTACCTGGACAGGTGGTCCTAGGTTGTCTAAGGAAGGTAGCTGAGCAAGCCAGAGGAAGCAAGCCCATAGCAGCTTTCATCCACTTCCTCCATCTGCTCCTACTTGAATCCCCGTCCTGATTTCCCTCACTGATGGAGTGTGATGGGGTTGTGTGAGCCAAATACATCCTTTTCGCCCCAGGTTGCTTCTGGTCATGGTGCTTTATCAAATGAACAGAAACAAAACTAGGATACTTGGCTGGCAAACTGGTAACCATTTTTTTTTTCTCACGTTTCAGCTGAGCCTGTCCCACCACTATTGAAAGGAAAACCCAGGAGACTTTGTTTTTGATCAGACCAATTAACTGGGCCACCGTACTAGTGCTAGTAATGGTGGTTCTGGAAGAGCCTGGCATGTGAGTCAGAGGACTCAGTGGGCAAGACTCACTCTTAATGCAGACATGCCTTGAACAGAGCAAAAGGCAAAAGAGCTCCCTTTCCCTGAGACCTGGGACACTATTTTTCTCCTGTTCCTGGACTTCATGACTTGCACCAGCAGACCCTAGGTTCTTGTATGTCTAGCCCCAGACTGACAGATAGAACAATGGCTTCTCTGGTTCTCTAGCATGCAGATAGCTATAATCAAGTGAGCCAAGGCCTCCCATAAATATCTTTTCTTATCTCTATTTATGGTATCTGGTTCTAGGAGGTTCCTAATTAAAACAAGGGTTTGCATTTTTCTTTTTCTTAAAAGGACAATTTTATTAGAGTTTAAAAGAAAAACTCCAAAGAAGGCAAGCTGTAGATCTCAGCAGCTGTCCAGAGGAGGGAGATGGAGAAGAGGAATAGAGAAAGCCATGCCATGAGTCAGGCATGGAGGTCAGCCACATGGCAAAAACAAGGGGGGGGGGGGGGGATGCTCAGAGAAAGAATAAGGAAGCCCAAAGTATCAGAAAAAGCATACTTGTGCTCTGGCCTGCATCAAAAAGAAAAAGGAAAAGTTACACCTCAGAAAAAGGCAGAATCAACAGACCCTCACAGCAGCTGTGTGGCAACCATCAGTTTTAGCATCTTGAGACTTCTCCTTGGTTGCTGCCAAGGGAAGCAGACTACACTCTTCCGTGCCCACCTTTCCTTATTCTCTTGTTCCAGTCTACTCCCTTCTCTTCAATGAAGTCAGCCAGTATAGGTACCAGAAGAAGAGCAATGTGGATGACTTATTAGATTTCTATAAACCTGGCAAGATGTATCCAATCATCCAAGGACTTTAGTCCTAACCTTTTTGGTTTGTTTTGAGACAGCGTTTCTCTGTGTAGTCTTGGCTGTCTGGTTCTCAATCTGTAAACCAGGCTGGCCTTGAACTCATAGAGATCTGCCTGCCTCTGGTTCTAGAGTGTGGGGACTAAAGGGATTCATCACCACTGCTTGGCTTCCTAATCATTTTCTTTTCTTTTCTTTTTGGTTCTTTGAGACAGGGTTTCTCTGTGTAACAGCCTTGGCTGTCCTGGAATTCAGAGATTTGTCTGACTCTGCCTCCCAAGTGCTGGGATTATAGACTCGCACCACCACCACCCAGCTCCTAATCATTTTCTAACTTAAACAAATTCAAGGAATGTAATATTAGTATGTAGAACTCTGGCCCTTTAACCATGAAAAACGATTTTAACAGAAAAATACTATCCACAGGCCAGTGCTGGCTAAGTGTTGGGTCAGTTCTTTGAAACTGCTCAAAACCATTCAGAAATAATGACAAAAAGTCTGGAGAATGGGAAGTAATGCAGAGGATTCTAATTTCCTTTTCTCAGTTTGCCATCCAGCTTATAGGCTGAGGCAACCCTCCAATGATCACAGTCCATAACACTACAGTGGGATAGCTTCTAATTTAATTTATCCTCCTGAATACATTCCTTTCCAGGAGACCATCATGTGTGTGTGTGTGTGTGTGTGTGTGTGTGTGTGTGTGTGTGTGTGTGTGTGTATGTAATGTGTATATATGCATATATTATATGTGTGTGCACATACATATAATATATACATTACATAAATAATTAAAGTATATATGATATACTAATATTTATTTTTAATAAATTTATTTTAATATATTTGTTATACACACATATAAACTTTTATATAGGGCTCTCTATGTAGCCCTGGTGGCTTGGGAACTTGCTTATAGACCAGGCTAGACTTGAACTCACATAGATCTGTCAGCCTCTGCTGGGATTAGCCATCACACTCGGCTGTTTATAGGTTTTTGAAGGCTAAATCTCTATTAAAGAAAGCTTTAAGATTATGTTTCAAATACTGATTTTCCCCTGCTTCATTCTTGGCTACTGACAGCTTAATCATGTTACACTTGTTTTAAACAGTTGGCTCAAACATGGAACTTACTTTTATGTTTGGGGTAGATAACATCAAAACCAGGCAGGGGCATCACCACATCATGAATGGAGTAATTATTAACATCCTCTTCCTCAATGTAGGTGGCTGTGGCTGCAAAATCCCACAAGTAAATATCAGGTTAAGAAAAAGCATTGTTGGGGACTGGAGAGATGGCTCAGCGGTAAAGAGCATTGACTGCTCTTCCAGAGGTCATGAGTTCAGTTCCCAGTACCCACATGGCAGCTAACAACTGTCTGTAACTACAAGATCTGACACCCTCACACAGACATGCATACAGGCAGAACACCAATGCACATAAAATAAAAATAAGTAAGTTACTAAAAAAAAAAAAAAAAAAAAAAAAAAAGAAGGGGCTGGAGAGATGGCTCAGAGGTTAAGAGCACTGACTGTTCTTCCAGAGGTCCTGAGTTCAATTCCCAGCAACCACATGGTGGCTCATAACCATCTGTAATGAGATCTGGTGCCCTCTTCTGGCCTGCAGTCATACATGCTGTATAAATAATAAATAAATAAATCTTAAAAAAAAAAAAAAGAAAAAAAGAAAAAGCATTGTCATGAATTCAGGCTCGTAAGATTTTATATTTCTCAGTGAGTTGAAAGAACAAGATGTCCAGGTGCAAAGGCCCAGGAATCTTAGAATCCCTCCTTTTCTAATTAGCTGGAACCCTGAGCAGGTGCTAAATCTTGCACAAACCAGAATACTTACCAGTAGTACTGCAACAGAGCAATGCAGGCAAAGTGTCTAGTGTAAGACTGGAAACACAGTAAACATTTCATAGGACAGAATATTAGCATTTCTTTATTTTAAAATTATTTTATTATTTTGTGTGTATGGATGTTTTGCCTGCATGTATGTCTGTGCACCATGTGTGGGCAGTATCCCCAGAGGCCAGAAAAGGGTGTTGGATCCCCTGGAAATGCAGTTATAGACAGTTGTGAGCCACCATGTAAGTGCTGGGGATCGAACCTGGCTCCTCTGGAAGAACAGCTAGTGCTCTTTACAACTGAGTCATAGCTTTAGACCCACATTAACATTTCTTACGCTAACGTTTCAGACCATTTGATTATGTTCAGTAAAGTCAGCTCTGGTCTGGTGCTCTCCTGAAGAATCTCTTTAAAACTGCCTGATGACACAATGAAACGCTGAGACACATCCATAAATATAGATATTTTGAAGACCCATATTAACAATTGTAAAGGACTTTTAGCCAATACTGGCCCACAGTTTATTCTGCTACACTAGCTGGAGGCCCAGAATGGAGGCCCAGACTTAGCTGCTTACCCAAAACACATACTTTTTTTTTATTGGTGATAAAAACTATCAGCCTGAGTTCATGTGGCCTTTCCATCTCCCACTTACTACACATCTCTTTCTTAACTAGTAGCCATGCTGGATTTCTAAAACACTGCTATAAAATATCTGAGTCCTAATCTGGCTGAATGACAATGACCATTTTACCTCCTTTGAGAACAAGGTCCCCTGGGACAGGTTTCAGCCCGTAGTCTTCTATCCTTTTGCTCACCATGTTATTCCACACATAGCTTTGATAACTATGGATATACATTAAGCGATTATTTCTTGGTATCTGCAGAGAAGGGAGAAGTAGGTAAAGAAACAATTCTGAACATTTAAAGTGCCATTTTCCCAGATATTTTGCTCATTTAATGGTAATCCTAACACAAGAAACTCAGACTTCAAATCTGATTGTGGGGCTGGGATGCAGCTCGGTAGGAAGGTACTTCAAAGTGTCCTGTATTATACACACACATAGACTATGCTTGCCAATATGGTGTCCTTGATTAAAAACACACTAACAGGCAACTACTTAGCTACTTCCTGTTGAACTCTCTTCCTTAGGTAGTTTAAAGCTCCAATGAAGATGATGACCGAGAAATGACTGGACGATGGGGGTCAGACCAACGGCTCAGCAGGCAAAGGCACTTGTGCCAAGCCTGACTACCTGAGTTTGATCTCTGGGGACAGACATAACATAAAGAGAGAATGAACTCTCAAATGTCCTGATCCCTACCTGTGTGCTCAAGTACATGCATAGACACAAACACAAAATAAATTTTAAAAGAAGCGACTGTACATTGGCTTCTAAATTGGTCAAATCCCATTCAATTATATTAAATTCAATTGACAATTATATTTTCCATAGATACTTTCTTGAACCTCCAATGTTAATAAACACCACCAGCATTTCTCACACATCATCTTTCAGGGTCAGAATGAGGCATACTCAAGTAAATTCCTTTTAAGACTACTAAAGGATTCTTATTTGCTGTTGTTTCAAAAATTTTTCAGTTCATTTTTAAAAAGCATTAGCCACCTTGAGTCAGTTCCTGATTCACAAATTGCACTCACTATGCCAAATGCAGAGACTATATTCTTCATTCCATATTTTGAAAGTCCTCGAAGCAGCTGACCTTCCACACACCTTTTGACAGGTAGTTTTTTGAGGGCAGAGGCTGGATCTTTGGTCTTGGCCCATTCTTCTCTGCATTTCACCAAGTACCCCTTTTCAGCTGTAGGAACAGAAAAGCTACCATCAAACTTGTCCAACAGAAAAATGTGCATCACTTAACATGATTCATAGGGAACATAAAACTGGGAAAACATTCATGTGTAATAAAGAAGCTCACAGTCGCTCAAAAGCAAAAACATGGAACCCCCAAAGAGATTACTTCTCTTTGGCTCTGTAAACAGCAAGAGCTACTGTTCACCATCACCTCAGCTAAGGAGGTTTCACCTTCTCTTTGCCCCGTACTGTTTGCTTTAAAATGAAAAAGTTTTTTTTTTTTTTAGCTCAAATATGAACAGTTACCTAAAGTGAGTATAAATATAAATTTGACAATTTATAAACTATCAGTTAAATCCCCTTTTTACAGTATAGTTTTAGAGATATTTCCTGGAAAAAATTTAGTCATTATACTATGCTTTAGAAAAATGATCATACATATAAGTTTCCTATAAATTCAGAGAATTTGTAGTAACTGAAGAGAAATAAACTTATATTTAAACTTGCATGAATAAATTGGATGAATAAGGAGCAAGAATATAAAAGAAAAACCAAAACAAGAACTTTAAAACAACAACCTGCAGTTACTTTTACTTAAAGTGTTTCCATGAATATCTAGCTATACACCCTATGCATTTTATTTTAACACAAATTTTTTTCTCACCTCCAGAACGGGGCTTCAGTATTAAATCCATGACTTCTGTCCAGGAATTCTGCAGAATAGCTCTAGAATTAAAACAGTATTTACTTACTTAACCTTGCATAAGATAAGCTTTGTATGCTCAACTGTTGAGAAGGCAAGAAGAAACACTTATGAATTCACTAAATTTAAAAAGTATGTAGGAAAACTATGACACAGACTTCCGTGACCACTATCTGCCATAGAAAGCGTCTCTGAGGCTAGAAGGATGGTTCATTTACTAAGAGTGAGTAGTGCTCTTGCAGAGGACCTGAGTTTGGTTCCCAGCAACTCACAGCTGCCTGTAACTCCAGTGGATCTGCTGCCCTCTTCTGGCCTCTATGTGCATTATATTCAACATGCACAAACCCACAAGCAGATATACACTCTGCAGAAGACCTGGATTCAGTTTCTGAATGCCCAGTCATAAATGGGACATTATTTCATCTCCTCCAAAGAGCAGGGGCACCAGAAGAAAAGGGAGTGGAAAGAATGTAGAAGCTGGAGGATGGAGTGGGGAAGGAGCTGACTTCTGAGTATCACATGACTATTGCACTTTGAACTCACAGCAGCTGTGACTACTCACACAAGATTCCCAGAAAACTGGTCCTGTTAATACCCTGTCATAGAACGGAGGGCACATTTTCTTCAGTGATAAGTTGTCCATGCTTCTGTAAACAACTCTAATGGACCTCAATGGGACACATTTAGAATACATGTAAGTAAATGTGGAGAAAGCTGGGAAGAAGCAGGCAATTAGAGTGGGGAGGGGGGAACAATATGATTGAATATATACATATGAAAATAATGAAAACAATTAGAGTATGTAATTAATATATGCCAAGAAAAAACATTAAAAAAAGTTTGGATTGTCCCTTTGCTATGAGGTGTAAGAGTTTTTCATTTGTTTTTATATATTCTGGATCCATCTTCTGTTTAATTATATATTGAGATTTGGCATTTCCCCTTAGGAAACCTTATAGTGATACAGTAAATTCTATGAAGGTAGGGAATAGTCTGACATTGTGAAAATAAATTGTTTGGAACTCTGAACTAACTTGTATTGGTCTTTGGGCATATTATGCAACTTCTCTTTCTGAGTAAATCTGACACCACTTTACTGAGCAATTATTTGCAGTAATTTTCTTTGGGATACAAAACTATAGGGTAACATGGCTGTGCTTCTGCTAAGTTAATTAAAAATACATAGGCTGATAGAAACCTTCCTTAAATGTTCTGTGCCACAACAATCAGCATCTATATTATGCTAATCCGTATTTTCTATTGGTTACTGTAGTGGCTTTTCCTTCATCAGTGATGGTCTAGTCTAGGGCTTCATGTATGGAAGGTAAACACTCTATTAGCTGAGCCACATTCTAGCCCTAAACTTTCCTCTTGTTCTTGTTCTAAATTAGCAGATCATTCTATGCTGCTGGCCTGGTCTTTCACAGTCCTAATCAGCTGCCCAGGACTGGACTCCACTGTGCCTGTCTGGCCTTAATTTAGAAAGATTTCTATTTATTAATTACTTAGTATATTTTAAGCATAGAAATAGGTGCTGCATAAACACCATCTTCATTCTCAGCCTTCTGTGAAGTTGGTATTAGTTCCACTTTACAGAGGAGTAGTTTGAGGCTCAGAACTCAAGCCTCACTTTACAATACTGCCTGAGAGAGGCACAGGAGCTGCCACACAGCAGACCAATCCCTCGGTCCTTGTAAAATCATATAAGCAAATACAACTTGATACTGAAAAGCTGGATGAGAGAAAACTCTTGTGTCAACTATTTAATTAGTGTGCTTGGGAGCCCTCCTGAAGCGCAACCTCTGTACTTGCTGAAACAGAAGGAAGAACAAGTGTTCTTAGATAGCATTCAGTGAAGCTACCATCACTCTAACTTCCATATAATTAGTTACTTTATGTGGCAATCCCTTCTGGACAGCTGGATTCCCAAAGTATGTTTACAAAACCAATCTCATTTATTGGTGAGACCTACTGTAATAATTTTTACTCTGGAGGGCTTTCCAATTACCTAAGTGTGAACCAAGCTCTTAAATTCTACATTACTAATGGTATCTTCTAGGGTTTTCTTGAAAGGGTGGGGGCAGGGCAGATGAAAAATTAATCAACTGGAACTTGTGTGTTGAGAGATCATAGTGTGCATGCCTTGGGTCTGGGTACTCTGGGCCTGTGTTACCCAGCTTTTTATGGCTGGCCACTTACCTGCTGAAAAGTAAAAGAGATGCCAGGAGTGGTGGCGCACTCCTTTAGTCCCAGCACTTAGGAGGCAGAGGCAAGCTGATCTCTGAGTTTGAGGTCAGTCTGGTATACAGAGTGAGTTCTAGGACAGCAGGGACTACACAGAGAAACCCAGTCTCAAAAAATCAAAAAGAAAAACAAACAACTCCCCCCCAAAAAAACCTAAAAGAGACCCTTCCCAGAAGGGCAGTGAGGAATGGGAGGTTAAATTTAATATTTAGGTCACATCTTCAACTGTGTGTTATATATGTGTTATATACGTGCCTCTAGAGGCTAGAGACCTTCCTCAGTGGCTCTCCACCTTATTTTTTCAGACCATTTTTCACTGACTAGGCTAGTCTCATTGGCCAGAGAGATCGAGGGATCCACTTGTCTCTACCTGTGTGTTCTATCACACCCGCTTCTGTGCAGTGCTGGGGATCTGAACCTACGACCTCATGCTTGTGTAGTAAGCACTTTACTGAGTTGCCTGTCTCTCCAGACCTCATTTCTTTCTTTCTTCCTCTTTTTTTTTTTTAAAGAAAACACACTGTTACACTGTTGTGTGCATTAACTGAAATAGAATAAATCTTACAAAGAGCCTATGGATCAGCTGTTCATTTGCCCTAAACATGACAGAATCCTGAAAGAATCAACATACCATTAACAAAAATTTTATTTCTTTTATGAGAGGTATCCTTTAGATAGAAATTACAAAATTAAATACAAACCTTTCAATTAACAAAAACTTTTTGAGTCGTCTTCTATATAAATCATCAAAGTACTCCATAGGCAGAGGCAGGCAGACAGATCTCTGTAAGTTCAAGGCCAGCCTGGTCTACACAGTGAGTTCCAAGACACCCAGAGCTACATACTGAGATAATGTCTCAAAAAACAAGACAAAACAAAACAAAACAAAACAAAACTCCAAAAAATAAAAAGATAAAAGTTAGAAAATCAAATACATACCTTCCAACTTGGTACGTAGGGACAGCTGTGGTCCCAAATCTTTGCATGCCATAGTAGTTAATGAAGCCAGTCTCCTTCAGAGATTGCATGGCCTGCTGTACTTGCTCATCAGTTCCTGTTATATTCCTGCAAGGACCCAAATTATTCAGAGGAAAAAAATAGACAGTCAAACTCATTTTATGATGCACACCTAACAGTGGCTTCTGTATCTTACCTTTGCAATCTTTTCTATGCCTCCTGAGGACTCTGCTGATTTGTTAATCAGCTTTTTTTTTTTTTTTTGAGATAGGGTCTCTCAGTGTAGTCCTGGCTGTCCTGAAACTTGTGTTGTCGACCAGACTGGCCTTGAACTCAGAGAAATTCCCCTGCCCCTGTGCATGAACCACCACTGACCAGCTCATTTTAATCAGTTTTTTTTTTTTTTTTGGTTTTTCGAGACAGGGTTTCTCTGTGCAGCTTTGCGCCTTTCCTGGGACTCACTTGGTAGCCCAGGCTGGCCTCGAACTCACAGAGATCCGCCTGGCTCTGCCTCCCGAGTGCTGGGATTAAAGGCGTGCGCCACCACCGCCCGGCCCATTTTAATCAGTTTTAAGTGCAAATTATTGTAAGATGGAGCACATGTGCAATGTGGTGCGGCTTCTCGCACTATGTAGTCCCCAAACTTGTCCACTTCCCCCAATGAAATGTATTTATTATTCTGCATGTCTTGCTATATAGCCCCTGGCCAGTCTGCAAACCATGTAATCCAGGTTTACCTTGAAGGAGTCATGTGATCTTCTGCCTTTGCCTCTGAGTCTGGGATTACAGGCATATGCAACTATGCTTGATCCCAAACTGAAACTTATGCCAACAAATAACTCTCTCCCAAAGTAACCTAATCTTTCTCTGAATGTGTCCATTCTAGGCACCTCATAAGAATTAGGCTGGGCGGTGGTGGTGCACACCTTTAATCCCAGCACTCAGGAGGCAGAGCCAGGTGGATCTTTGTGAGTTCAAGGCCAGCCTGGTCTACAAAGTGAGTTCCAGGAAAGGCACAAAACTACACAGAGAAACCCTGTCTTGGAAAACGGGGGGGTGGGGGGGTGGGGGTGGTGGTGGTGGGGGGGGGGTGGTGGTGGTGGTGGTGGTGGTGGTGGTGGGGGGTGGGGTGGGGTGGGGGTGGGGGTGTATGATTAAATCACAGGCTCTTTATCTTTCAAAACTGGATCTGAAGAACAGTGTTTCTGAAGGCTATAGGAAGCTTTTGAGGGAGGGATAAAGACCATTTATCAGGAGAAATGCTACACAGTATTTGTTCCCCGCTCCTACAGTCCTTGTTCTCCCAGCCAGCCCTTCCATCTATACCAGCTATCCTCTACCCTATCAACACATATAGAAACAGACCATGGAGACCCAGATAGACAGCCCCAGGTCTCCTATCTGTACTCCTACCTGCAGTACTTTACCTGAGAACAACAGTGAAGTGATTTCCTTGAAGCTCTCCCAATTTCAGAGGAGTTTTCTGATAGCTGAAATTACCCAACTTGAAGTTCATCAAGCACTTATTCAGGTGGGCGAGTCTTTGTGCACTTATTCTTTAAAGAAAACAGGAGCAGAGAAAGGATCGTGAGATCCTGCAGAAAACAAGGGCACACCAAGGCTGTGACCATTAGAAAGACTGCAGAAGGTAACAAGGTGCACTTGTCCTTCCCCCTTGAATTACTCTTGTGCATAACAGTACTGGAACAATGGGGCTTAAACACCAATGGAAACATAAGATGTACAGGATGCTACTTTCTGTGCACAGAGGGTAACAAAGGGGATGGTGGCAGACAGCAATCCCACAGGACTGTAGAGAGTGGTCTCTAACATTTAAGAAAAGATTAGCCATAATTGGGCCAGTAAGAAAAATATTGTAAACTCATAACTAAAAGACAACCTTAGAAAACACAAAAATAATAAGAAAGAAAATTAATTGGTTCATCCCTTGAAAAAAGTATTAGGTCTCTGTATTTCCTCATTCTTTTAAAAAACACATTGAAGATGTGTATAGCTAGAATCATACAAACCTGTGTCCTGCTATCATTGTACACAAGTGTTCCCATGCTGTTACGATTGTTTCATTAGAAAGTGTTTGTCTTCCTCAACAGGAAATCTATGTAGAAAAGCAAATACTATACTGAAAAGTCTTTGCTCTTTCTTTATCCCCATAACTCTCCCCACTTGCAGTTGATGTTAACACTTTCTTTCTTTTTAAATATTTATTTTTAATTATGTGTAAGTGTGTTTGTATGTGTAAATAAATGCAGGTACTCCTGAGGGCAGAGTCATTGGATCTCCCTAGAGCCAGAGTTACAGGAGATCAAAAATTACCCAATGTGGGTGCTGGCAATCAAACTCAGGTCCACTGCAAGAGCAGTATACATTCTTTACTGCTGAACTGTCTCTCTAGCCTCTTGGCCTGGAAAGTTTTGAAGTAAGATTGAGATTAATACAACTCTCTCAAGAAAAGATGTTCATTTCAGAAGGTTTCATGTTAAGGGGCTGTTCTTGATATATTAAAATTTTGAAAATGCTCATTTTTATTTTTATTTTGAAAATATATAAGGGAGGCTGGAGTGATGGTTCAGCATGTAAGAGCACTTGCTGTTCTTACAGAGGACCTGGGTTTGATTCCCAGCATCCACATGGTGTTTTATAACCACCTGTAACTCTCATTCTATATCTGAAGCTCTCTTCTGACATCCACAGGCACCAAACCTGCACATGGTGCATATGTAGGCAAAATACTCATACATAAAACAAGATGAATCTAAGCAAACAAATAAACAAAACCCCCCAAAATCCTGTAAAGGCCATAGAGAGGCCATCCTGGTCTATACAGCCAGTCCTGGTCAGCCAAGGTTACATAGTGAGATCCTCCCTAAAGACAAATAAACAACATCCAAAACCAAAAAGATACTTTCCAAAGTACAATATAAAGATCAAAGGTACTTGCCAGTGTTCTCACCCCCACCCCCCAATGCCAGTCACTTTATATTTTCACCTTGAATGCTTCCATATGTATCTTTGGATTTTCTTGAATACAAGATGAACTTTAGGTCCCTTTTTTCTACCATCTGGGCTCCAAGAATCCAATTTATTTATTTAACTATTAATTGTCTTTAAGATTCTCTCTAATTTGGGTCATGAACTAGTTGTTTTCAATTTTCAATTATTAGAAACAATGCCATGGGCTGGAGAGATGGCTCAGCGGTTAAGTGGTTAAGATGGCTGCTCTTCCAGAGGTCCAGAGTTCAATTCCCAGCAACCTCACGGTGGCTCACAACCATCTACAATGAGACCTGGTGCAGCAGACAGAACATTGTATACATAATAAATCTAAAAAAAAAAAAAAAAAAAGAAAGAAAGAAAGAAAGAAAAAAGAAACAATGCCACATAACACATCACGGTGCCTAAGAATATGGTTTTAATTTTTCCTATGTCCATGTTTCCTTTGAAAAGACAGCTACTTTGTCCTGTAGCAAAGGCAAGGTGTTGAGGTTGGCTTGAGTCTGCCAGTGGCTTCCAGTATATTTACGTTTATGTGTACATATTGTATATTTATGTGTACATGTGTGTACATGTGTATATTTATGTCTATGAATATAGGGCTGGGGAGGTCTAGGTGTGGACCTCAGCAACTGAGAGGCTGAATTCTGTCCCAAAGTTCTAAATCATGGAACTGTTCTACAGGCCTCTCAAGTCCTATCACATGGGGAAAACTAATTGGGCAATCTTGGTCTACACACACACACACACACACACACACACACACACACACAAGTGAAGCTATGTAAATTTTTAGAATTCACCTATATAGAGCCAGAGACACAGCTCAGCAATTAAGAGCACTTGTTGCTCTTCCACAACCTGAGTTTGTTTCTCAGTACCCACACTAGGCTGCAACTCTCTGGGCAGTGGTGGCGCACGCCTTTAATCCCAGCACTCAGGAGGCAGAGCGAGGAGGATCTTTGTGAGTTCAAGGCCAGTCTTGTCTACAGAGTGAGATCCAGGACAGGCACCAAAACTACACGGAGATACTCTGTCTCAAAAAACAAAAAAAACCCCTATGGTGATTTTTTTTTTTTTTTTTTTTTTTTTTTGGTTTTTTCGAGACAGGGTTTCTCTGTGTAGCTTTGCGCCTTTCCTGGAACTCGCTTTGGAGACCAGGCTGGCCTCGAACTCACAGAGATCCGCCTGGCTCTGCCTCCCGAGTGCTGGGATTAAAGGCGTGCGCCGCCGCCGCCGCCGCCGCCGCCGCCGCCGCCGCCGCCGCCGCCGCCGCCGCCGCCGCCGCCGCCGCCGCCACCGCCACCACCACCGCCCGGCCCTATGGTGAGATTTTATTTGTACTGAAATGTGATTTTATTTGTAGCCATAGCAGAAGCTGGGCGGTGGTGGCACACACCTTTAATCCCAGCACTTGGGAAGCAGAGCTAGGCAGATCTCTGTGTGTTCAAAGATACAGCCAGCATGGGGACACACGCCTTTAATCTCAATACCAACCATAGAAGACCTGGAGGTCTGTACAGACAGGCAGTGACGAGGAGGTCATGCGGTTGGGTTTACAACCAATGAGAAGGCAGAACAGAAAGTCAATGAAAAGGACAAACACACAGGAAGTAGGTCTCTTGCTGAGAGGAGAGATAGCAGCGGCAGTGAAGGGTAAGAAAGGGTTTTTAGCTCTTAGCTATTGCTCTGACCTCTTGGGCTTTTAACTCTGCAATTGGTTCTGTGTTTCTTATTTAATAAGATGGTTACATCTACAAACCTCCAAAACCAAAAAAACCCTTCTAGCTCTAGGGAATCTGACGCCATCTTCTGGCCTCTGAAGGTATCCCCACACAGGCACACACACAATTAAAAATAAAACTTTATTTCACCTTGGGCTAGAGAGATGGCTCAATGGTTAAGAGCACTTGTTTGATGCTCTTAACCATTGTAGAGGACTCAGGTTTGATTCTCAACACCCACATAGTGGCTCAAAACCATCCATAACTTCAGTTCCAGAAGATTTGACCCCTCTTCTGACTTCCACAGGTACCAGGTATGCATATAGTGCACATACACAGAAGCTGATAAAACATTCATGCACATAAAAATAAAACACATTTTTTTTTAAAAAAAAATCACCTATATAACATCTGAGTTCCTGGAATTCTTTTTATTTCATTGCTGGGAATTGAGCTACGGCTTCATACATGCCAGACAAGCATTCTACCCTTAAGCTGTTCTTAGCTCTCCTGAAATTCTTTTCTTTTTCTTTTTCTTTTTCGAGACAGGGTTTCTTTGTGTAACAGCCCTGGCTGTCGTGGAACTCGCTCTGTAGACCAGGCTGGTCTTGAACTCACAGAGATCCCTCTGCCTTTGCTTCGTAGTACTGGGATTAAAGGCATGTGCTACCACCATCCTGCTCTCCTGAAATTCTTAATACTCTCTGAAGACAACCAACCCCTTGATGTACTCGACATCAGCCTGTTTATTTCATTTCATTTGTAAGGAAGCAGAATGACAAGCTTTTCATTGCTTAACACCCTCTTCCACTTTTGGTTAGTGCTGGGTACTAACCCCAGGGCTTCACACCTCCAGCCTTACTAAGTTAAAAAAAAAAAAAGTTGCCACTCCATTAATAGAAAAGGTAGAAGACAGCCATCAAAGTCAGGAAATTAATAAAACTTGTACACCCAGTTCTCCTATTTCCTGTGCCTGCATAGGACCTCATATAAACCAGGGCCACCTCAAGCAGGGGAGCAGGTGTGTTCCAGCAGCTAAGTCACAGCAGGCCCAGCAGAAAAAGGCCCTTGAATTGAGATGTAGAGGGAGAATGTTGAAAGTCAAAGGCATATATCACAAAGACTCCAAAAAAGCACATGGTCAGCATAAGTAGTGAGGACCAGCCGATGGAGCTCTTTAGTCAGTAGACACTCCTAGAGAAAGTGACAGTATTTCAGAGACAGGAGCAAAATAAAAAGTAAAATAAAAGTAAGCAAAAGCAAAAGACAGGAGCAAAAAAGAACTAAGTTGTCAGCCTGGCTGACCTGGCGACCTCTGGAGACTGCTTCTTGTTAGTGCCAGAAAAGAGCCTGACTTTTCTGTCCTTTTCTGTCTCTCTCCTTCCTTCCTTCCTTCCTTCCTTCCTTCCTTCCTTCCTTCCTTCCTTCCTTCCTTCCTTCCCTCCCTCCCTCCCTCCCTCCCTCCCTCCCTCCCTCCCTCCCTCCCTCCCTCCCTCCCTCCCTCCCTCCCCTCCCTCCTTCCTTCCTTCCTTCCTTCCTTCCTTCCTTGCTGGTCTCATAGAAATCTGACTGCCTTGCCTCCCGAGCATGTGTTCCTGTGTGTGTGTGTGTGTGTGTGTATGCTGGGGGGAAGAGGGGAAAGATTAAAGGTGAGTGCCAGGCCTTCTCCTTCTTTAAAAACATAAAATTCATCATTTTATCTGTTTTCAGGGTTTTTAGTATATACTTACAATGTGTGCAGTGTGTCTCCATCACCTGAAAAAAGAAACCTCATCCACTCAGCACTGACTCCATGTCCTCTAGCCTTCCCTGTAGTCCCTGTAATTTTACTGTACTTTTTGTTTACATATTTCCCCATTTTGAACATTTCATGTAAATAAAAAAGAAATCAAATAGTGATTTTTTTTAATGCCCAACTACTTAGTGTAATTTTTCTTTTCTTTTTTTTAATGTCAGGGTCTCCCTGTGTAGCCCAGATTGGCTTCAAATTTGCTATTCTCCTGTTTCAATCTATAGAGTGTTAGGATTACTGGCCTGTGCCAGTATGCCCAACAATGCAACACTCTTAAGGCTTATTATGCTAAGATATACTGGTATTTCACTTTTTTTATATTGAATAATCTCTTCCCTGAATACACAATGGATAGCCATTTCTGCATCCATCCAGCAAAAGCCCAGAGCTACATTTAGTTCTTGAAGGTGAAGGTGCTCATTGGCAATACTGTTCACCAATTTTGATGACTGCAGATCAAGTACTTTTGGTTGTAAATTCATGTGACAATCTTGTTTTTAAGCAATAAGGGCCAACAAACCAACCTGCTACACAGAAGCCTTTAAAAACAAAGTCAGAGAAATCCTGGCCCAAGCTCAGACAGGAGACTGGCAGGAACAGGCAGGAAAAGAAGCAAGTCCTTCTGAATGAGACAGTTTGGGATCCTGTTGAAATGACCAAGTAGCTCAGAGTTGCAAGAAGCTGAACAGAAATGCTGCTTATCCCAGGACTGATCAACCCAGCAATAATTAAAATCCCTGTGTGGCAGAATGGATTTATCCTGTCCACCAATTCTCACAGGAAAGGCCAATCTGCCTACCACACGGATCCATTAAGCAAACGAAGGGTGTAGTCTGTATCCAAGAGGTAAGTGCAAAGTGCTTTCAAAAGGGCAGCATTGAGATGGTCTGCTGCAGTTCCTCAAAGTCAACAGGAAAATGAGAACAAGGTCTGAGGGCAGAGCAGTATCCTGGTCAAGCCTGACCCCTGCTGGCTGATGAAGTGCCTCAGGTTTTAAATTATGTTTTTAACCCAAAATGTTTTTAACCCTCAAATTAGCACACACACCCCAAGTTCAAAACAAAGCAACATCTTCACACCCCCCCAGTAAACGTGATGGAGAGGTACCCTATGACAATGTGCCACTGCCTCAGGCCAAGGAAGAGAAGGACTGGAATTCAGCCAGTTGTAACATGGTCCTCAACATAAGCTGTGTGTCCTTCAGCATCTGTATCCTGCCCTCCTCAGCCACTCTCTTTCCTTGCCTTCCTTTTCCCTTTCTCCTTTCCTCCCTCTCCTCCTTCCTTAATAAGTCTTAATCTACTTTTATTGTGTTTGTCCTGTCTTTTTCCCTTTTTAAGTTTAGCATACAAAGTGATTGAGTTTCCTTATATCATTTTCATACATATGTATTGTTTTATTTTGTTTTCATTCATCCCTTCCACCTTCTCTCCTGCCCCATTCTTGATGATTCCAAATCTTCTCAAAAACAGTCCCCATCAAAAAACAAAACCAAAAACAGTCCCCATCTTTTGCCATACATATTCCTTTACACTCTTTTTTTCTCTCTTCCCTCTTGAGATCTCTTCTTCCCCTCCCATGACACCCCCCCACCACCACCAATACACTTAAAACCGAGTCTGCATATGGGGGAGGGGTGTAGTACTTGTCTTTCTGAGTCTCAGTGGTTTTGCTTAACCTAATGCTCTTCTGTAGTATCTATTTACCAAAAAAAATAACAAATGCCCCAGAAATTTGTCTTTCTTATATGGATGTTATGCTATCTCTTCTGTATGATTCCAATTTCAGCATATATGCCGCTGAAGTGAGTACAAAGAAAGCTTTATTTCTTGCTACATGCCCACAAAACTGCTTACCAGGTAGTAAATGTGTTGTGTTTCATAAGTCCTTCTAATATCTCCATAAGCTATTTCATTGGTTTGGAAATAACAACTTAAGTCCTCCCAGGCCGCAAGAAACATTTCATCCTTCTAGAATCAAGGCCATTAGTTCTCTACCAGAGGCAACACTGCCCTGGTACATCTGACAAGTCTGGAGATGGTTTTAATTTTCACAACTGTATGAGCAGCAGGGACTTATTACGAGCTTGTTGTATGGAAAGGACAGGGATCAGGGAGGCTGCTAAATATCTTATAATGAACAGGACCAGTTACCACAACAGAGACTTTCCCAGGTGAAAAAGCACATAGTGCAGAGATGAGATGCCCTCATTTATATTAAAACCATAGCATCCTATTATCTGTTCTAACTTTCCCTGACTGCCTTTATAGTAAGTCCCAGGTTTACAGTCAAGACTCACTAAGGCATACCCCTAGTTCAGTTCTCATCTCACTCTAGCAGGGTTCTACTTATCTGTCTGTCCTGTTCTATTACTTTTTCAAAAGCAGAGACCATCTTTTTCATCTGCATGTCTGTTATAAACAAAATATCTTATTCACTGTTTTGTACGTGAATATTAAAGAATACATGTTGATATTTAATAAACAAGAGAGAAAGGTGCACTTATTCTCTCTTTTTTAAATGTGCACTAGTGTTTTGCTTGCATGTATGTCTGTGTGAGGATGTCAGGTCCCCTGGAACTGGAGTTACAGACAGTTGTGAGTTGCCATGTGAGTGCTGGGAATTGAATCCAGGTTCTCTGGAACAGAAGCCAGTGCTCTTAATCACTGAGCCATCTCTCCAGCCCCAGCGCACTTATTCTTTTGGCTATATCACAAACAGCTTTTTAAAATTACTCAGAAAATACACGTTTGAAAAGATTAAGAAACAGAGATTCATGGTGAAAAAATGAAGTAGAAAAATAATATTTACAAAAATGTAGAAGCTGGGCTGGCAAGATGACTCAGCAGAAAGAGGCATCTGCTGCCAGCCTGAGTCCAGTCCAAGGGACCCACACAGTGTAGGAGAGAACTTACTGTCTCCATTTGTACTTTGACCTCCACTAACGTGCTGTGGTGTGTGTATAGATATGTACATACACACACATACAAAATAATACATAAATAAATAAATGCAATAAAGATGTCTAAAAAATTTTTAAGGCAGAGACATCGTATACAATTGAAAGCAGTAAATTTTGTAAAGCAAGCCTGAGGCTCTGAAGGTGTGCGAGGACCTCTGCAGTGTCAATCTGGGGAGGAGCTCTACTTACTTGAGGACAGCAATCTCCTGCACTGTGATGGCCCTTTTGTCTTTGGTTCCCATATATGAGAATATGTTTGGTTTTACCCTGGTGAGACAGAAACAAAGTATTCTGAAATTAACATACGTTAACCAAAGCACATTCCTAATAACTTGTTTCAAAATACATGTACTAACATACTAGGAGAATAAGGAGAAACTTTAATTAAGATTTTATTGAGGAAAATTTAAATGAACATGCAAATTAAAGCAGCAAAAGCTGCCTTCTTAGCAGGGCTTGATTTCAAGCCTTGGTGGCTGTCAAGGAATCACTTGGTTTTCAGACTTGGCTAACCAGTAACAAAAAACAAAAGCTACACACTTCTACAGTCAGAAACAATTTGTTAAGTTACATAAAACTGTGACAATAAATGGGAAAATATTCTAGAGATACAATGTAGCGCTCTGAACATTTCCTATCTTTAGTTTTCAAGAAGTCACAGTAATGTGATTTTGACCTTAAATATATCTATAACTCTGCATTAAAAAAAAAAAAAGCCAAATGCTAAAACAGGGATCTGGATAGCTCTTTTTTTTTCTTGTGTTTTTAAGACAGGGTTTCTCTGTGTAACCCTGGTGTCCTAGAACTCGATCTGTAGACCAGGCTGGACTCAAACTTACAGAGGTCCACCTGCCTCTGCCTCCCAAGTGCTGGCATTAAAGGTGTGTGCCACCCCAACCCAGCTGGTTAGATAGTTCTGATATAAAAATATACAAAGTTCCATAGAAGAATATTTACATAGTTCCAGAAATCCCAACTGTACATCCCAGAGGAACCATGTCCACCTGTCAACATCCTTAGGAGGACTATCTAGTCTCCTGAAAATGAAGCATGGTCAAGATACCATAGACTCTTTTTTTTCTGGAAGTTAGTAAAAAAAGTGAAATCATATTTAATTAGGTGTGGTATTCAGGGCTAACCTGTGTTTTCCTCAAACTCCTAAGTAGAAGCCTTGACTCCCAGCATCTCATGACTCCCAGCATCTCATAATATAATATTTGGAAACAAGGCCTTTAAAGAGATGACCAGGTTAGAATGTAGCTTCTTGGTGGACTCTTCATAGGGAGTTCCAGGAAAGACAGGGCTAGAGACCCTGTCTGAAAAACAAAGAAACAAAAAGAAAAAAGAAAACAAAAGAAAATAAACTACGGCTGGAGAGATGGCTCAGAGGTTAAGAGCACTGGCTACTCTTCCAAAGGTCCTGAGTTCAATTCCCAGCAACTACATGGTGGCTCACAACCATCTGTAATGAGATCTGGTGCCCTCTTCTGGCCTGCAGGGATGTGTGCAGGGAGAACACTGTGTTCATAAAAAAATAAATAAATCTTTAAAAAAAAAAAAAGAAAAGAAACTGCATATTCTGATCTTGGAACTTCCAGGCTACAGAACTAGGAAAGAATTATTACTTTTGCTACTTAGGTCATTTAGTGGTGTTTTGTTTTGCTCATCTGGAAAACATATACACTGTATAACCATGTTTAAACTGAGTTAAATTTCCATAGAATACAAATTTTCTGTGGTATCCACAGACATTTCTTTTCAAAATTTATTTTTTTTAATTTTATGTGTATGAGTGTTTGCTTGCATATATTTATATATGTACCACAAGCATACCTCGTGCCCCTGGAGACCAGAAAAAGGTGTCAGATCCCTTGGAACTAGAGGAAATCTGGATGCTATAGAAGAGCAACCAGTGGTCTTAACTGCTGAGTCATCTCTTCCTATCTACTAAAACCACAAACACAAAAAAATCATGGCATTCACCTACCCTCCGAACCTACGATCTTTGCTGTATTTTCATCCCTTTGCTCAAATTTCATTTTTCCCTGGCTGTACTGGGAACTCTTAATTGTATGTGAATTATTTATTACCCTGTCTTGAATTATTAGCATGGGGGTAAAAAGTTTTTTGATCTATTTCCCACAAACATTCCCATTAGGAAGCACATTTGGCACTTGCTGATCTCTGATTCCTGCTTTTTTCCCCACTGGCATAGAAAGAGAGAACACATTCCTATTTTACTGATTTTGTGTAAGAACAAGAATGAGACACTAACCGTAAATATTTGGACAATACATTGATGGCATCCATGGTGTCTTTGTTTTCCTTGTATAGAACAAAGTGGCAGTAGCTTCCCCGAGATTTTGGCCAAGAATGTTTTCTTGGATCTTAAAAACAAAAAATTTAAATGTCATATATACCATAGTAAATTAAAAAAAAAAAGAAAAGAAACTCTATGGAGATCATTTTTTAAATATAGAACCATTCAGTGGCCAATCAGATGCAGCCTAACAGGAAGCATAAATAGCTGTATGAGTCATACATACTAAACTTTCTGTAACTGGATACTAAAACACTATCTGTCTACATTTAAAATCAAAAACAAAGTGTAAGTGGTATAGAAAATGAGTAGGACTAAGCAGCCATCTTCCTTCAGCAGATACATGGAACCCACAGTGCTGTGAGGGTTACTGGATCAGCACACATCAGGACCAAGGGGCCCTATAGCTACATTCAAGAGGAAAGAACTGTTACAACAGACCCTATCATTCACACATTGTAGCACAGATGGAGACAGGGTTTGTAAGGACTTGTTTTAATGACTTTGTAAATTTCCCAAAGGCCATTTCTACCACAGAAGTTTAGCTAATATCTACAAATGGTCTATAGATATCTACATGAGAGAGTAGCTGGCATTCAAAGCCTGATTCTTATAGTGTCAGTGTGTACGAAAACTTAAGCCATGTTAAATGCTACCTTCTGAGTTAGTGTACCATGACTGCTCAACTCTTTGGGGATAGATACAGTCTATGACTTGGGATACTCTGTTAAAACTTTTCTTTTAATTGAATACTTCAATTATATTACAATCTAGAAACACATTTTAAACAAGATTTAGATTAAAAATGCTCAGAGTAAAGAAATTAGGACTCTGAAAAAAATAAGCTACAGCTACAATTTGCAGATCCTGCAAATATCCATGAGTCCTATATGACACAGAGGTAGGCTGTTTTTCAAGGAGCATATCTGGTTTCACTGACATAAAAACTCCATGAAAGAAAAATTATGAAAAAGTATTTTGCACAATCAACTAGAAAGAATCCTCTTGTTTTGAAAACTGTTCTTAAAAAAGTCTTTTCACACAAACTTAGGAATCTTCAGAGGCTTCTTCTTCCTGGAACTGAAGGTAACCGGTCATCTGGCTTTGTCAAGCGCAAGCACTTCTTGATAACAGGTTAGTGATTTCATGTACGATGTAAAGAACCATCAAGCAATGTAGAGAAGTAGTAACCCACCTCAGAAAACCATCACAGTATGTATATGCCTAGAAAATCAATTTCCTTCTTGATGAATGTGAGTTTTCTGTCATGTATAGAAAAATATAGCTCTTGGTGTGAAGTTCTTACAATTTCCTTAGGGCTGTGAATGGAAATATCTTTTTCGTTTTTTTCTTCCAGATCATTACCACTTAAGCAAAGTTATATGTACTCAGCACTTATGACAACATTGGTATTTCATCTTGTCTACACGAAATACCAATCACTCTTACCTGCTGCAGTTCTGACCTCTGTCCAGATGCACAGCATAAAGAGCACAAGAGAGCAATGTTTAATTTATAATACTGTTAAAGTGCTTTAGAGGTGAACATGCACATGATCGCATGGTAAGGGCATACTGAAGACTTCTACAGCACTTGGTAATTATGTGGTAGGTCAACAGTCATTGAGACATCAACAATAGGATGTTGTAGAGGCAAACAGTGAACAAATAGGAAAACTCCCCTCTAGGCACAGCCTTCTTGTCTCATTATCTTCACAATGGGCATGTCAGTTCATCCTCTAAGCTGTGTCTGTACCCATGGGATATAGCAAATTCTCATGACTAGAACTGAATGCTGCTTCTTTAATAGACGTTTTTTTTCATAAATATATCAAGACATGTTTGAAACACTGCGTGTGACTATTGTGATGAGAATACAACTGCTGTTTTGCTTCATGCCTTTTTTGGTGTGTGTTTTAGAAGTTTCCTGCATTGAAATGTAAAAATCTTTCAAATCAGCTAGGTGGTGGTGGCACACACCTTTAATCCTAGCACTTGGGAGGCAGAGGCAGGAGGATCTCTGTGAGTTTGAGGCCAGCCTGGTCTAGAGAGTGAGGTCCAGGACAGACAGGGCTGTTACACAGAGAAACCCTGTCTTGAAACAACAATCCCCATGTACCCACCAAAACAAAACAAAACAAAAACAAGAAAAACAAAACAACAACAACAACAAAAAACCCACAAAAAAACCTGAACGCTACTGAATGATTATTAGAGAACTTTTCTCTATCCACCAACTTACAGAAGGAAAGATTTAGGAGACATGTCCAATGAACACAATGCTCTGTCCTTCCTTTACCATCATCTTGAACAAGCTGTGTGAATTGAAGAGTTCTGAGAAATCTAGGGAGAACTAAGCCTGTGCTGGGTAGTAGTCAGGAAGTCATTTTGATCTTATTGAATGGTTTGGGATTTTAGTCCTCGTTTGGTAAGTAGATACTGAAGAATTTATGAACAAAATGAGATGTTATATTAATTTATTTTAAAATGCTCCCAAAAGGAAAAAAGTGTAAGGATGGGTGGGGGTATAATGGACTAAACAGAAACAACAGAATGTCGGTCATCTTGAAGGAGAAACAGAACTACCTTCTCTATCTGGGCACAGAGTTGAAAATGTCCACAATAAAAAGCTAAAATAGGGCTGGAGAAATGGCTCAGAGGTTAAGGGCACTGCTTGCTCTTCCAAAGGTCCTGAGTTCAATTCCCAGCAACCACATGATGGCTCACAACCATCTGTAATGAGATCTGGTGCCCTCTTTCTGGCCTGCAGGGATACATTATACATAATAAATAAATAAATCTTAAAAAAAAAAAAAAAAAGCTAAAATAATCAAGTATGACACAAGATGGTGAAGTGTGGCTATACATTTTAACTTCTGGTTTTTAGCAGTTACATGTAAGTACAAAGGCAAGAAATAAATACAGCCCCAAGACTGAAAACCTAAATGTTATCTTTCCTTAACAGAAACCAGGACAAACCAGTGAATTTGGCTCACAAGCATGTACTTCCTATTAGGAAACCCAAGCACAGAACATGAATTCAATGACCTCTGCAACAAACTAACAAACATAAATATTCACTTTCTAAGAATATTCAATATACAAGAGTACAACACTTGCACTGGAAATATTCTGAATAAGCAAAAACTAAAAACTCCAGCCTCTGAGAATACTATGTAATGTACACTTAGCTTTCAAGTTGAGTGAAGTTAGGATGACTTTCACCTATTTTTGAGGCACTCCAATTTATAACATATTTGCAAAGAATTCTAAGGCTGGTAATGCCCTTCCTATTTCAAGAAGTTTGGTTCTACCTTCAGAAGGTATGACATTGCAGTCCAGACCTACACAGAAGGAAACCAGTTAACAAGGGTAACCATGCCTCGAGGTTACAGTGAATAAGGAAGGAAAGATGTAGGTGGCTTGAGTTAGATGACATGATGGGGTGCATGTAGGACATTCTTTCTGCTTACTCAAGGTCCTCTTCATTAAAGCATCCCACATACCAACCTTTCAGCTTTCTCGGTATCCTGCTCCATCCACTGTCATCCCTGCTGTCCTGACACTTCCACTCTTACCCTTTCTCAGGCCCTTTCACTTCATATATAAATAAATTCATGGCTCTACTATCGTCAAAGTCAAGCAAGTTTCTTCTTCTCCTTACTATATTTTCCCCCTTTCTCTTTGCTTCACTGCTTAATTTAAAAAGCACTCTGTATATACTGCCTTCTGTTTCAACCTACGGTGTAAACTCATTTCCAGTCTCATCATTCTAATACCCAACTACTTAAGGAAACAGACATTAGTGATTCCTTGTGACAGGCAAATGTTTGAGTCCCTATCTCAAGTCTGGAGCACTTCCCACTGAGATCTCTGGGATTCTTTCCTTTGTGGAGTCTGTCCCAGGAAGTCTTTATGTCAGTGCCCCTTTCCTTGGTAGGCAGAGTCCCAGGACTAGAGACCTTGCCTGGGAATCATTTATTTCAAAAAGTACAAGAATTTGTATATATCATAAAATAGGTTTTTCCTCCCAGAGGCAGTAGCCCTTTTGGACTATGTAGCTTAGGTTAGCCATGAATTCACGATTCCTTTGCCTCTTGAGGACTGAGATGATAGAAATATGCTACCGTGGCCAGCCCCAGATTTCTTTTTTTAAGTTTGTGGTTAAAAACAAGTTCTTGAAAGCAGTTAGGATGTATATAATCTCAAAATATCAATGTATTTCCTGCTTGTACAATGTTGTAATAATTATATATCCCAAGCATGGTAAATTTTATATAATGTGTCCTTTTTAGACTGGTTTATCATAAAATGCCTGAGATTTAATGGCTGGTTATTTCTGATACTGGGTACTATGATTCAGAAGTTAACATGCCTATGTTTCACATAGCATATCTCTATTTGGGGAAAGTATAAGAATCCTGTAAATCTTGGCTGGGTGGTGGTGGTGCACACCTTTAATCCTAGCACTTGGGAGGCAGAGGCAGGCAGATCTCTGTGAGTTCAAGGCCAGTCTGTTCTACAAAGCAAGTTCTAAGACAGCCAGGGATACACATAGAAACACTGTCTCAACACCCCAAACACACAAAAAAAGAGATAAACAAAGAAAGAGCTCCTTTAAATTATCTACCAATTCATTAGCATCTTTCAAAGGCAAATGTTAAACTCTGTGGGTATACAATTACAGAAACCTGTGAGTTCCAGGACAACCAGGGCTACCCAGAGAAATCTTGCCTCAAAAAACCAGAAAAAAAAAATTGGATGTGGTGGTGGACAACTATAATCCCAGCACTTGAGAGGCAGAAGTGAGATCAGAAGGATCAGAAGTTCAAGGTCACTACATAGTGAGTTTGAGACCAGGCTGGGCTACATGACACTTTAAAACAAATAAATAAAAATAAAAAAGGAATGCTATAAATTTGCTTAATAATATATAATCCACAAATAACAACTTATACCAGTGTTTGACAGTGGATGAGCTTCAAAACATAAACTGCAAAGCTTTAAAGGCTATTATACTACGTCAAAATGTTAAGGGGCCCAGGAGAACACACTGTCATTGGCACTGGGCTCCATTTTCAGGGCCATGAATCAGCCTCCAGATATTTGTTCTCCCGATTTCTTGGTGACTTTTCCTTTAGGCCACTCTCAGCTTGGGGCAGGAGAATTGGATGAGAAAAGGCTGAATGCAGCCTCCCAAGTGACTGTCTCAGCTAGAGAACAACAGCCTTTGTGAGGAGGTGGAAGAAAACTTTGAGCCCAACTTTGACTACATGCCCTAACCCTCAAACCCAAGAGGTTCAGGTCTCTGGGAAAATGCCATTCCAATCTGCTTCTTTGAAAGAAAAACAGGGAGGAGGTGCTTTGTGTCACATAATTCATTTATAAAATCTTAAGAAAATTACACACACACACACACACACACACACACACACACACACACACACACACACACACAGAGAGAGAGAGAGAGAGAGAGAGAGAGAGAGAGAGAGAGAGAGAGAGAGAGAGAGAGAGATGGGTGTGGTGTCACAGACCTTTAATCTTAGCACCTGGGAGGCAGACAAGTGGACCTCTGAGTTTGAGACCAGAGAGATTTATATAGTGAGTTCAAAGCCAGCCAGGGCTACATAGTAAGACCCTGTCTCAAAAATACACAAAAAAGGTGGCTATGACATAAGTACAGAAAATCCAGATGTAAACAGAACAAGATGTGGCACTGTTACCTAAAGGAAAAGATGGGACAAACTATGAAGGCTACTTCCTCCTTACACAAAATATAGCATTACTTAAGAAATGAAGGTCATTTTCAAGAGGCAACTAATCAAAAAAAGTTTGTGCCTTTTAGAATCTGCATCTTCATGACCACACTAGCAGAATAAGAGCTTGCTTTTCTTCTCTGGAGAGTGGTTGTTGACCAAATACTGATCAACTGCAGCCTCCCCAAATGCATCCATGAGAAAATTAAGAGCCAATATGCCCATGATTGTATGTGATAAATCACCTTTTGTCCTTCATCTAGAATAAATAGTAACATACTGCCCTTGGAAAACTGAAAATACAGGAACACAGTCGCTGAAAATACTTCCCTTGGCACTGACTCCTTTGTGACCTTGGCTGACAGAGGGATGCTAAGATACTACTTTACACTGTGACCTAGACATTACAGAATCAAACAGCAACAGGTAGATCCTCCTGCCATTACAGGAAGGTGACATCAAGCCCAGCTTTGTTTTTTTTTTTTTTTTTTTTTTTTTTGTTTTTGTATCAGTAAAGAATTAGCCTCAGATCTCTACCTTTTCCTCTCCAACTACTCAAAGCTTCTTATTTCTGTTTGATTTTTTTTTTCAGGTGGTCAACCTTGCTTTTTTCTTAAGCCCTTTCATTTCATTGGAAGCATCATTACAAACATGGAGTCGTCATTCATATACTACACTCTCTCAAATTCATTTAGGGATACTGACAGTGTCCTAATGTGTTCAAGTGTCTTATGACATCATTCTGTGGGTTTGCTGTGACACATGTACTTTGAAATAACTGACTGCTAACAGGGGAGAACTTGAGACATGTAGCACCAGATACTGATAGGGGAGGAGAATGAAGAATAACTGTCTTCTGTTATAATTTTCATGGAAAATGTAAGTACTGATTTGATGGGAAAAACAAGAAATATCTAATTTTTCTTAGGGTCAGAGACAAATAGGAATTCTCATAGTTGTATAAAACATGAGAACATAAACATCAAAGTGACTGACAATGTATTCACCTTGACCAAACAATAAAAAACAAAAGACAGACTCAGATGAAGAGTCAACTTCTTAAAACCCCATGTTTTATGTATGTGAGTCAAGATACCCATGTTTGGGAAGCAGAACAGGAAATATGCCTCTGGAAGGGGAGGTCGGCATTTCTGTTCATCTGAATATTTCTTCTTTCTTTAAGAAAACACCGTGAGGGGCTGGAGAGATGGCTCAGAAGGTTAAGAGCACTGCCTGTTCTTCCAGAAGTCCTGAGTTCAATTCCCAGCAACCACATGGTGGTTTACAAGTATCTATAATGAGATCTGATCCCTCTGGCATGCACGCAGATAGAACGCTGTATACCTAATAAGTAAACAAATATTAAAAAAAAAAAAAAAAACACCACACAGTGAGCAATAATCTTTCCACTTTCTTCTCAAACTGGCAGTCAGCCCACGGTGGTCTTCACTGAACAGGAGTCTCTCAGGCGCCACTATAATTTTTGTAAATCTTCACTCACATACAAGGCTGAATGCCTACCAGACAGTGCAGGATTGTTCTACATTTAAAATGACTATTGACCCTCTGAAAGAGTGACATGACCCTCTCTGTACAATGTCAAGGCAGCCCATGATGTGACTAGGCAAGGCAAGGAAGTGGGAGGTGGGAGTGGGAGGTCCTGCCCCTCCTGCTTTCCTGAAACGAGAAAGAGGGCCAATGTTATACTTACTTGCCAAAGCCTTTTTGCCAGCTGCATGGTAGGCTACGATGTATTTCCTGCCTTCTCTATCCTCTGTTTTTGTCTCTAATCCTGGGAAGAGAGATTTAATAGCTTGATGCATGATGGTTCTTTTTTCTTTGGTGTCCTCAATGACCTATTAAAAACAGATGACAGCTATTACTCTAACAAGTATTAAATAGGAAAATAACACAGTGAATCAGTGAAGACATGGCTCATTTCATCAACTATGCAAAAGTCAACAAGAATGCTTGGCTATTATTTCAGAAAACATTTTCCAGCTGCCTGATATTGATGATCCCAAGGGCTTGTGGACAGAGCATATCCATCTCCAGACACTACACAAGCACTTCAGATTCATCTTTTTCTTTAATCCTCGTAAGCTCCCTGTTAACCCACCATTGTGCCATATATGGAGATGAGAATGAGGTGCAGGGAAATCACAGAATATATTTGAAGTTACATAATGGGAAGGTATGAGAGCTGGATTTGAAACGAAGCAGTCAAGCCCTGTGATCACCCACAGAAGTTGCTTTTGGTATCTTTTCTAGACAAAAAGCATAGGGAGTCCCAGAGCAAGAAGCTGACAGACAAGCCTTCGGGGTATCAGAAAGTTAATACCTCTGGCAACTCAGCCCACAAGTGTCTCCTACTGAACTTTATTTTATATTAAATTATTTTATGGGGAAAAATCTAACACAATTAAGAAAACCAACATAAAGAAAATTTAAACTTATCATTCAAACAACTTTTTGTCAGCTTTCAACGTTTCTCACACTAAGAAACAGATTTTACCTCTATTCAATAGCACAAATGGCTGGATATGCCACATTATAAAAAAAAAAAAGATTTTTCAAAACATGATGATGCTGTATTCAGTGCACAGGAATTTTCTAATTCATTATCTTAAAAATGCTGATAGTGTAATATGTTAACTGGGCCACTTGACCTCTTGCAGAGGACCTGGGTTGGTTCCCAGCAACAAGTGGCAGGTTATAACCATCACTAAGTCTAGTTCCAGGAGAATTTAACACTCTCTTTTGACTTCCTTGGGTACCAGGCATGCAGGTGGTACATAGACATACAGGTAGACAAGACACTTATTATATAAAATAAACAAATACTAAAACAAAAAAGTATTTCCTCTTAATTTAATAGCTAAGGTAACTTGCCTATAATTTATGCCCTTTAAAGGTTAAAACTGGGGGGGCTATAGAAATAGCTCAGAGGATAAGAGCACTGATTGCTCTTCCAGAGGTCCTGAGTTCAATTCCCAGCAACTACATGGTGGCTCACAACCATCTGTAATGAGATCTGGTGCCGTCTTCTGGTCTGCAGTCATACATGCTGTATATACAATAAATAAATAAATCTTAAAATAAGTAAGTAAATAAATAAATAAATAAATAGCTCAGCAGGTAAGAGATCTGGATGTCCTCCCAGAAGACCTGGTTCCTATTCCCAGCACCCACATGGCAGCTCACAACTGCCTTTAACTCCAGTTCCAGGTGATCTGAGACACCCTTCTGGCCTCCTTGTGCACCAGGAACATAAGTGGGACACAAGCATATATCATGCAGGTAAAACACCCATAAACATAAGTAAAAGAAAAAGAAAAAAAGTTAAAACAGTTAGCAGACAACATAGCTGTCAGGATAAGAGTTAGTCTGTCACACGTGGGAAATGTACACAGGGTGATACAACACTATATTACACATTCAGGGAAACTTGTACTCTATCTTTAATTGTCCTTACAGACAACTCTTTCTTTTTTCTTTTTAAAAATGTATTTATTTTTATTTCATGAGTGTGTTTTGCCTGCAGGTATGTATTTGTACCACATGTGTGGCTGGTGCCAGAGAAGGTCAGAGGAAGGCATTGGATTGCCTGGAACTGGAGTTTCAGACAGCTGTGAGCTACCACGTGGGTGCTGGGAATTGAACTCAGGTCCTCTGCAAAAACAACTGGTCTTAACTGCTGTGGACATCTCTCTAGCCTTAACTGCTCTTCTAGACAATTCTTAAATCCATACTTAAAAACATAGGCAACCCCTCCCCCCACTGCCTATGGCCTGACTCTGGCAGTCACTGTTGGTCATGGCCGTGTGAGAAAAGGGGAAGGGAGGAGAGGACAGGGGCAAGACCCAAAGAAGCTGAAGAAACTACTTACTATTGATGACAATTAAAAAAAAGATTTCGCCAGGCGATGGTGGCACACACTTTTAATCCCAGCACTCGGGAGGCAGAGCCAGGCGGATCTCTGTGAGTTCAAGGCCAGCCTGGTCTACAGAGCTAGTCCAGGACAGGCTCCAAAGTTACAGAGAAACCCTGTCTCGAAAAAACGGAAAAGAAAAAGAATTCCAAATTTAATTTAAAAGATGTTTTTTGACAAATGTGATGGTGTCTTTAATTCTAACACTCAGGAGGCAGAGGCAGAGGCAGTCAGATCTCTGTGAGTTCAAGGCCAATATGGTCTACATAGAGAGTTCCAGGTTGTCTCAAAACAAACATTTTTTTCCAGACAGGATGATATTTAGTCCCAGCTATTCTTGGAACTCCTGATTCTCCTGCCTTCATTACCTAAGTGCTGAAATCCAGGCCTGTGATGGTGTGACAAGGTTAAGACACTATTTTGAGAAACAGAACACACGCCAAACAACCAACCCAGGAGCTTTTTTTTTTTTTTAAATGACTTACTCTGTGTTAAGGAGGTAAGTGCAAGAATGTGTGGACAACACAGGTTGATGCATGTGTAACGGAACTAAAGAGAGCTGTTTCTAGAGAGAATTCTGCCAAGCCTGGTGCCCTTTCAACAATGAAAAACATTATTTTTGTTGGTGATATAAAGAAGATATAGAGCTAGGTGTGGTAGAGCACGCCTTTAATCCCAGTGCTCAGGAGGCAGAGGCAGGTGGATCTCTGGAGTTCAAGGCCAGCCTAGTTTACAGAGTGAGTTCCAGGACAGTCAAGGCTACAAAGAAACCCTGTCTCAAAAAACCAAAAAAGAAGGGGGGGGGGAGGGGATATAGAACTCAATTTATGAGACTATTTAAAAAAGAATAGCAAGGCTAAAACTAAGTAAGCTGTGGAAAACAGAGAGTACATAAAGGGGGCTTGTTTCTGTAACTTCTGATTGGGGCAATAAACCTGTGCCGAGGTATAACCTGAGGGACTGAGGAGATAACTTAGTATAGGGCTTGCCAAGCAATCACATCCTTAGCTGGACTTCCAGAACCCATACTAAAGAGCTGGGCATGGTGATCCACACCTGCAATCCCAGCACTGGGGAGGCAAAGAGAGGCAGCTTCCTGGGACTCACCTGTGAGGCAGACAGGGCTAACTGGATGAATTCTAGGCCAAGTGAGAGACTGTCTCAGAAATCAAGGTAGATGGCTCCTGAGGAAGGACACCCAAGGTTGTCCCCTGGCCTTCACATGCACCTATCCACCTGTGCTCTCACACATAAAAGAAAAAGGTACAATAGTCAGGTATGGTGGTATAAACCTGTAACCTTGCCTTGGAAGATAGAGGCAGGAGGATCAAGAGTTTGAGGTCATCCTTGGCCATATAAGAGTCTGAGGCCAGGATAGGCTATATGGTCTCAAAAAACACAAGCTGGGTGTGCCGGCATACATTGTAATCTCAGCATTTGCAAGATGGAGATAGGAGGAAACAAGTTCAGCCTAGACTATGAGACCCTGTTTCAATAAGAACAAAACAAACAAACCTTTCCTTGATATATTTATGTTGAAATTGATTATTTATCCTGATTTAAACAAAGTAAAACTAAAACTAGTAGACTGCCCTTTGAGATCAATAGGACAAGCCACCTTTTTGTTAAACACAGCTAGCTCTTCTGTGGTAACTTATGAACATGCACCCTGAAGGAAGCACACAAACCCAAGCTCCCTCTTGCACTGCTTACCTCAATGGCAACACTGGTTTCTTTATTTTTGAAAAGCTGGAGCTCCTCCAACTGCTGCTTGTCCTCAGCTGTCAAAACAGTGAGCGCTTCTTCTGGAGGGTCCTTTAACCACAGAAAGCAAGTAAGTCACACAGAGACAGTAAAACTACCTTTCTAGGATCTTTAGGAAGAGCTACTATATACAACAGGTGGATTTTTCTAGAAAGATTTCTACCTCCTTGTCCATTGGAACAGATAAGTCATCCAAATGGCTGATCCGTCCATCTTTTCCAATTTCATGAACAACAAAGTCAGAATATCTAATGAAGAGAAAACCAAAGTTTTTAAGAAGTGAGCATTTTACTTTCTACTAATTTTAGGACAAACTTTACTCATTCTAAATAAGAGATTTAAAGAAAATCTCTTATTTTAATGAACACTGAAACACATATAGTTTCATACCTAAGTTTCTGAAATATTATTATAGAAAATATTAACAAATGCAAAATGAAAGCCATCAATGTTTATGGCTCCATTAGTATAGTGCTTGAGTAGCAAGCATGGATGAAGACTTGAGTTTGATCCTCAGCACCCATGTGAAAAAGCCACATGTGGGTGCCCATGTTTGTAATCTGTTGGGAAGGCAGAGACAAGAGGATCCCTGGAGCCTGCTGACCTGCCAGTCTATATGAATTGGCGAGTCCCAGGTTTTAAGACTGTTTCAGAAAACCAATGCAGAAGAACTGAAGAGATAGCTCAATGGTTAAGTGCACTGGCTGCCCTTGCAGAGAACATGGGTTTTGGTTCCCAGTAACCACATGGCAGTCCACAAGTGCTTGTAACTGTAAAATCAGTTCCAGTGGACCTGATGCCCTTTTCTAGCCTCCTTGGGCACTACACACACACGGTGCAGATAAACACATACAGACACTCACACCATACACATAAAATCAATCTTTAAAAATAATTATGTGGGGAGTGACTGAGGAGGGCTTCCACATATACATGCATACATCTAAGGTTATACAGTCTATCTAAGGTTATACAGTCTATCTTAAATTAAGTCATAAATAGAGTCAATTAATTAAAACTAAATAGTTGCCGGGGGGGGGGGGTGGGGGGGGGGGGGGGTGGGGTGGGGGGGGTGGTGGTGGTGGTGGGGGGGGGGGGGGGGGGGTGGCACACGCCTGTAATCCCAGCACTTGGGAGGCAGAGGCAGGTGGATCTCTGTGAGTTTGAGGCCAGCCTGGTCTACAGAGCTAGTCCAGGACAGGCTCCAAAGCTACGGAGAAATCCTGTCTCGGAAAAAAAAAGAAAAAAGAACCCCCCCCCAAAAAAACAAACTAAATAATTAAATCAGAACCCAGTAAGTCTGTCATAAGCTACTGTGAAAGCTTTTTTCTATTATCACACTTAACATCCTCTTAACAACTTCCACAGTGACACTGGTATCCATCTTGTGGATGTGGATACTGAGGCTCAGGAGCCTCAGCTAACTATTAAGTAGCTGAACAGAGTCATATCCAAATTTTCCTGGCTCCAAACAACTTCTAGTTCCTACTGAAAAATATGGTTTATTCAGATAAAACAACTTAAGATTATAAGATGAATTCAGCAAGAAAAAAAAATACCTTGAAAATGTCTAAAAGAATTTAACAAAACAAATACCATACCCCCACACACTAACAATATGCATCACTGGGAAATTATGTTTATTTAAACAGTTCTAGGAAAAATCTCTCCTTGATAAGAAATAAGAATTCATCATAAGCCAGATTGTGAATTAAAGGCCAAACTGATTAAGGAGCAAGATTCTGTCAAGAAAGAACAAGAGAAAAGGCAAAAGAAACAGGAGAAACAGGAAGAAAGCAAGAACTATAATGGGTACAGTATAGTAAGAGTGTTTGCCTAGTGTGCATGAGGCTTTAGGTTCAAAACACAGGACCACAGAAAGCAAACATGTTCAGAATCCAAGACTATTTACTTAGGCAGCTCTCCCCACTCTGTCCCTTTTTTGATCAGAAATGTAAACAATCCTTGGGTTTAGAAAACTAAATTGAGGGGTTGGAGAGATGGCTCAGCGGTTAAGAGCACTGGCTGCTCTTCCAAAGGACCCGGGTTCAATTCCCAGCACCCATAAGGCAGCTTACAACTGTCAGTAACTTCAATTCTAGGGGACACCCTCACATAGATATTCATACAGGCAAAACACCAATGTACACAAAATAAAAATAAATAAATTATACAAAGAAAAAAGAAAAATACAAGGAAAGTTGGGTGTGAAGGCATATCCCCAAATTTCTAACACTCAAGAGTCTGAGGATTGAGAGTTCATGACAACTTCTGGGTTAACCTGGGCTACTTAGAGAGACACTGCCTCAAAAAAAACAAACAGCAAAAGATTTTCTTAAAAAACAAAGAGGGAACAAAGAAAAGGAAAATGGAAGAGCGGGACTGTAGCTCAGTTAGTGGAGCTTCGCTAGCATGCCTAAATCCTGGGGCTTGAATAGAGAAAAACAGAGAAAGCTAAACAAAAGACTATATTGCTGATTTCTTTCTGAAGGAAAGTATTAACACAACTAAAACAAACATGTTTACTAAACTCACCTTTCTTTTAAGATCCCTGAGAAGCCCTCATGAGGGCTCACAAACTTCGTGATGCCTACATCAAGTTCTGTGAGCCCATGCTTCATCATATCTGCAAAACTCTCGGGCTCCTCCTCTTCCCCTGTCTCTGAAAGACCATCTTCCTCCTCTTCCTCCTCTCGCACCTGAGCACTGGAATTCTTTTCATCTTTCTTGGCACCTTCAACTTCTGGAGGTCCAGGCTCATCCTCACTGCTGTGTAGACCGTCATTTTCTACCCCATCCTGACTGTTGGTCAGATAGCACTCTGAGACCTTCTGTTTCTTTGTCTCCTCCTGCAGGGCCACGCCATCATTATCTTCCACAACAAGGCACCCACGTTTCAGGGACATGCTTGTCATTTCCATCTTTAAGGCTCCAAAAAAAACATTTAAGAGGACCTTTCAGAGAGGAGAAAAGAGTAGAAGTTAACAATCTCCCATAAAGAAGCTAGTTTTGGTAAACAGAGGCACAGTGAACCTTGTTCAGAGGATCCTTAAAAAATCATTTATTAAAATAATTATCAGGGGTGTGGAAAGATGGCTTAATGGTTTAAGAAGCTTGCTGATCTTTCAGAGAACCCAAGTTTGGATCCCAACACCTATATCAGGTGGCTCACTGGACCTGCCAGTCTAGCTCTAGGGGATTAAATGCTCTCTTCTGGTCTTCTAAGGCATCACATACACATAGCATTCACTGACACACATTCATATAAATAAAACATGAAAGTATCTTTTTAATGAGAAAATAAGTAATTCTGATAAAGGCATACACTCAAAAGCCTAGAAACAGAAAACATAGTACAACAGTTGGTACCAATAGTCTCACGAATATAACCAGGTGCAGTGGCACATGCCTTTAATCCTAGTATTTGGAAGGCAGATCAGGTGGATTTCTGTGAATTTCAGGCCAGTCAGGGTTACAGAAGAACCCTACCTCAACAAACCAACAGATAAAAAACTTAAAAAAAACATATGTAGTTTTAAGCCAGAAATATGTTTTTTTTTTAGGGATTTAGCTTAAGAAAATAATTTAGAGAGGGGCTAGCAAGATGGTTCAGTAGTTAATAGTATTTGTTGCTCTTGCAGAGGACCTGGGTTTGGTTCCTGATACCCACTCACATGGTGGCTCACAACCATCCCTAATTTGTTTCAAGGGATCTGACGCTTTCTTTTGGCCTCTGCAGAAACTAGACATGCACGTGGTGCACATATATATATGCAAGTCAAACTCTCATACATAAACATTTAAAAACTAAAACAAAACAAACCCAAACCAAACAGAATATAAATTCAGGGGGTGAAGGGATGTCTCAGAAGTCAAGGGTACTTGTTGCTCTTTCAGAAGATCCATGTTCAGTTCCTAGCACCTGCATGTAGTAGGCGTACAACTGCCTGTAATTCGAGTTCTTGGGGATCCAATGCTCTGTTCTGGTGTCTGAAGCTACCTGTATACACACATATACATAAACAGACACACATGTATGCACATAAAACAAATTAAAAATAAGCTGAATAATGTGTAGATACAACTGACTAGGAACTGCAAAAGGTGATTACTTCTAGGTGAGGACTGAGGTGGTTAAGTGCTAGCAGTGTGCTTTCATTGAATACCACCACTGTTCTATTATAACTTTGTTCCAGGCATGTGCATCATCTTTTCAAAACTGATAAAATACAGTAGTATATAAATGAAAGCACACTCACACCATACCAAGAGTTATGGAGTACTGTTGTATAATACCAATAAAGTCATCCGGGTATGATGGTATACATCTGTAGCCTCAGCACTTGAGAGGTAGAAATTGAAGGACCAGGAGTTCGAGGCCAGCCTGGGATATAAGAGATAGTGATGGTGGCTTAGTCAGGAGGATCTCAACTTTCTCCCCAGCACTAATTTTCTTTTTTTGAAGCTGGAGCCTGGCAAGGTGTAGACAGAAGGATTCTCTGGGGTTCACTGCTAGCCAATCTAGCCAAACTGCTGAGCCTCATATTCAGTGAGAGACCTCTTCTCAAAAAGCAAAGCCAACAAGACAGCTTAGTGGTAAGGAAGTGTGAATGCCTGGCCTGGCTTGAGTTAGATCTTCAGGTAGAAGGGGAGAATAGATTCCCATAGTGGTCCTCTGACCTCCACAAGTACACCCACAAACACACACACATACATACAATTAAATATAAACAAATGTAATTAAAAAATAAAAAAAAATACTAAGGTGGAGAAAGATAGAAGACATCTGACATTGGCCTCTGGCCTCCCTCTGAATTTCCCTCAAAACATACGGACACAAGACAAAAATAAAACAAAACAAAATGAAACCAAACCAAACCAAACCAAACCACAAATTGTAAATATATCAGGTTGGTCTTAACTCTTAACTCTCTAACCTCAGCTTCTTGAGTGCTGAGATTGTAGATGTGCTCCACTATGACAGCTATGTTATATATGTGACCATAATTTAAAAAGACACAGCCCCCCAACAGATTATTATTTAATCGGACCAACTGCAAAATCTAAGAGCAAAATCTAAGACATCACACATACTTCCCCAGTGAAGAGGAACTCAGGAGAGGGGCAAACACAGAGCAATCAAAATAAAGATATTCTGGACGGTGTGTACTTATCTACTTGATCTTACTTGAAACTAAAATAGGGATGTTACGTTTTTCCTATTTTTGTTACATAGACAGAAAAGTGAACTTACCAACCAACTTAGCAAACATATCCATATAAACCATAAATGAGCTCCAAAAATACTCTAGTCCTCTAAGTATGGTTAATGAAAAACCAGAAATAGCCATGGTTAGATATTAAAAATCAAGGAAATTCTAAGGATTGGCAGATTTTGCTTCATGTCATAGACATGACCACCTGAGCAATCACTGAGAGGAGTAATTACAATAACGGGCTCGTTGCTGTCAAAGGACTGACTGGTCAGGAATCTTGCGGGCTGCAAGAATATATTATAGAGATTCAGCTATGTATTAAAGCTATACTTTGACCAGCCAAGGGTCTGTCAAAAGGCAAGCCATTTACTATGAATATTTGGTGTTATCCAGTTTTTAATATTCTACCTGTCTTCTGCTATGAAATTCTTGCGTGCCAAATACTATAGACCATTTGGCAAACAGATAAGCTCAGATCTGCTTAACTTCTAGGTAACTAACTCCCCTGCTGAGCCTAGGAGACAAGCAGGCTCCTAGACGTATAGCTTTGTTTCTTGTGCAAATGAAGCTCAGGCCATCCCCTTCCTTCAGCCTAGGGGCATTGCAGAGAGATTGAGGACAATAGGGTGTTTTACATAACCATGGCCAGGGAGAGGATAGGAGTGAACCGTGAGGCAGGAACAGCAGACACAGAATAGTGTGGCCAGAGAGAGAAGAGGAAGACAGGTTTTATAGAGGTTAAAGCAGATCTCGGGTAGAGTTTTCTGAAAGCTAGGAATAAGGAGCTAGGAAGGTGAGATGGAGGACAAAGGGACAGAGGGCATAGAGCAGGTCAAAAGCATAGGAGCTTACTAAAACTACGAGGACAGGAAAACTGAGCACAGAGAGAAGCTGAATGTGAGGACAGAGCTGAAGCTGTATAGACAGAATTGACTGAGAATAAAGTGAATGGACTAAAGATTAACTCAGTGTGCTTAGATTCATTTGATATCCCTTAGATTAGTATCCTTAGCCACTTGTAGCATCTGTTCTGGACCCTGATAGAAATCTCAAGGCAGGCGCTTGGGGGGAATTCGTTATACAGGAGGAGATTCTGACACCCGTTCACAGGCCACAACACTTAGCAGAGAGGCAAGCACAGCCAGAAAAAGCCATGCATGCAGCCTGGCTCAGGAACTTTATAGTCAGACCGTCCACCTCTCCCCCAGATTTAGAAGGAACACCAGATCTCCTCTGTAACTCAGAGCAAGATTCCTAGGTCTTGCAATTTAGTAAGTGGGTCACTTATCATCTTCTGAGTTGTTGGAAAACTAAAATATGATGCTTTGGACAAATATCTAATATCTCTCCCCATTCAACTTTGTTCATTGACATTTTTTTTTTTTCTTTTAACTTTGGAGCCTGTCCTGGATCTCACTCTGTAGACCAGGCTGGCCTTGAACTCACAGAGATCCACCTGCCTCTGCCTCCCAAGTGCTGGGATTAAAGGCGTGCCCCACCAACACCGCCGCTGCCACAGCCCTGTTCAGTGACATTTATTATGTCCCCAGGAGAGGAGACATGACAAATAACTAAGACCTGTTTTTTTTTTTTTTTTAACCCCCTCCCCTTTTGTTTGTTTGTTTGTGACAAGGTCTCACCACATAGCCCTGGATGTCCTGGAATACACTTATATAGACCAGGCTGGCTGACTACCTCTGCCTCCCAAGTGTTGGGATTCACGGTGTATGTCACCAGGCCTGGTCCCTAAGACATTTCTTATTCACTTTTTAATTCTTGAGCTATTGTTGATGCTAAAGCATGGTTTGCTTTTAAATACTTTTGCTTTTTGAGACAGGGTCTCATGAAGTGTTGTGCATGATGAGCAAGTGTACCCTCTGTCTTTACTTTGAGACAGGGTCTCATGAAGTGTTGTGCATAATGAGCAAGTGTGCCCTCTGTCTTTATTTTGAGACAGGGTCTTCCTAAATTGCTTAGAATGCCCTTACAATGCAGCCCAGGCAGCTTTGAACTTGTGGTTCTCCTGCCTAGGCCTATAAGAGCAGGCATGACTTAGAAACACTCTCTTTAAAGGCAGAGCACACTCTATATCCTCTTCTGAAAAAAGCCACTAAGACTATTAGAATCATTTACTCTAACATTTATTGAGTATAAATTATCCTGTGTAGGCACTAGAGAAAAATGGAAGACTTCTTGCAATGAAACAGATGACATTCTACTCGAGGATAGAAAAACAAAATAAATTGGCGGGGTTTGTGCTCAGAAGAACATTTGCCTATCATGCCCTAGGTTCAATCCTCAGTACTGCAAACAGCTAAACAAACCCTCTATGAGGACATGCAAGGCATTTAGAAGCAGAGAAAGATGAGCAGAGAGGGGTCATTTTGGGAGAAGCCTCCATAAAGATGTTTTAAAGACTTGAAGAAAGCAGACCTGAAAAATGGGTGAGAGTCCCACAGGGGCAGAACGGAACTCGTGAAGATCCCAGCTAGAAATTAGGGTGACAGACCAGTGGGTCTGTTATTTCTTTCCAGGATACAAAATCTCAGTTTCATTAGTGCCTTGTACTGCCTCTAACAAAAGTGTTGGAACAGCTGAGTGTGATGGTCCAAGCCTTTGAGTTCCAGGCCAGTCTAGTCTTCATAGAGAGTTCCAGGACAGCCAGGCTACATAACAGAGAGACTCTACCTTGACTAAGTCCCTGATGGTCCAAGCCTTTGAGTTCCAGGCCAGTCTGGTCTACATAGAGAGTTCCAGGACAGCCAGGCTACATAACAGAGAGACTCTACCTTGACTAAGTCCCGTCTCAAAACTATGTGTTCAAATGAACTTATTAAATTAACAAATTCTGTCTGTTGGCTATTTGCTAATTATTGGACATTATTTCACTCTTTCTCACTATAGTGAATAGTCTGATTTTTGACAGTTTCCTTCAATAATAAAAACATTGGGCGGTGGTGGTGCACGCCTTTAATCCCAGCACTCGGACTCGGGAGACAGAGCCAAGCGGATCTCTGTGAGTTCGAGGCCGGCCTGGTCTACAGAGCGAGATCCAGGACAGGCACCAAAACTACACAGAGAAACCCTGTCTTAAAAACCAAAAAAAAAAAAAGGGCTGGAGAGATGGCTCAGAGGTTAAGAGCACTGACTGCTCTTCCAGAGGTCCTGAGTTCAATTCCCAGCAACCACATGGTGGCTCACAACCATCTGTAAACGAGATCTGGTGCCCTCTTCTAGCCTGCAGGCACACATGCTGCATACATAATAAATAAATAAATCTTTAAAAAAAAAACCAAAAAAAAAAAAAAAAAAAAAACCATTGCCCTGCCACTGGGGCATACCAATTTACAGACGGCCACAGATTTTGTTGTTGTTGTTACTGGTGGTGTTTTAGAGTGGGAACAAATCAAAACACCACCTATATTTTAGTGATTTTTAAAAAAATTAATTCAAGTGGCCTTGAACTCTCTTCCATCCATACTTTGACAGGCGCTAATTAACAGCAATAATCCTGTGCTTCTTAAAGCCCCCTCCCTCAGTTTAGGCTGGTGGTAAGGACCAAAGGGTAAAGTAGCCTGCACAGTCATCCAGCAGAGGCTGGAGAAAAGACCCCTGATGCCGGCCTGATTGCTTCCGCGGGTGTGAGAAGAGCAGCGGCCCCCGAGGCCTGCCCAGTACGTAAGACGTTTGCGGCCAGTACCAGCACCAGGCTCAGACCGGTGCAGGGTAGTCGGACGATCTCGGGGATTGAGCAGGGCTGGGGAAATGAGTTTCGGGAGGCCTGAGGCACCTCCAAGCAAGGAAGGAGAGGAAAAAGTTCCGGTCCACAGCACCGCGGCCAAAGAGAGGATCTGGACGCAGCGCCGCCTAACGACCGGCCGGGATCAGGGCAAAGAGCCGGGATCAGGGAACACGGATAGGGAACTGGGGATCTGAGATCCTGGATCGAGGAGCATGGAGCAGATACTGGACAGCGAGGAATGTGGAGGAGGCGGAAAAAACTGGGGCGGCGCAAGCTGCGACCACGGCCGGCCGCGCGCGTCTCCGAAGGCCTGGGGCCGCGCCGCCTAGCCATGCACTTACCCGGAGCCTGCGGGCGCCGGCTAAGCGCGGAAGAAGGCGCTGGGCTCGGGACGCAGAAGGGCGGCGGCCACTCGGAGGAGACAGCGGCCAGCGCCAACCTACATAGGGTACACCGCGAGGAAACCGACACGTACAAGATCTCCCACCAGCCGCCGGGCTCGCACACGTGCGGCGTGGCGCGGCGCTGCGCAGACCACGCCCTAGGGCGGAGTCCGTCTCACCAGCCCCGGGTCCCGGCAGGACGCTCCGCCCACCAGCGCCCGGGAAGCCTCTTGCCACATGCAAAGAATTCTGAACACCTTTAGGGCTTCAAAAGCAGAGACTGCCTTTTCAGGTATTAATTGCGCTTGAGTGAGAGCTTCTTTCACAGTTACAACCTTTTATTATAGTTAATAGCACATATTAATTGAATGGGTTTCCTATCAATAATTCCATGCTTGTATTGTGTGCTTCGATCGTGTTCAGACAATATGACCATTTCTTGTTGCATCCAGTGAACAATAATGAAAAAAGAATCACTTTATTTCTCTTATACAACTTGGTACTTGCAAATATAACAAGAGCTAAGAATGCCAATCTCCCCAATTCCTCTTTAAGACAGGATTTTTGACTCTGTAACCCAGGCTGGCCTAGAACTCAGGGCAATCTACTGCTTCAGTCTGTTTTTGCCACTTCTTAGTTTTGACAATTCCCCAGTAGGACTATCTTCAATAAAATCCCATAATTGCTGATTTATGCTTTGAGGTAAAGAAATATAAAATGTATTTTTCTTCTCATGCTCTTCAAGTAGCAAACTGATCAATTCAAAGCACCTTATAACATTTCAGATGTAATTTTTTGCCAGACTTCAACTCAGGGCAAAAAAAAAAAAAAACACCCAAAACAAAAAACCAACTCAAGATGTGTGGAATGACGGTTTGAAAGAAAATGGCCCTCAAAGGGAGTGACACTATTAGGAGATGTGGCTTTGTTGGATTGGATATGGCCTTGTTGGAGGAAGCGGGTCACCGTGGAGGTGGGTTTTGAGGTCTCATGTATGCTCAAGATTCTACCCAGTATCTTAGACCACTTGCTGTTGCCTGCCAGATGTAGGACTCTCAGCTCCAGCTCCAGCACCATGTCTGCCTGTACACTGCCATGTCCCTCCATGATGATAATGGACTGAACCTCTGAACTGTAAGCGAGCCACTCCAATGAAGTGTTTTCCTTTATAGGAGTTGCTGTGGTCATGGTGTCTCTCCACAGCAATAGAAACCCTAACTTAGACACCGAGTGTCACAAGCCTCTCGTCCCAGCACCATGATGGGGGCAGAAGGACCAGAGGCTTAAGGTCATTTTGGGCTATTTAATGAATCCCAGATAAACATAGGTTAGGTAAGAACTTGTCTCAAATTAAAATTTATTTCAAACCTTTGTATTTCTCTTAGACTTGTGTTTGTTGTATTTCTGTGTATATGTTCACATATGTGATGATTAGTCTTACTTGTCAATTTGACAGAATCTAGAATTACCTGCCTATGTATGCAGAATTATCCCTATTGAGTTAATTGAAATGGGAGGACCCAAATAATATTAACAGCATAATTCCTTGACTGGGATGCTGGAGCATGTAAATCAGTGGTTCTCAACCTGTGAGTCGTGACCCCTCTTGAGGGGGTGAATGACCTTTTCACAGGGATTACCTAACACCATGGGAAGCATTAGATATTTAAATTATGATTCATAACAGTAGCGAAATTCCAGTTTTGAAGTAGCAACAAAAATAATTTTATGGCTGGGAACTGCATGAGGAACTGTATTATAAGTTTGCATCATTAGGAAGGTTGAGAACCACTGGTGTAAATGAAAAGAGAGAGCCGAGCATCATCATTCATTGTTCTCTGTTTCCAATAGTGGACATGATATGACCAGCTGTTTCAAGGTCCTGGTGCCTTAGCTTTCCTTCCATAATGGACTGTACTCTTTTTTTTTTTTTTTGGTTTTTCGAGACAGGGTTTCTCTGTGTAGCTTTGCACCTTTTCCTGGAACTCACTTGGTAGCCCAGGCTGGCCTTGAACTCACAGAGATCCGCCTGGCTCTGCCTCCCGACTGCTGGGATTAAAGGCGTGCGCCGCCACCACCGCCCGGCGGACTGTACTCTTGAACTGTGAGTCGTCATAAACCCAGTCTACCTTAAGTTGGTTTCATCACAGGAAAGAAAACAAAACTATGTTCAATTCTGAGTTCAAGGAGACCAGAGGCCCATATTGGGTGCTTTCCTCTATCACTTTCTATCTTATTTATTTATTGATTTTTATCATTGTGTGTTTGTGGTATGTGTGTATGTGTGTGCATGTACACATGTGGAGGCCAGAGAACAATTCTGTAGAAGTTGGTTCTCTCCTTCTACCTTTACATGGTTTCTGGGGATAGAACCCAAGTAATCAAGCTTGCTTGTTAAGTGCCTTCCCCATCTGAGCCAGCTTCATGGCCCCTCTACCTTACTTTTTGATAAAGTTTTTCACTGATACTAGAGCTCTTCTATTTAACTAGACTGGTTGACAGGAGAGCTTAAGGATCCTGCTTCCTAATGCTTGTATTACAGCTATCTGCTGTGCCCAACTTTTTACATGAGTATTAAGATCTGAATTCAGGTCCTCATGCTTGCACAGCTAACGCTGTATCAATTAAACCATCTCCCCAACCAAAGACGTCTTCTTAAAATATGGATTTAATGTGAAGATTCAGCTAATTGAGTCATTGTCTTAAATACTTTTCTACTGCTATAATGATATACCATCTCCAAGGCAACTTACAGGAAAAAGAATTTATTGAGGGCTTAAAGTTTCAGAGGGTGAATACTTGACGATCGTCATGGGAAGCATGGCGGCAGGCAGCTAGGCAAGACACTGGAGCAGTAGCTGAGAGCTTACATCTGATCCACAAGTACGAGGTAGAGAACATCAGGAATCTTTTGAAACCTTAAAGCCAGCTGCTAGTGACACACCTTCTCCAACAAGGCCTCCCACTCCTTCCCAAACAGTTCTACCAACTGGAGACCAAGTATATGAACATATGAGCCTATGGTAACCATTCTCATTGAAATCACTATGTCATATATAATTATTCTACATTGCTTTCCTCTAGGATTATTCACCTCAGTTACATACCTGAATTCTTTCCTTTGTCCTTAATTCATTCATTCACTTTTTTTCTTTTTAAGATTGGTGCTCAGTATATAGCCCAGGCTGGCCCCAAATTCAAGATCTTCCTTCCTCAGTCTCCCAAGTACTGCAGTTATAGGCATATGGCACCATGCCTGGCTCATTTCACTAGTTCTTGTACAATCTCATACTCTTGGGCTATGGTAAATTAATAAAAATTAATAAATTAATGCCCCAAGGTCAGCAGATTCAAATACAACTATGTGGTATAATTTAGCCCAGATTTTATTTTAATTTTTTTTTCCGAGCAGATTTCTCTGTGTAGCCTTGGCTGTCTTCAAACTCACTCTGTAGACTAAGCTCGCCTCAAACTCACAGAGATCTGCCTCTGCCTCCCAAGTGCTGGGATTAAAGGCATGTGCCACCATTGCACAGCTCTATTTTAATTTTTAAAAATTTTATTATTTTATTATTTTTATTTTTAAAGCATCTAGATGTTTTGCCGGTATACCAACTGTGTTCCTGTTGCCTGAAATCCAGAAGTTACACCATTGGAATTAGAGTTATAGCCAGTTGTCAGCTGCTGGGTGTGCTAGGAGGTGAACCTGGGTTCTCTGGAAGAGCAGCTAGTACTCTAAATTGCTGAAGGTATCTCTCTAGACCCTAATGTTTATTTACTTAATGAGACATAGTCTCACTATGTGTCTCTGGCTGTCCTGGAACTCACTATGTAAATTAGGTTTGCCTTGAACTCACAGATTCACCTGCATCTGCCCTCTGTGTTCTGGGCTAAAAGGCATGAGCCACCACTCCCGGCTCCTAATTTTTATTTTCATTTTATGTGTGTGGGTGTTTTGTCTGCATATATGTTTACACCATAGTGAGTTTTCTTCTCACTGAGTAGTTTCTGTTCTCTCTCTCTCTCTCTCTCTCTTTTTTTTTTTTAGAGCTGAGGATCGAACCCAGGGCCTTGTGCTTGCTAGGCAAGCACTCTACCACTGAGCTAAATCTCCAACCCCAGTTTCTGTTCTCTCTAAAGATTTTTTTCTGCTGGGTCCTCTTTTGTTTTGGTTCAAAAGCACTGCCTTCCCGGATTTGTTTGTGAGGTTGTCAAATTTCCAGATTCTCTACCTATCCCTTGCTTCTAAGTCACTCCAGTTCTTCCTTCTGCTAGGCAAAGTGCATGTTAGATTTTGAGTGCTTTTCTTCTATTATGCTTCCAGAATGTTTCAACCCTCTTGCAAACAGATCTGGACTCTCCAATTGGAAAATATGAAGGTCATCTCTAGGCAATCTGACCAGCATTAAATAAAGATCTAGAAAACCAGCATTCGTTGGTAAATTCATGCCAAGCCAAATAACCTACCCTGACTCTTCTGATCACCACGCTCATTCTCATTTTCGGAACATCAGAATATTGTCTAAATATTTATTTAAACTTACAGATTCACATAAAATCTATGGCATGGAAGGAGAACTATATGTTTCATTATTACTATTAGAATTTTTAAATTTTTATTTATTGATGGGGCTAGAGGAGACGTGCGGAGGTCAGAGGACAACTTGTAGGAATTCATTCTCTCTTTCCACCATGGTGTGGAACTCAGATGTCTTGGTGGTAAGAGTATTTATAGGCTGAGCTATCTTGCAATAGGCATTCTCTATGTTGCCCTAGTTGATACCGAACTCTCTTTATAGCTATACAGGAACTAGTAGCAATTCTCCTGCTTCTGCTTCCGAATCAAGAGGCTTGCCCATCATTAGGGGGCCAAAGCCAAAATATTTTCTTTATTTTGAGACAAAGTTACAAGTAGTCAAGGGCAGCCTTGAACTCAGTTTGTAGCTGGAGCTGACTTTGAACTCCTGATCCTCCTGCCTTTCTTGACCTCCCAAATGGTGGGATTACAAATGTGAGTCACCATGCCAGGGCCGAATTCTACTTTTATTAACTCCAAAGAAATGGAGGGAGCTCTGTCACAGCGGAGGACGCGAGCCCCTACCGGGCTGAGAAATAGGAGGGCCACCGGGTTCCCTGAGCGGCCGATCTGACAGCCAACCAGGAGGGGGCGCCATGGAACAGGACAGCGGCGACGCAGATAGGTCTCTCTAGCTGAGAGAACGGAACCAGAGAGAGGGTGAAAGGAAGTCGAGGTGGCCCTCGATCTGGCGTCTCTGAACGCTGTGGCTGCGGTTGCCGGATTCTGTAGGCTAGGCTGGCGGCGTATGGAATCGAGGACTTGCGCGGAGGCAGAATGCTTCCAGCTGGCGAGATAGGCAAGGTGCCGGCAGCCTCGGTGAGGTGTCTCTGGAAACCCGGGGAAGGAACATTGGTGACCCTGTAAGGTGGCACAGACCTCCCTGGGGAGATTGTCCCCGCCAGGTTAACCTGGAAGCATGTGGAGGTGGTTCCCACGGTCCGAGGCAGTCAAGGACTTCCCAGGGGAAGTAGTCACAGTGGAGTGTCTTTCATTGTCCCAGGAAGATGACAGTATTGGAAGTTGGCGGTGGCCTCAGTGTCCTGGCAGGGTAATTCAGAGCCTGGGGAGGTGGTACAGATTTCTGAGGTGGCAGTGGTGGCATTAGGGAGGTGGGTCAGGAATGCCCCTGGGAGAGGCGCCTAGCACCTCTCCAGCTGACAGTAGGGGGCCTTTTGGAGCCCTGCATGAACTCCACTTATTTAAATCTAACTTGTTTGCTATACCTGTTTTTCTGCCAGTGCTGTACCGCAAGCGGTGACGAAATGAAGAACACAGAGGAGAAAAGTAAGCAGCTCCAAACCCTTAGCTGTTTTTGCCTAACTATCCCTCGCAGCGTGCTCTTTCAGGGTCTGCAGAAGAAGTTTCTTTGCCTGCTACCTTTTAAAGTATTTTTTCTGTACAATGTTTAAATAGTAATAAATACTAGTTATCTTTGCACGTGGGCTTTTGTCTAAGATTGTAAAATACAGAAAGAGCACTTTGAGACTCCTACCTAGTGCCCCAACTAGTATGACTTCACTGGGGCCTGTCATTTTAATGAAACATCAGCTTGTTATTAGGTATTTGGAGGGAGTGATGCTGGTCACTGTTACTGGGTTCAAGGAAGAGGTCTGATAATTGCTTAATTATAGTTTTACCTTCAGTGAATTTGCAATTAAAATTTGCTGCAGGTAATCCTGGGTCTTGGTCTGGATAGGGGACAAAGGAAATATCTGATACCCCCATTTCCTACCTAGGACAGGAAAATATGTCAGGAATGTGGATATTTGTCATTTCACTTTAATGAGATAAGCATAGCAAGTTATTAGAAATCTAGTATTCTTCAGAGCTGTTTTTGTTATTTTGTGGTTTGTTTTTTTTTTTTGGTTTTTCGAGACAGGGTTTCTCTGTGTAGTTGTGGTTTTTTTTTTTAATATTTAAAAAAAATTTTTTTAAATAAGCTCAAATGTAGCCCAGGTTGGCCTCAGACTATGTGACTAAGGATGACCTTGAATTCCTGATCTTTATGCCTCTATCTCCCAGGTGCCACATGCCCAACCTCTACAGGAGCTTTTGAAGGACTTTTTTTTCTCCTTTTGTAAGAGGAAAGAGAAGAGCATGTAATAGCTCTTTTGTGTGTTAAGAGTTCAGTTCAATTACTTTGACAAGCAGGCTGATAAAAATTAGCAGTAAGAGAAAGGGTACCCACGTTTACCATGTGGCTCTTAGGAGTAAGATTTGCCCTTACTATTGGCTACTGATAAGCTTCTTGGAGTTGGAAATATGGCTTGGTGCTTAAGAGTGCTTGCTGCTTTTACAGATGACCTGGGTTCAGTTCCCAGAACCCAGGGTGACAGCTCAGTACTCTAGTTTCAGGAGTATAAATGCCCTGTTCTCGTCTTTTAGGGCTCTTGCTTACACCTGGTGCACATAAACTCATGGAAGCAAACACATGTGCCCATAAATTAAATGAACAAATCCTTAAAAGAAAAAAAGAAGAAATGGGCTGGTAGGTATTTATTACAGTGGCAGAGTTCTTGGCTAGCACTTTGGAAGCCATGGGTTTGAACTTAAGCACTACCAAACAAACAGAAAATGGACTTAGCTGTTAAGAGAATTCGCTGTTCTTCCAGAGGAGCTGGGTTCAATTCTGAATACCCACAGGCTGGCTAACAAACACTTGTAACTATAGTTCTAGGGGATCCAATACTGGCTTCTGGCCAGTGTCTGGCCTTTGTGTACATTGAATGAATGTGGTTCACAGACATTCCTGAAGGCAATGCATCTATACACATAAAAATAAAATCTCCTAAAGTTAAAAGAAACACAAACAAACCATTCCTTCTGTACCTTTGTCCCACTTAGATGCCATGACTCTTGACATCAGCTGATCTGTCATTTAGAATGTCAGGTACAAACTACTGCAGTAAGGACTTTGTCCTTGTGTATCCAGTGGCTCAGTCAGCGGCTCTGCGATGCTGACTGCTCTATAAAAAATAAAAAGGGAGAGACAGAAACCTCCCAAGCTAGGTGTGATGGCTCATGTCTGAAATCCCAGCCCTTAGGAGGCAGAGGCAGGAGGATTGCCATGATTTGGAGACTAGTTTAGGTCACAGAATTAGAACTTATCTTTTTATTTTTTAGATCCTTATTTTTTAGTTATGTGCAGTATAATTAAGCCTAGACTGTCCTCTTTTTTAAATTTAATTTTTTTATTTTTATGGTGTTTTGCTTGCATGTATGTCTGTGCACCATATGCGTGTCTGGTGCCAGAGGAGGCCAGAAGAGGGCTTCAGATACCTGGAACTGGAGTTAAGATGGTTCTAAGGTGTTGTGTGGATGCTGGGAATCAAACCCTGATCTGCAGAAGCAACAAGAGCTATTCTCCAGTCCATAGATCCTTTTTTTTTTTTTTTTTTGTCTTGGTTTTTTCAAGCCAGGGTTTCTCTGTGTAGTTTTGGTGCCTGTCCTGGATCTTGCTCTGTAGACCAGGCTGGCCTCGAACTCACAGAGAGTGAGTTGGCTCTGCCTCGGGAGCGCTGGGATTAAAGGCATGTGCCACTGGCCATAGATCCTATCTTAAGAAACCAAAAAATAAAACCAAGTACGGTGTTGCAAGCCTGTAATCCCAGCACCCAAGAGGTGGAGACATGAGGATTAGAAGTTGAAAGTCAACGTCATCCTTGACTGCTACATAGCAAGTTGAGACCAGCTTGGAATACATGAGATCTTTCTCAAAAGCAAATAAGCAAACATAAATAGATAATACAAACCTATTTATAATTTTGAAGGATATCATGTGCTTAAGCATGTAGTATGCCACATTTAAATATTTACATGTAGTGGTTGTAATTTTTGTTGTTTAAAGTGAAGGTAGAATTGACTGCCCAAGATACAGAAACCCACGTCTGCCAAATATACTCCACACAACTCATTTGTTATATTTATGAAAGGTTCTTAAGAAGATATTAAGAGTTTCGGACATGATTGCAGTTGGATTATTTTATTCTTTGAGACACCGCAGTTTTATGTGTCCCAGGCTGGTTTTAAATTTGCTGTGTAGCTGAGGATGACTCTGAACTTCCCTTCTTCCTCCACTTCCCCAGGACTTGCATTATGGGTGTGTGCCATTACATTTGGTATCTCCAGTCCAGGAGATGAATCCAGAACTTAATGTATGCTTGGCAAGCACTTTACCAATTGAGTCACATCCCTAGCCACAGATAATTATATTTTAGTATATGACTGTTATTATTGTGATTAACATATACATCAGATATTATTCAAGTTTAGATATAGAAAAAACTCTGTGTGTATATGGAGAAAAGAATAAAAATAGTTTTGGATTAAAAGCCAGGAAACATGAATTTTAGTCTGATTTTTAACCTTTATAGACTGGGGTGCCAGGCAGTGGTGGCGCACGCCTTTAATCCCAGCACTCGGGAGGCAGAGCCAGGCGAATCTTTGTGAGTTCGAGGCCAGCCTGGTCTACAGAGCGAGATCTAGGACAGGCACCAAAACAACACAGAAACCTTGTCTCGAACCCCCTCCCCCAATATATATATTATAGACTGGTACATACATTATTACTTACTTTATAGTTTGGAAGTTGAGACTTAGCCTTGTTTATTTCTCCTATTGCTTCTCATCTATTGTAAATGATCAAATTCTCCTTTTTTCTAAATAAAAAAATTTATTGCATTTTATTTTGTGTGTGTGTGTGTGTGTATCAGAGGACAATTTATGACAGTTAGCTCTCTTTTTTTACCATGTGGGTCCTGGGTAACAAACTTAGGACAGCAGGTGTGGCGGCAAGTGCTTTTACCTGCTGTGCCATTTGGCTGGGTAATTCTTCTTTAATTTATTGATTCATTATTTTTGCAGAACCGAGAATTGAATGTAGGTTTTTGCTTAGTTCGGGCAAGTGCACTATCACTGAGTTACAATGTTGGCACCAAAATATTTTAATTCTTGTAAGTTAAATAGAACAAAGGAAACTAAATTGTTTTCTGGAGTAGGGAGAAAAGAGAGGGAATGAGTACCTGGCAACAAACACATGGTATATAATTGTTCTTTTACATTTCTTTGTGCTTGTGTGTATAAACACATCCCAGAACACACAATTTGCAGGAGTTGTTTCTACCCCTACACTATGGGGTTTCCAGGGATTAAATTCAGGCATTCAGCCTTTTCAGCAAGTTCCTTTACCCAATGAACGATCTCGATGGCCTTGTAATTTGTTATTGTTGTTTTGTTTTAGATTTATGTATTTATTATGTATACAGTGTCTGTCTGCATGCATGTCTGCATGTCAGAAGAGGGCACCAGCTCTCATAGATGGTTACGAACCACAATGTGGTTGCTGGGAATTGAACTCAGGACCTCTGGAAGAGCAGTCAGTGCTCTTAACCTCTGAGCCATTTCTCCAACCCTTTTGTTTTGTTTTTATATTTTTATTTATTTATTACTATTAAGTGTGTGTGTATGATGTATATGTGTGGGTGTGGGCATGCCATGCTGTGATTGTGGAGATCAAAGGACAACTTTATGGAATTAGTTCTCCTGATCTATCTTTATATGGATTCTGGTTGAATTCAGGTTGCAAGACTTGCAAGGCATGCACCTTTACCTGCTGAGCATTCTCTCTGGTCCTGTAATTTGTTTTTTGCAGGGGTTTGAGACACAGTCTCACTATATAGTTCAAGCTGGCCTTGAATTTATATTAGTTTTTCAGACTCCTGAGTGCTGGCCTTAGGTAGGTATGAACAGTATCTCATATACATTTTCATTTAGGCCTATCTTCATTTAGATATGATAGAGTCCTTGCCTAGAATGCTCAGTGCTCTAGGTTCAGTACCCAGAACCACATAAAACAGTGTGGTGGAGCATCTGTAATCTCAGTAAACACTTGGAATATAGAGTTAAGAGGATCAGAAGTTCAAGATCATCCCCAGCTGTATAGAGAATTCAAGGCCTGCCAGGCTACAGAGACCTGATCTCAAAAACAAAAGCTCTAAACTAAAATGTGTATGCATACTCACACATACACACACACACACACACACACACACACACACACACCCATAAAAAAGAATCAGGTTATGTATAGAAACAGCTACTTTGAAAATAAACCATTTATAGTAGAGTAGGAGAAGAAAGGTAATGTTGCCTAATATTAGTCATCCCCCTCCTCCCTCCAATTCTGAAGAAGCTGTCAAGAAGTTCCTATGAGGTGCAGGGTGGCTGAGTCTATGGCACAGATGATCATCAAATTAGCAGTGCTATTGAGCCATAAATTTTAGGACAGTAAGAGATGATTTAATTGCTTTAAAGTTTTGTTTCTTTCTGTTTTTTTGTTTTGTTTTTTAGAAAGTTGTTTTTTTTTTTTTTTTTTTTACTGTGCAGCCCAAGTAGGCTTAGAACTCTGGATTCCCCTATATCTACTCCTTAGTTCTGGATTACAGGTGTGCACCATCACATCTGACTCATTTAACTGCTTTTGAAGTTGATTATTTTGTTTAGTAAAAAATGTTTTAATTTGTTTGAAAATGCTTGAAACTTTTTTGTTTGTGTATTTGACCTGTGCTTCACCAGAAAGTATTTGTGGCAACTTAAACTGTGTGTAGTAAGCATCCTATGATAATGAGAGAAGGGAGTGCTCAGGGTGAGGGCTGGTTCATAGAGAAGATCAGTGTTCAAGCACAGGATAAACTAGGAATTTTCCTAACCCAAATGGGATAAGAGTAAAGCGGAGGCAGAGGCAGGCCTCTGTGAGTTCGAGGCCAGCCTTGTCTACAGAGTGAGATCGAGGACAGGCACTAAAACTACACAGAGAGACCCTGTCTTGAAAAACAAAAACAGGGACTGGAGAGATGGCTCAGAGGTTAAGAGCACAGACTGCTCTTCCAGAGGTTCTGAGTTCAATTCCCAGCAACCACATGGTGGTTCACAACCATCTGTAATGAGATCTGGTGCCCTCTTCTGGCCTGCAGGGATGTGTGTGGGCAGAACATTGTATACATAATAAATAAATAAATAAATCTTAAAAAAAAAAGAAAAAGAAAAACAAAACAAAACAAAAAAGCAAAGCTCACAGCCATCTCTGATTCCACTCTTCATTACTTTTTTTTAAATATTATTTTTATTTTATGTGCACTGATGCTTGTCTGCATATATGTCTGTAGGAGGGTGTCAGATACCCTATAACTGGACTTACAGACAGTGGTGAACTGCCATGTGGGTGATAGGAATTGAAGCCAAGTCCTCTAGAAGAGCACCAGTGCTCTTAACTGCTGAGCCATCTCTTTAGTCCCCAAATTACTTGTTTTAATGTTTAATAAATTTTGCCCTCCATTACCACTCTCTTTTCACAATAAATAAAAATGTTTTTAAAAGTTTTATCAGTGAGGGATTTTTATGTATGGGTTACCATCTCAGTTTTTTTTTCACTGTGTTTCAATAGCAGATATTTCAATACTGTTTTTCACATACATTAAAGCCAGAGCAGTACTCTTATATTATTTTGGATCATAGTTTTGGTTCCTTACTAACTTTGAAAGTTATGTATACCCATGACTCTTGAAAGCTCTAGGAATTTTTTCTTTGCCTGTGAGCATCTTGTGGTAATTGGTTCATTTACTGTTTTGGTTTTATCATTCAGGTATTATCTGTGTTCACTCAGATACATGTGTATGTATCAAGAGATACAGTATGGATGTGTATTCTTTAAATTATCAGGAGGTGCCCATGGCCTGATATATAAGAGACAAATGCTGTACCACTGAGCTTTATCTTCAGCCTTCAGTTAAAACTTTAAGTCTAGTATACTAACTTGTGTATCTCTTTTATAGCCCTGTATGCTTTTATATTTCCTGTAACACAGTGGTGTGAGTAGTTGCTTTCCCTACCTGTAGGTGACATGAACATTGCATCTCTTGTTGGAAGGGAGCAGCTCATGCAAGGTAGAGATGAAGATCAGCTTCCCCTGAATGTGTCTGCGTTTATAGAAAAGGAAGTGGGAAGTGACCTTAAATCTTTAAAGAAACTTGGCAAACTCATAGAACAGATGACAGAAAACAAAATGAAGTTAGAAGAACAGGTAAGTATTAAGCTCAGTGAACTATCAACTGTATTCATTGAAAGTGAACATAAACAGCACTATATGTACTAGCTGTCATGCATTTGAAGATGTAGATCATGACAGATAATCATTTAACTGACTTTAAAGACTCCTGCTCTACATTTTATAAATTAAGTAAAAGAGTTCCTACTGATTTGTGTCTTTGAAAACAAAATGATAGCTAATTTTATATCATTTTTATTTAATAATTTCTAGAACAGACTTGTGAATAAGTCAGAATGTACAGATATAGTTAAACACTATAATTCCAAGTTTCTATAAATGCACACATAGGAAGGAAACATGTCTAATTTACAGTCGTTGCTGGGTGTGGTGGCACATGTTTATAACCTCAGCACATGGAAGTAGGAGACAATTACTTCAAGAGTTCTAGGCCAGCTTCAGCTATGTAATGATTATAGACTACTTTGGATTCCATGAAACCTTATCACAAAAAAAATTCACAAAACAAAAAAAATACTGAAAGAGAATTTTAACAATGTTTCTGGGTGTTGGTTGAAAGGTGATTTTCTTCATGCTTTTATGTATTTTCAAGGTTTCATTTTACTATGAACATGTATTTTATTTTAAAAGACTCAATGAAAATAATCTTAAATTAAAGATAAGTAGGTCTTTATAGTTGTAGTACTCTGTCAAAGAGGAAAGATTTTATAATCTAAGTAAGAAATTAATTAGGTTAAGCAGACTCTGGATATGTGGGTTTGGTGTGGCTTATGTTCTTCCAGCCCCATGAATTGAGTTAGGCCTTCACACCTTCCTGCTTTTCTGTCAGAACTACTGCTAGTTTTTATATGTTGCCTGTTTGTCAGCTTTTCCATTCCTTCAAGGTTCTTTTGGAGACTATCACACTGCTGAGTCACCCAAGGACAGCCTAATTTGTGGCCTGCTACCATAACTATTTTCAGGCTCACCTTGCAGTCTTTTATTGCTACCAACCTCACTCATCCTTCTGAATTTTCCCTAAGTGACTACCCTATGTGGCTATTCTGCCATTTCTTTTTCTCTGACAAAAAAATTGAAGCATCTAGCATGAATATTTTTAACAGTCTATCCCATATTTCCAAACTTATTTGTAATCATTTTTACCTTTTCAGAGGTAAACTAATTTTTTGTTTACCACTGAAGGGTTCTAGGTGAGCCTTTAATTGTGTAGCAGAGAATGGCCTTAAACTTCTGATCTTCCTCCTTCCACCTCTAGAGTGCTAGGATTTTCAACATGTACCACCACATTGTGTTCCCAGTGTTCAAACTCAGGGCTTCATGCATGCTAGGCAAGCACTCTCCCAAGTAGGAACTCAAGTCTGAACCTTGGAAACAGGAACTGATGCAGAGACCATGGTACCTTTACATGGGTTGCATAGGTCAGACTTGGATGATCAGGCTTATTCTGCGAATGTTTTTTAACTGCTGAGTCACCCTACTAGCTGCTACCTCTGGTCTTGGAAAATACATCATTATGTTCTTAGTGTATGTCTTAGTTAGGGTTTCTGTTGCTGTGAAGAGACACCATGACCATGACAAATTTTATAAAGGAAAACATTTAATGGGATGGCTTACAGTTTCAGCGGTTTAGTCCATTATTATCATGGTGGGACATGGTGTTGTGCAGGCAGACATGGTACTGGAGAAGGAGCTGAGAGTTCTACATCTTGATCCGCAGGTAACAGAAGCAACTGTATCACACTGGGAATAGCTTGAGCTTATAAGACCTCAAAGCCCACCCCAACAGTGACAACAACAAGGCGACACCTACTCCAACAAGGCCATACCTCCTAATAGTGCCACTCCCTATAGGCCAAGCATTCAAAAATATGAGTCCATGGGGGCTATACCTATTCAAACCACCACAGTGTATAAATAGGTTTCACTATGACATTTTCATACATAAATAGCATTGTACTTTGCATGTACCCCCCCACCCCCCCATTCTTGCTCTCTCCATCTCTCCAGTCTGTCGGTCAGTGGTACCATCCCTAGCCCACATAAGCTTTCTAGTAGGAGCTAATATCAATGCAGGCTTACACTCTAACTCCTTCCTAGCATCTTGGCAACCAACCAGTGGTCTTAGTTTGCTCTTGGAATTTCTTTTTCCTTGATTTTTTAATTTTTTATCTTAGAACATATTTATTTTTTAATTTTTTAAATTCATTTTACATACCAACCACAGATCCCCCTCTCATCCCTCCTCTTACTCCCCTCACCCCCACCTTCCCCCTACCCCCAACCCACCCTTCATCTCTTCCTCCAACAGGGTAAGTTCTGCCATGGGACAGCTAAGCCTGGTACATTCAGTTGAGGCAGGACCAAGCCCCTCCCTGCTGCATCAAAGGTGAGCAAGGTGTCCAACCATAGGTAATGGGATCCAGAAAGCCAGAGATAGATCCTGATCACACTGTCAGGGGCCCCTCAAACAGACCCAGCTACACAACTGCCTCCCATATGCAGATGGTCTAGTCTGGTCCCATGCAGATTCCACAGCTGTCAGTCTAAAGTTCATGAGCTCCTTTGATCTTGGTTCAGTTGTCTCTGTAGATTCCCCCATCGTGATCTTGACACCCCCACCTTTGCTCTCTTCGACTAGCTTCCTGGAGCTTGGCCTGGTGCTTGGTTGTGGATCTCTGCATCTGTTTCCATCAGTTACTGGATGAAGGCTCTATGATGACAGTTAGGGTAGTCAGCAATCTGATTACAGGGGAAGGCCAGTTCAGGCACCCTCTCCACTATTGCTAGTTGTCTAATCTGGGGTCATCCTTGTAGATTCCTGGTAATTTCCCTAGCACTAGGTTTCTCCCTTACCCCATAATGTCTCCCTCTATCAAGATCTCTCTTTCATTGCTCTCCCACTCTATCCCTCCTCCAACTAGACCATCCCATTCCCTCATGTTCTCATCCCCCATCCCCTCCCATCTACTGACCCCCTCATCCCTAGTTTACTCATGGGAATCTCAATTTCCCCTTCCCAAGGTGACCTGTACATCCCTCTTAGGGTCTTCCTTGTTTCCTAGCTTCTCTGGAGCTGTGGGTTGTAGTCTGATCATCCTTTGCTTTACTTCTAGTATCCACTTATGAGTGAGTACATACCATGTTTGTCTTTCTGAGTCTGAGTTACCTCACTCAGGATGATATTTTCTAGTTCATCCATTTGACTGCAAATTTCATGATGTTACTTTTTTACTGCTGAGTAGTACTCCATTGTGTGTATGAGCTGCTGGATTTGTGTTGAGGTCTTTGATCCACTTAGACTTGAGTTTTGTGCATGGTGACAGATATGGATCTATTTGCCATCTTCTGCATGTTGACATGCAGTTATGCCAGCACCATTTGTTGAAGAGGTTTTCCTTTTTCCATTGTATAGTTTTTGGCTTCTTTGTCAAAAATCAGGTGTTCATAGGTGTGCAGATTAATGTTAGGGTCTTCAATTCGATTCCATTGGTCCACATGTCAGTTTTTATGCCAGTACCAAGCTGTTTTTACTACTATAGCTCCATAGTAGAGCTTGAGGTCAGGGATGGTGATGCCTCCAGAGGTTGCTTTATTGTACAGGATTCTTTTAGCTATTCTGGGTTTTTTGTTTTTCCATATGAAGTTGAGTATTGTTCTTTCCAAGTCTGTGAAGAATTGTGTTGGGATTTTGATGGGGATTGCATTGAATCTGTAGATTGCTTTTCGTAAGATTGCCATTTGTTACTATGTTAATCCTACCTATCCATGAGCATGGGAGATCTTTCCATTTTCTGATATCTTCTTCAATTTCCTTCTTTAGAGACTTAAGGTTCTTATCAAACAGGTCCTTCACTTGTTTAGTTAGTGTTATCCCAATGTATTTTATATTATTTGTTACTATTATAAAGGGTGATGTTTGTCTGATTTCTTTCTCATCCCTTTTATCATTTGTATATAGGAGGGCTACTGATTTTTTTTAGTTAATCTTGTATCCTGCCACCTTACTGAAGGAGTTTATTAGCTGTAGGAGTTCCCTGGTAGAATTTTTGGGGTCACTTATGTATACTATCATATTGTTTGCAAATAGTGAAAGTTTGACTTCTTCCTTTTCAATTTGTATCCCTTTGATCTTCTTTTGTTGTCTTATTGCTCTAGCTAGAACTTCCAAGTACTATATTGAATAAATATGGAGAGAGTGGACAGCCTTGTCATATTCCTGATTTTAGTGGAATCACTTTGAGTTTCTCTCCATTTAATTTGATGGTGGCTGTTGGCTTGCTGTAACTTGCCTTTATTACATTTAAGTATGTTCCTTGTATTCCTGATCTCTCTCTAGGACCTTTATCCTGAAGGGGTATTAGATTTTGTCAAAGGCTTTTTCAGTATCTAATGAGATGATCAGGTGGTTTTTTTCTTTCAGTTTGTTTATATGATGGATTACGTTGACAAATTTTTGTATGTTGAACCATCTGCTCTTGGAATTTTATCATTTGCTTCTCTACCAGTCCTGTCTTCTCAGTAGACGAAAATAGGTCTTTTCTATAAAACAAACCAAAAAACATTGCCTTCATCTTTTATTCATTTATTTGGTTGTCTGTATTCAGAAGTTTCTCCGGTCCTGCCTTGCCCAGCAGTCCGTATAAATCTCTCCCACCTTATAAAATAATTACTCAGAGGCTTATATTAATTATAAACTGTATGGCCTATGGCTTCAGCTTCTTGCTGACTAGCTCTTTCATCTTAAATTAACTCATTCCTGTTAATCTATATGTTGCCATGTGGCTGTGGCATTACCTGTCTGCTGGCATCTTGTTGCTCCTTCTGTAGTGGGCTGGCGTCTCCTTCAACTGTGCCCTTCTTCTCTCTCTGTCTCTGCTTAGATATTCCACCTGGCTGTAAGGTTTCTTACCATAGGCCAAAACAGCTTTATTTAGTATCCAGTGGGAGCCACACATATTCACAGCATACGGAAAGACATCCCACAGCAGCTGTCAGACATTTTAAAAAGTCTGTTATCAGTTTCCATTTTCTAGTTTGCTATTAGCTCTTTTACCCCTGTAATCAAGCTTGTTTTCCTAATGACCACAGATACTTTTGCTGAAGTCCCTTACTGAACCTGAAATTGAGCATGTCCAAAATTGTTCTTATCTGTCTCTTAACAGATTTCCCTCTGTGGCACCCTCTGTTTATCACTTATGTCTTGCTTTCTAGTTCTATGATAAAACACTGACCAAAAGCATCTTGTGGAGGAAAGAGGTTTTTTTTGGCTTACGCTTCCATGTCATGATCTGTCATTGAGGAAAGTCAAAGCAGGAGCTCAGGGCAGGAACTTGGAGACAGGAACTGGTGCAGAGAGCATGGAAAAAGAGTGTTTACTGGCTTGTTTTTCATGGCTTACTCAGTTTGGTTTTTATATAACTAGGGACCGCCTGACCAGGGGTGATACTACCCATAGTAGGGTAGGCTCTTCCCCATCAGCCATTAATCAAGAACATGCTCACAGAATTGCCTAAAAGCCTATCTGATAGAAGCATTTTCTCAGTTGAAGTTCCATCTTTTCAGATGACTCTCTAGCTTGTGTCAATTTGACAAAAACTCAACCAGCACAGGTCTGTAGCCTAGGAGTCTGATGCTTCTCCTCCCTCTGTTAATACCCAACCCTCAGTCTTCTGAGCTCCCTCCTTGCTTTCCTATTCCTATTTTCTAACCTGTAAATTTAAACATCTAGTGGACTCTGTTATCTGTTATACAAAGAATGTTCTTCCATGACCACCTGTGATCTGGTCTTTTCCTCCTGTCCAGGCTCATCTAGTCTCTCTTCTCCCTTTGAATTAGATTCTGTCCATTAGAACAAGATCTCCAGGTAATTTTTGTTCATGTTCAGGTTTCAGGAGTGCTCCATTAGTGTACTGTTTCTCCTAGTTCCTAGTGTGTCAGGTGGTTTTGTTGTTCACAAGGCATCACTCTAGCACTGGCTAGCTTGGAACTCACTGTGTAGACCAGGCTGACCTGGAACTCACAGAGCTCTATCTGCCTCTGCCTCCCACGTGCTGGGACTAAAGGTTTGTACCATCATGATCAGGCTAGTGTGTTGTTTTATTGCATTAATTTCACTTTTGAGAATGTATGCTTGTGTGTCTCTTCCATAATTAAGGGCAGATGTTTATCTTCCTTATATTGCTAGCATAGTACAGGGTTCAGAGTGTCTAATCAGGATTGATTGAGTTGAAATTCTATAAAATTCTGTGTAGTACTGGGTGTGGTCACATTAACCTGTAATTCCAGAACTCATAAGATGGATGGAGAATGTTCAGAAGTTCAAGGCCAGCCTAGTATATATGAGACTGTCTCAAAATAAAATATTACTCATTTGTTCTGATGTCTAATATTGATTTATGTTTCTTATATATGATAAAAAGCATTTTAAAAACATCTATTTTTTTTTATTTTATTTTATGTGCATTGGTGTTTTGCCATGGGTGTTGAGTACTCTGGAACTGGAGTTACAGACAGTTGTGAGCTGCCATGTGGGTGCTGGGAATTGAACCCCTGTCCTCTGGAAGAGCAGCCAGTGCTCTTAACCACTGAACCATCTCTCCAGCCCCTAAAAACATCTATTTTAATTACATGATTGGGATTGGGTTATATGAATGAGTGTAGGTGCCCCTATAGCCAGAGGCTTCAGTCCATTGTGGATTCTGGGAAAAGAACTTGGGTCCTCTGGAGGAGCAATATGTACATTTACCTGCTGAGCCATCTCTCCAGTCCCCATAAAAACATCCTTTAATAAATTACATTTCTAAAGACATTACCTAAATATCTTCTTACCAAATCAGTAGGTCTCCTCTTAGGCTTCAGCAAAGTACATGGATCCAGCTGTATTTGGGGTTTTTTGTTTGCTGCAAGGCAGGGCTTTATGTAACTCAGGTTGGCCTCAAACTCCTATGTAGCTGAGACTGGTGTGGAACTCCTAATCCTCCTTCCTCAACCTCCCAAGTGTTGAGGTTACAGGTATGTGCTACCTTGCCTAGTTTAAAAGATCCCTCCACCCCCACCCCTGCTGTGGTGTTGAGAATTGAACCCAATCTTATGCATACTAGGCAGGTGCTCTACTTGTTGAGACATATCCCTAGCTGTGTTATCAATGCAGCGTGAATCACAGCTTTATTTGTTTTTTGAAGGGAAATAACTTAGTGAAGTAAGAAATCTCTGGCTATAATGCTTTCAAAATGTTCCAGATACTCTCTTGGGAGCCATGTGTTGAGGTTTCTCTCTCTCTCTCTCTCTCTCTCTCTCTCTCTCTCTCTCTGTGTGTGTGTGTGTGTGTGTGTGTGTGTGTGTGTGTGTATATATATGCTTGTCATATAGCATTATATGTTTGGGTTGATTGCTATAGGATGAAGAAATTGAACCTTGTTATTTTGTGTGTGTGTGTGTGTGGTGTATGCTATATGTTTCCATGAGTGTGGAAATGAATAAGCCAGAGGTCAATGTCAGGTGTCTATCTCTATCATCATCTACCTGTTTTTTTGAGGTAGGGTCTCTTACTGAACCTGAAGCTCATTGATTCAGCTAGGTGGGCTGGCCACTGAGCAGAGATCTACCTGTCTTTTTCTTCCTAGCATGAGGGTTACAGACACAGTGCTGTGCCTATTTTTTTTTTTTTTTTTAAAAACCTCACTAGCCCTTTTTCTTCCTTCCTTCCTTCCTTTCTTTTCCTTCCTTCCTTCCTTCTTTCTTTCCTTCCTTCCTCCCTCCCTTCCTTCCTTCCTTCCTTCCTTGTCTCTCTCTCTCTTTCATTTTTTCTTTTCTTTTTTTTTTTAAATATATTTACTTTTATTTCATTTGCATTGGAATTTCGCCTGCATGTAGGTCTGTGTGAGGGTGCCAGATCTTGGAGTTAGAGACAGTTGTGAGCTGCCATGTGGGCGCTGGGAATTGAACCTGAGTCCTCTGGAAGAGCAGTCAGTGCTCTTAACTGCTGAGCCATCTCTCCAGCCTCTTTCTTTCATTTTTTCATTCATTCATTCATTCTTTCTTTCTTTTTTTTTTTTTTTGAGATAGTCTTATGTAGCCTAGGCTGACCTTGAACTCCTGATTCTTCTGCTTCCACCTCCCCAGTGCTGGGACCGAAGGTGTGTGCCACCACACCTAGCCAAACCTTTTGTTTGAAGGGTTTTTATGTTTGTTTTTAAGACAAGGTCTGATTACATAATTATAGCTGCCCTGAAACTCAGATATAGCTCAAACTTACAAAGGTACTCCTGCACCTACCTTCTGAGAGCTGGGATTAAAGATGTGCACCAGTATGCCCAGCTAGATTGAAAATTTTAATGGAAAACTTTCAGTTCTGTTGGAACATGTTTTTGGACTAACAAACTTTTACCTTGTTACTAATATTTTTGTATGTTGTTAGGTACTTACAATTTCATCAGAAATCCCTAAAAGAATTCAAAGTGCTTTAAAAGATGCAGAGGAATCCCAACAAGTTCTTAATCAGTTTCTGGAGCAGGAAACTCCTCTCTTCAGCTCCATCATTAGCCATTTGCTGACTGCACAGCCCTGGATGGATGATCTTGGGGCCATGATCAACCAGATAGAAGAGATTGAGCAGCATCTCACATACCTTAAATGGGTTTCACAGATCGAAGAGCTAAGGTAGGGCAGGCATTGTTCTCATAATTATTGTTTCCTTTGAGTCCTCTGTCTCACAGAATATATGTATGCTGTTAAATAATTGAGTTAATTAAAGATTATAATTTTTTTTACCAAGTGTTAGGAAAATAACATTATGGTAATGATTATTCTGCTCTATTGTGAATGAAAAGAAACTTCAGGCAGCTTAATTTGCATTTGAAAGAAACTAATCTAAGTAAGTTAAAAATTTAAGGCTTAAGCAGTTGTGTTAAACTTTTTTTTTTTTTGGTTTTTCAAGACAGGGATTTCTCCGTATAGGTCTGGCTGTCCTGGAACTCACTTTGTAGATCAGGCTGGCCTCAAATCTAAAGGCATGCGCCACCACTGCCCAGCCAAAACTACTGTTTCTTTTTTTTTTCTCCCTTTTTTTTATTAAGAAATTTTCTATTCATTTTACATACCAACTACAGATGCCCCCTCCTCCCTCCTCCGACCCCCTGGCTTCCCCCTAATACTCCACCCATTCCCACCTCCTTCAAGTCAAGGTCTTCCATGGGGAGTCAGCAGAGACTGGTGTATTCAGTTAAGGCAGATCTAAGCCCCTACCCCCTGCATCAAGGCTGTGCAAGATGTCACACTTGGACACCAAAAAGCTCGCTCATGCACCAGGGACAGATCCTGATCCCCCTGCCTGGGACCTCCCAAACGGTTCAAGCTAAACAACTGTCTCACGTATCCAGAAAGCTAGTCCAGTCCCATGGGGGCTCTACAGTTATTGGTCCACAGTTCATGGGTTTACACTAGTTTGGCTGGCCGTCTCTGTATGTTTTCCCATCATGATCTCAATGTCCCTTGCTTATAGAATCCCTCCTCTCTCTCATCAGTTGGACTCTTGGAACTTGTTCTGGCACCTGGCCGTGAATCTCTGCATCTGTTTCCATCAGTAACTGGATGAAGGCTCTATGATGACAGAGTATTCACTTACCGGAGTAGACCAGTTTAGGCACCCTCTCAACCATTCCTAGTAGTCTAAGGTGGGGTCATCCTTGTGGGTTCCTGGAAACTTCCCTAGCACCCTATTTCTCCCTATTCCCATAATGTCTTCATTTATCATGGTATCTCTTTCCTTACTCTTCAACTCTGTTCGTGTTCCAGCACAAACCTCCCATTTCCTTATGTTCTCATCCCCAATTCCTTGCCCTCCATCACCTCTCCTCACCCCCAGTTTGCTCATGTAGATCTCATCTATTTCTGCTTCACTGGGATATCTATGTGACCCTCTTAGGGTCCTCCTCTTTAGCTAGCTTCTCTGGAACTATGGGTTGTCGTCTGGTTATCCTTTGCTTTACACCATGTTTGTCCTTCTGAGTCTGAGTTACCTAACTCAGGATGATATTTTCTAGTTCCATCCATTTGCCTGCAGTTTCATGATATCATTGTTTTTTACTGCTGAGTAGTACTCCATTGTGTATATATGCCACATTTTCTTTATCCATTCTTCAGTTGAGGGGCATCTAGGTTGTTTCCAGGTTCTTGCTATTACGAATAATGCTGCTATGAACATAGTTGAGCATGTGTCCTTGTGGTATTATTGAGCATTCTTTGTGTATATGCCCAAGAGTAGTATAGCTGCGTCTTGAGGAAGACTTATTCCCAATTTTCTGAGAAACTGCCACACTGATTTCCAAAGTAGCTGTACAAGTTTGCATTCCCACCAATAGTGGAGGAGTGTTCCCCTTGTTCCACATCCTCTCCAACATAAGCTGTCTTCAGTGTTTTTGATCATAGCCATCTGACAGGTGTAAGGTGGTATCTCAGATTCGTTTTGATTTCATTTCTTTGATGACTAAGGATGTTGAGCAGTTCCTTAAATGTCTTTCAGGCATTTGAGATTCTTCTGTTGAGAATTCTCTGTTTAGCTCTGTAGCCCATTTTTTAATTGGATTGTTCAGTATTTTGATGTCTCGTTTTTTTTTTTTTAAATCCTTTTATGTTTTGGAGATCAGCCCTCTGTCAGATATGGGGTTGGTGAAGATCTTTTCTCATTCTGTAGGCTGTCATTTTGTCTTACTGATTTTATCCTTTGCGCTACAAAAGCATCTCAGTTTCAGGAGGTCCCATTTATTAATTGTTGTTCTCAGTGTCTGTGCTACTGGTGTTATATTTAGGAAGTGATCTCCTGTGCCAATTCATTCAAGAGTACTTCCTACTTTCTCTTCTATCAAGTTCAGTGTAACTGGATTTATGTTGAGGTCTTTGATCCACTTGGACTTGAGTTTTGTGCATGGTGACAGATATGGATCTATTTGTAATCTTCTACATGTTGATATCCAGTTATGTCAGCACCATTTGTTGAAGAGACTTTCTTTTTTCCATTGTATAGTTTTTGGCTTCTTTGTCAAAAATCAGGTGTTCATAGGTGTGCAGATTAATGTCAGGGTCTTCAGTTCGATTCCGTTGGTCCACATGTTGGTTTTTATGCCAGTACCAAGCTGTTTTTATTACTACTATAGCTCTATAGTAGAGCTTGAGGTCAGGGATGGTGATGCCTCCAGAGGTTGCTTTATTGTACAGGATTCTTTTAGCTATTCTGGGTTTTTTATTTTTCCATATGAAGTTGAGTATTGTTCTTTCCAAGTCTGTGAAGAATTGTGTTGGGATTTTGATGGGGATTGCATTGAATCTGTAGATTGCTTTTCGTAAGATTGCCATTTGTTACTATGTTAATCCTACCTATCCATGAGCATGGGAGATCTTCCCATTTTCTGATGTCTTCTTCAATTTCTTTCTTCAGAGATTTAAAGTTCTTGTCATACAGGTCTCTCACTTGCTTAGTTAGAGTTACCCCAAGGTATTTTATATTATTTGTGGCTATTGTGAAGGGTGAGTGATGTTTGTCTGATTTCTTTCTCATCCCTTTTATCATTTGTATATAGGAGGGCTACTGATTTTTTTTTTTTTTTAGTTGATCTTGTATCCTGCCACCTTACTGAAGGAGTTTATCAACTGTAGGAGTTCCCTGGTAGAATTTTTGGGGTCACTTATGTATACTATCATATTGTTTGCAAATAGTGAAAGTTTGACTTCTTCCTTTTCAATTTGTATCCCTTTGATCTCCTTTTGTTGTCTTATTGCTCTAGCTAGAACTTCCAAGTACTATATTGAATAAATATGAGGAGAGTGGATAGCCTTGTCATATTCCTGATTTTAGTGGAATCCCTTTGAGTTTCTCTCCATTAATTTGGTGTTGGTTGTTGGCTTGCTGTACAATTGCCTTTATTATGTTTAGGTATGTTCCTTGTATTGCCTTTATTATGTTTAGGTATGTTCCTTGTGTCCTGATCTCTCTAGGACCTTTATTCTGAAGGGGTGTTGGATTTTGTCAAAGGCCTTTTCAGCATATAATGAGATGATCATGTGGTTTTTTTCTTTCAGTTTGTTTATGTGGTGTATTACATTGACAGATTTTCATATGTTGAACCATCCTTGCATCCCTGGGATGAAGCCTACTTCGTCATGGTGGATAATTTTTTTGATGTGTTCTTGGATTCAGTTTACAGATATTTTGTTGAGTATTTTTGCATCAATGTTCATGAGGGAGATTTGTCTGTAATTCTCTTTCTTTGTTGCATCTTGGTGTGGTTTGGGTATCAGGGTAACTGTAGCCTCATAAAAAGAGTTTGGTAATGTTCCTTCTGTTTCTCTTGTGTGGAACAATTTGAAGAGTATTGGAATTAGCTCTTCTTTGAAGATCTGTTAGAATTCTGTGCTGAGACCATCTGGTCTTGGGCTTTTTTTGGTTGGGAGACTTTTAATGACTGTTTCTATTTCCTTAAGGATTATTGGTCTATTTAAATGGTTTATCTCATCTTGATTTAACTTAAAACTACTGTTTCTAATGCCATATTTCTTCGAGTGTGATCATCATTGTCCCATTCATATTTAGAGACTGTCACATGTTGAGCTGCATTGTTTCACCTAGTATTTGAATTTCTTTAGTGGTTATTATCATCTAATAAGAAATGCATTGTAAGAGGCTCAGCAGTTAGAAGCACTTGCTGCTCTTCCAGAGGACCAGGTTTCAATTACTGGAACTCACATAGCAGCTCACAACTTCTATAACTTCAGTTCCAGTGGATCTGATGACCTTTTCTGGCCTCCCTGGGCACTGTATGCATATGGCGCTCATAATGTACATGCAGGCAAAGCACTCATACACATAAAATAAAAATAAATAAATAATCGACTGGACAGTAGTACTGTACACCTTTAATCCCAGCACTCAGGAGGCACAGGCAGGCAGATCTTTGTAAGCTGGAGGCCAGCCTGATCTGCAGAATGAATTCGAGGACAGCTAGGGATGTCTTGTCCTGTCTTGAAAAACCAAAACCAAAAATAAATAAATAAATAATTGCTTAAGAAAGAATTGTGGGGGCTGGAGAGATGGCTCAGAGGTTAAGAGCACTGCTTGCTCTTCCAAAGGTCCTGAGTTCAATTCCCAGCAACCACATGGTGGCTCACAACCATCTGTAATGAGATCTGGTGCCCTCTTCTGGCCTGCAGGGATATGTGCAGATGGAAAACTGTATACATAATAAATAAATAAATCTTTAAAAAAAAAAAGAAGCTTATGCAACTGAAAAGGTGTTTCTGGTGAGCATGCCTAGTTAAGAATTGCTATGGATTCCTTGTAATTAAAAGAAAAAAAAAAAAGGCCGGGCGGTGGTGGCGCACGCCTTTAATCCCAGCACTCGGGAGGCAGAGCCAGGCGGATCTCTGTGAGTTCAAGGCCAGCCTGGACTACCAAGTGAGTTCCAGGAAAGGCGCAAAGCTACACAGAGAAACCCTGTCTCGAAAAAACCAAAAAAAAAAAAGAAAGAATTGTGACCTGTCATGATGTAATCCTAGCACTTGGTGGGCTGAAGCAGTAGGATTGCTGCATGTTTTAGGCCAGCTTTGTTTACAGAGTGAATTCCAGGAAAACCCAGGCTACTAATTGAGACCTGGTCTCCAGAACAACAGCAAACAAAAAGAACTACATAGTTAGGCCAATGTGATGGTTCAAACCTGTAATCTCAATGCTTGGGAGGCCAAGGCAGGAGGATAGTAAGTTCAAGATCAGCTTATGGCTACATGGCTAGACCTTGTCTAAAAACAGACAGACAGACAAACAGACAAAAAACTCTCCCAAAACTATACAGTATTCTTAGATGAATAATGGAGTTGAAATACCTAAGAGTAGGGAAAAATAAAGTTATTTTGATAAAAAGAGAAATAAAGTTTACATCTGTTTTGTGAACACTACAGGTTAATTATATCTGGTCTTGCCTCTCAAGTCAGAGTAACATTTCTGCCTAAATGGGGAGATTATTTTGTTTTATGGTACGGTTCCCTACCTCCTCCAAATTGTACATTGGTTGTCTTCCTTTATTTTTTGAGACAGTCTCTCTCACTAAACCCTTGGCTCACAGATTGGCTAGTCTGGCTGGCTAGTGTCTCCCTAGCCACCCTCTGTCTCCTCTTCCTATGCTGGGATTACAGGTGCATTACCTTGCCTTACTTTTTATATGGCTGTTAAAGGATCTAAATCCCAAGTCCTCATGCTTGCACAGCAGATACTTTACCCCCTGAGCCATCTTCCTAGAACCTTTAGTAAAGGAGTTTTAAACCTTGCTTTCCTTCATTTCTCTTTGTTTGAAAGTTTCCCTTTCATAGTAGCCAAAGAAATTAACCAAAACAAGACTGTAGTTTTCTGTAACTTTTGTGGTATCTGAATTGTTTAAAAGAGAATTTTAATCCAGGAATCATATTGAATAAGAATCAAATAAATAGGGGCTAGAGAGATGGCTCAGTGGTTAAGAGCACTGACTGCTCTTCCAGAGGACCCGGGTTCAATTCCCAGCACCCACATGACAGCTCACAACTGTCTGTAACTCCAGTTCCTGGAGATCTGACACTGTTATACCAATGCACATAAAATAAAGTTAAATAAATTATTAAAAAAAGAAAATATTAAAAAAAAGAATCAAATAAGTAATGAGTACCACACTGACAGTTATTTCATTCTCTTAATATAGTTTTTCCCTTAGGGCCTTTGTGATAACATCTCTAGTTCCAATTTTCTTTCAAACCTCTAAGCCTATTTTTTCATCTCTAAATTTCCCTGTAATGGCTTGTTTTTAGTCTGTATTCTGTCCTCTTTTTCTCTCCTTCTCTCTTCTTGCTTGATTTAGCATCTTGGCAGTGTTTTGGGAACATTATAGTGAGCAGTGTCATAGCATGAACATTGTTATTCTGGCTTTTCCTGTGCTGTAAGTGTCCTTCACGTTTCAGTGTTATGCAATTCTGGAAATTTTATATTCTGTGGTTACTTGTACATTTTCTGTTCTTTTGTAATATATCTTTTTTTTTTCTTTCTTTTTTTGTTTTGTTTTTGAGACTGGGTTTCTATGTATAACAGCTATGGTTGTCCTGGAACTTGATTTGTAGACCAGGTCTTCAACTCACAGCTCTTCACCTGTCTCAGCTTCTTGAGTGCTGGGATTAAAGGCGTGCTCCACCACTGCCGGACTCTTCGTTTTTGAATCAAGGTCTTACTATGTAACCTTGGCTGGCCTGGGACTTACCATGTAGGTAAACCTGTACCAGGCTGACATCAAACTCACAGAGATCTGCTGTAGTTTTTTTTTTTTTTTTAAACCCTTTTACTCTTTTGGGGGTCTGCTACCCAGCTCCCAAATAAATATATGTGGAGGCTTATTCTTTCTTATGAATGCCCAGTGTTAGCTTTGTTTGTTTCTAGCCAGCTTTTCTTAAATTATCCTGTCTACCTTTTGCCTCTGGGCTTTTATCTTTCTCTGTTCTGTATACCTTTCTTTACTTCTTACTCCATGGCTTGCTGTGTAGCTGGGTGTCTGGCCCCTGGTGTCCTCTCTTCTTCTTTTCTTTTCTTTTTTTTTTTTCCAAGACAGGGTTTCTCTATGTAGCTTTGCACCTTTCCTGGAACTCACTCTGTAGACAGGATGGCCTTGAACTCACAGAGATCCACCTGGCTCTGCCTCCCGAGTGCTGGGATTAAAGGCGTGAGCCACCACCGCCCGGCTCTTCTTCTTTTCTTGTTCCTTGATCTTCTCTTCCCAGATTTCTCCTCCTATTTATTCTTTCTGCCTGCTAGCCCTACTTATCCTATCTCCTGCCTTGCTATTGGCTGTTCAGCTCTTTATTAGACCATCAGGTATTTTAGACAGGCTAAGTAACACAGCTTCACAGAGTTAAATAAATGCAACATAAAAGAATGCAACAAGTCTTTTCACCATTAAATGAGTGTTCCTCAGCATAAACAAATGTAACCCATCCTCAACTAATATTTCACAGCAATCTGCCGGTCTCCACATCCTGAGTGCTAAGATTAAAGGTATGCATCCTTGTGCCTGCCTCATTTTTTTATTGGAGGGTCTAGGCAAGTCTCATGGCCCATGAATTCTTGATCCTTCTGCCTCTATTTCCCCAGTGTACCGTGCAAGGATTACATGCTATGTCACTCTACCTGGCTACATTTATACATTTCTTAAGCATGATGGTCTTTATTTTAATGAAATACTAAACTTGGAATATACCTTTTTTGATGCAGAAATGGTAACTATGATGCAAAGTAGATAAAAACTGAAGGTTACTCTACTTGAGTGTCCCATATGCTAATTACATTATCCTGTGGATCACAACTTGTATGAAAGAAGTCCTACCAGAAATGAGTGTTGTCTGCAGAAATGTGACACATCTGTCCTCTCAGGAGGAGTAGGGAGAGACAGGTAGAAGAAGACATCCTGAACACAGGCTGCTGCTCTTAGGAGGATGTTAAAGGAGGCGGATGGGGAGGTGTGTCTCCAGGTTCCTTCAGATGTGAGTGTCTGATAAAATAAGTAGCCAACTCATAGTCATGCTTCATTCTTCCTTAGATGAGGGAGAATGTTTTTCTTTTTTCTTTTTCTTTTCTTTTCTTTTTTTTTTTTTTTGAGACAGGGTTTCTCTCTGTAGCCCTGGCTGTCCTGGAACTAGCTCTGTAGACCAGGCTGGCCTCAAATTTACAGAGCCACCTTGCCTCTGCCTCCCGAGGACTGGGATTAAAGCCCACCACAGCTTTAATCCCAGTCCTTACTGTGAAATTTTCAGAGCTTAATTTTGTTCCAAAGGGGGATTTGGTGGTGGATTAGTCAGTAAAGTGCTTGCTATGCAAACATAAATATCTGAGTTCAGTTTCCAGCAATGGCATTAAAGAGCCAGGTGTTGGGGAGGCAGACAGTGTAGAGTCTAGATTCCAGATGAGTTGGTGAATTTCAGGTTCAATGAAGAGACCATGTCTCAAAAATAAGGTGGAGAGTGATTGAGAAAGACACCTGCTATTGACCTCAGGGTCTCTACACAGGTACACACTCACTTACTCACACACACACAGACAGACAGACACATACACACACACACACACACACACACACACACACACACACACACACACACACGTCCACGTCCACACACATACTCGCTCACTCCACAAGAAACACTCATTAATGTGTGTTCTGCTTTGTCTTACAGTGATAACATTCAGCAATACCTGATGACCAATAATGTGCCAGAGGCTGCCTCTATCCTGGTGACCATGACAGAACTTGACATCAAGCTTCAGGAGTCATCTTGTACTCATCTTCTTAGTTTCATGAGAGCCACCGTTAAATTCTGGCATAAAATTCTCAAGGACAAGCTTACCAGGCAGGAAATATTTCATGGTGATTGCTTTCTGATGGATATTTGGTAATTTAATGGCATCATATGAAATACTGTTTCTTTTCTGTTACAGTGATTTTGAGGAAATTTTAGCACAGCTTCATTGGCCATTCATCACACACACCCAGTCTCAAACTGTTGGCATAAGCCTGCCTGCTAGTGCCCCTGAGGTGTATGCTACTCTGGAGACACTGTTTTGTCAGCTGTTGAAACTACAAGCCTCGTATCTTTGTTGGAGTGGAAAAGTTACTAAGACTACTTCCTACAGTATATTTGTAGTTAGTGATTAAAATATTTTGGGCTATTGATAGAGTGGTAGAGAATGAATGAGGCACTGGAATTGACCTTCGATACCAGAGGAGAAAGTTTTCAAGTGACCATGAAGCAAAATTGAGGGTCCTAAGTTAGACCTGATATGTAACTTTCTATTGGAAAGTATATATTTTCTTTAAAAAATGAATTGTCTGGGAGTGGGAAGGCTGTAAAAAAAGAGTTCTGAGATAAACAGCTGTCTTAGTCAGTGTTCTATTGCTGTGAAGAGACACCATGACTACAAGAACTCTTATAAAGGAAAACATTTAACTGGATCTGGCTTATAGTTTTAGAGGGGTTGTCCATTATTGTCATGGTGGGAATCATTGCTGCATGCAGGCAGACATGGTGCTGGAGAGGTAGCTGAGAGTTCTACATCTGGATTAGCAGACGGCAGGAAGGGAGAGACACTGGGCCAGTCTTGAGCATTTGAAACCCCAAAGCCCACCCTAGTGGCAAACTTCTTCCAACAAAGTCACAGCTATTCCAATAAGGCCACACCTCCTAATCCCTGTCAAGTAGTGCCTTTTCCTAAAGACCAAACATTTAAACACATGAGCCTACTTTGTCCAGTCTTATTCAAACCCCCATGGTAACTGACCAGTGTTGGTATTACGGGTCTTTTGGGACAAGAAAATAAATAGGCAATGGGAAGAAACCTTAGTAACAAAGTATTAATCAGCCGGGCGGTGGTGACTCACGCCTTTAATCCCAGCACTCCGGAGGCAGAGCCAGGCGGATCTCTGTGAGTGAGTTCCAGGAAAGGTGCAAAGCTACACAGAGAAACCCTGTCTCAAAAACAACAAACAAACAAACAAACAAAAAACCAAAGTATTAGTCAAATGATTGTGTAAGTTGATATCTTTACTACTGATTGATTCTAAAAACCTTTTATATTTTCATTATTTTTTATTTTGTGAGTATACCTGTTTTGCCTGTATGTGTGTCTGTGCACCATGTGCATGACTTGTGCCTGTTGAAGTCAGAAGAGGGCATCAGATCTCCTGGTACTATAGTTAAGGATGATTGTGAGTCATGATGTGGGTGTTGGGAATCAAGCCTGGATTCTCTGCAAGAGAAACAAGTATTCTTAACCACAGAGTCATCTCTCCAGTCCCTAAAAACCTTTTTAGTGAATTTAAATTCAATATAAAGTTAGGTTTCACATTACTTGTATTAAACCTTTTGCTAAGTATTAATACATTTGTTGGAAAAATTGCGTGAGTGAGTGAGTGTGTGTGTGTGCATAAATATGATTTTGATTCTTTTTCCTTGACTTGACTGTATCAGAGATGAATTACTAACTGAGCCCAAACAACTCCCAGAAAAATATTCTCTTCCTGCATGCCCTTCTGTGATCCTGCCCATCCAGATCATGCTGACTCCCCTTCAGAAGAGATTCAAGTACCACTTCAGAGGCAACCGGCAGACGAATGTTATCAGTAAGGTGTGCTTTGCTATTCTCTCTCTCTCTCTCTCTCTCTCTCTCTCTCTCTCTCTCTCTCTCTCTCTTATTGTTTTTTGAGACAGAGTCTAAGAAGAACCCCAGGCTGGCCTCAAACTTGAGCTCCCTTTGCATCTGCCTCCTGAGTGCTGGGATTACATATATGTGCCACGATGTCCACTTTGCCCTGAGGTTTCAGTAAATGTTACCTGTGCCAGGGCTTTTGTGTGTTTAAGTTAAAAACCTGTCTTTATTCATGTTTCTGTTTTCCCTGAAAGGCTAAATTCCTGCCTTATAACTGCTCTTTGTAGACATAACTGGGACTTAGATTGACAGGTTGTCAGAATTGGTGCTCTCCTTGGGACATCGTCTGAGCAATTTCTCACATTTATGTTTGAGCATGCAGGCTTTACAATCAAATCTATGCCCAGGCTTCACTATACAGACCACTCCTGTAGATATATATGAATAGAGTGAAAAAGATGTGAATTCCACAAGATAGAGCATTGGATGTTGACTAGAGGTGTCAATGCCAAAGTGACACATAGCTGCAGAAGAGATATCATGGCAGTAAGTGATGGAATAATTTAAAGGAAATTGTTACCAATATTTGAACTGAGGGATCCTATTGGCATTTTTCTGTAATTATAATCTACAAGGATGTGGGCACTATCTTATTTGTTCTTGTTGTTTGCTGCAGTCAATGCAGTGCATGGAACAGGGTCAGTAAGTATTCTGAATTTAGTGCAAAAGCACACCAGGTATTATACATGTCATATGGATGAACATAGTGTCAGTAGATTCCTGTTTGTACTTTATGGGTTTCCTTTTTGGGTAGAGTGTTGTTGGAAGAGCAGAATCATTTAGTACTCAGTAGTAAATGAGGCAAAATATAAACTGAACATGTAGAAAGGCAATAATATAATTTGGTGTAAGGAAATTTTGAGTTGTATTGGCTCAGTTTAAAAGTGTGATCCTAATGAATCAAAAGACATAATGTGAGACAGTCTTTGAGATTAGATGTTGCCCTTATTTGTATTCCCAACCTTTCGAATACCATAGGGATTTACCAGTCAGTCATTTTTTTTCTCAGTGCTGGGGGTTTAACCCAGGACCTTGCACATGCTGGGCAAGTGCTCTATCCCTGAGTTATATTCCAGCCTAGTATGTTTTTGAGTTGTTGTGTAGAAAAACTTGAAATGTTTGGAGAATCCTCTCTAAAGACAATTTAAAACACTTTATGTGGAGCTGGTGAGATGGGCCAGTGGGTAAAGCCATATATACCTCTAAGCCTGACTACTTGAATTTGATCCCCAGGACCCACTTGGTGGCAAGAGAGAATTGACTCCTGAAAGTTGTCTTTTTATTGCCACTTGTACACTGTGTATTGTGCACTCCCACATACACATACACTCAAATGTGCATATACACACAGAAAAAAATGTAAAAAAAAGTTTCAAATTCTTTGTGCCTACATTTCCTTTCCATAACTATATCCATTTTAAGGCTTGGATATATTTGTAATGTAGACCAGCTGGCTTTTTCCTTTACTTTACCTTTTGAAAAGAAAGCAGAAGAAAATCATGTTTAAAAATGATTTGGGGATGTATCTCAGTCTAAGTGGAGTGCTTCCATAGTTAATGAAGACCTAGGTTTAATCCCCAGCACCACATAAACCACATGTGATGGTGCATATTTGAAATCCTCAAACTAGGAAGGTAGAGGCAGGAAGATCAGAAGTTCATCATCCTCAGTTACATAAAGAGTTTGAGGCTAGCATGAGCTACAATGAGATCCTATCTCAAAATACTTTCTTCAGAATGCTACTTCCAAGAACAATTTCAAAGATATCAGTTGCTTATAATACCTCATCATGCTAGGTTTGGAGGGCTTTAAAATAAACCAGCATTTTATATCTCTTTGTGTGTGTAGGTCAGAGGAACAACCTGTGCGAGTTGGCCCTTTCTCTCCACTATGTAGATTCCAGGAAACCAACTCAGGCTGTTAGGCTTGCTGGCAGGTCTCTTTACCCATGGAGCCACCCTGCTGTCTTGACTCTGTTGTTGTTTATGTTTTGCTCTAGAACCTAGGGCTTTTTGTGTGCTGGACAGGTGTAGCTAGAGTTTTCCTGCCTGACCCACAGTCAGGACAAATCTCTCTCACCCACCAGTCCCACAGTTGCTCAGACCCGACCAAGTAAACACAGAGACTTATATTGGTTACAAACTGTATGGCCATGGCAGGCTTCTTGCTAACTGTTCTTACAGCTTAAATTAATCCATTTCTATAAATCTATACCTTGCTACGTGGCTCATGGCTTACCGGCATCTTCACATGCTGTTTGTCACCGTGGCGACTGGCAGTGTCTCTGACTCAGCCTTCTGCTTCCCAGGTTTATTCTCCTCCTTGTCCCGCCTATACTTCCTGCCTAGCCAATGGCCAATCAGTGTTTTATTTATTGACTAATCAGAGCAACACATTTGCCATACAGAACATCCCACAGCAGACAGGTGTTAGTTTTTAAGTATAGTCTTTTCTTCATTATTGTTGTGATTATGCCCCCTTCTTCCTCTTTTTTTTTTGTGGTGCTGGGGATTGAAATCAAGGCTTTTTGCATCTAAGCAAATGTTATACTAGCAAAATACCTAACCCCAATATGGTATTTTAAATTTGAGTTTGCTGACTTAAGCCACATTTTTGGAATTTGTTGAGAGTATGTTGGGAAACATTTGATTATAAAGTCTTTTGTGAATTTGAAGTGCAGGGTAAGAATTATTGTCTTACATATATGAATTTTTGACTAATTTTTGTCTGTTTGTAATTGAATGCATTTAATTAGAATTTTCTATGACTAAAGAATAAATAAGGAATTTCCGTTTCCCTTCTCCTTAGCCTGAATGGTACTTGGCTCAGGTACTTATGTGGATTGGAAACCATGCTCACTTTCTGGATGAGAAGATTCAGCCAATATTGGAGAAAGCAGGCTCTGCAGTCAATGCAAGGGTAAAAGGCTGAGGCCTATGCATTCAGTTTCATTAGAGTTGTTTATGTACCTGACAGACATAATCCCTCATATCTGTCTGTTTCTTTCAGCTTGAGTTTTCTCGGGGCCTTATGATGCTCATACTTGAGAAGTTGGCTTCCGATATACCTTGCCTGCTCTATGATGACAATCTCTTCTGTCATTTGGTGGATGAGGTGCTGTTGTTTGAAAGGGAGCTGCACAGTGTTCATGGTTATCCTAGCACTTTTGCTAGTTGTATGCATATTCTGTCAGAGGAAACCTGTTTTCAGAGATGGTTGACTGTGGAGAGAAAATGTAAGTGCTCATGTGGCCATCAAGTTGGGAGGGTATCTCAGTTTTTTTGTTTGTTTGCTTGCTTTTCATTTTATTTTTAGACAGTGTCTCACTGTGTAACATTGGCTGACCTGGAACTCTCTGTATAGACCAAGTTGGCCTCAAACTCATTGAGATCTATGTGCCTTTGCTTCCGAAGTGCTAGGATTAAAAGCACATAACACCACTGCCTGGCAATCTGTCTGTTTTTTGTGTGTAAAGTTTTGGAGCTTTTCTCTCTTACAGCTCTGAGTAGGAAGTATGGGAGCCTAAGCTTTCCTAGGCAGGGTCTACTGAATTAGCTTCAAAGACAGTCTTCATTTCTTTCCGTGAAACTTCAGTTTTATTCCTGGAATTGCAGTCTACATGTTGGAATATTGAGTCAGTAGAGGATATTGCTGTTTTGTAGATTTTTGCCATGTACTATTTCTACTCTAGTTCCCCCCCTCCCCACCCCCCCACCCCCCCATCCCCCGTTTTTTGAGAGAGGGTTTCTGTAGGTGTAATTCTAAACGGTCTTATTAAATAAGAAACACAGAGCCAATTAAGAGTTAAAAGCCCAGAGAACAGAGCAGTAGCCAAGAGCTAAGACCATCTTATCTTACCACTTGCTGCTGTCCTTCCCCTGAGAGACCTTCTTCCTGTGTCCTGTCTTTTTATTGCCTTTCTGTTCTGCCTTCTCATTGGTTCTAAACCCAACCACATGACTTCCTCGTCACTGCCTGTCTATACAGACTTCCATGTCTCTATGGTTCATACTGAGATTAAAGGTTCGGGTCTCTATGTGTCCTTGAACACACAGAGATTCTGCCTGCCATGTGAACACGGATTAAGGGCGTGTGCCACCACCACCGGACTTTTGCTAAATGGCTTGTTCTTAGCTCTGATCCCCTGGCAACTTTATTTATTAACATACAAATAATATCACATTTCAGCACAAATAAAATATCACCATAGGTTTCTCTGTGTGGCTTTGGAGCGTGCCTGGAACTCTCTCTGTAGACCAGGCTCGCCCCGAACTCACAGAGATCTGCCTGCTTCTGCCTCCCGAGTGCTGGGATTAAAGGCGTGTGCCACTACTGCCTGGCTAATTGAGTATTTTTGGTTGTACCACATCTAGTCAGAATTACTATTTTGAGGATTTGAGAGGAGGGAGAATAAGGTATTTTATTTAACTCTAAAGTTGAAGATTTTAAATATAATACGATTAGTTAGTGGGAGATTGCAAATTTATTTTGTATGAAAAAAATCATTGCTAAAAATATAAATTGATAATTTAAGAATGACTATAACTCCTTGACATGATCCATTCTTCATGTTAGTTGCTCTTCAAAAAATGGACTCAATGCTTTCGTCAGAGGCTGCCTGGGTATCCCAGTATAAAGACATCACTGATGTGGATGAAATGAAGGTTCCAGACTGTGCAGAAGTTTTTATGACTTTACTTTTGGTTATAACTGGTAAGTACTGGTCTTTTAATGCATGATGTTAGTTTAAAATTAATTTTTTAAGCTGGGTATGGGGGCTCACACTTGTAATCCCATCTCGGGAGGGAGAGACAGGAGTATCAAGAGCTCAAGGCCAGTCTTAGTTATGAAGCAAGTTTGAGGTCAGCCTGGGATATATGAGACTCTATTTTAAAAAAACTAAAACAAACCAAGGAGCAAACAAACAACAAAACTAATTGTAGTTTTGTAAGTTTGGGGCTTGAGAGATAGCTCAGCAGGGAAGAATTCTTGCTGCTCTTACAGAAGACCCAGTTCAGCTTCCAGTTTATAACCCATTGTAACTCCAGCTCTAGGAGACCCAATGCCCTCTTTGGCCTCTTCAGGCACCAGGCATGCATGTGGTGTATATATATATATATATATATATATATATATATATATATATATATATATATATACTACACATGCAGGAACACATTCATAAGCATAAAATAGAAATACTAACTCTTTAAAGTCGTACGTTTCACTAGGAGGTAGTGGTGCCCACCTTTAATCCCTTAACTCAGGAGGCAGAGGCAGGCAGATCTTTGAGTTCGAGGCCAGCCTGGTCTATAGAGCAAGTTCTAGGATATCCAAGGCTACACAGAGAAACTCTGTCTCCAAAAACCAAAACCAAACAAGCTAAAAAAGTATTGTGTTTTGCATGTTTTTTTTTTTTGGTAGTTAATAACTAGCAGTATAGTAACTTCATGTTTTTTCTACTCTAATAAAAATCTGGGGCAGTAGTCTCACTTTTGACTTTCTAATAATTTAGGACTGAGCCATGTGTGGCAGCACTCACCTTTCATCCCAGCACTCTGGAAGAAGAGGCTGGAGGATTTGTGGCTTTGAGATAATTTTGGTTTATGAGTTCCAGGCCACCCTAGATGTATAGTGAAATTCTGGCTCAAAATAATAAAATAACAATAAATATTAATTATAATATTAATAGTAACAACAATCAGGCCACCTAGATGTATAGTGAGACCCTGTCTCAAAATAACAACAACAACAATGTCTGTAAAAAGGGAAAAAGTCTTGAACAAGGCCAGGCAGTGGTGGCACATGCCTTTTTTTTTTTTTTTTTTTGGTTTTTCGAGACAGGGTTTCTCTGTGTAGCTTTGCGCCTTTCCTGGAACTCACTTGGTAGTCCAGGCTGGCCTCGAACTCACAGAGATCCGCCTGGCTCTGCCTCCCGAGTGCTGGGATTAAAGGCGTGCGCCACCACCGCCCGGGGCACATGCCTTTAATCCCAGGACTCAGGAGCAGAGGCAGGTTGATCTACAGAGTGAGTTCTAGGACAGTTAGGGCAACAGAGAGAAATTCTGTCTCGAAAAACCAAAAAAAAAAAAAAAAAAGTCTTGAGCAAAACAAATAAAAATTTAATTTTTTTTAACTCATTGCCATTCTTTTTACATGTCTTCAGATTTCATTTTATTGCTGTTATTTTAAAGACTTTCTGTGTATGAGTATATACCTGTATGAATGTATTTGTACCATGTGCATGCCTAGTAGTGCCTATGGAGGCCAGAAGAAAATGTTGGATTCCCTGAAACTGGAGTTACAGATGGTTGTGAGCTGCCATGTAGGTGCTGGGAACCAAACCTGTGCTCTCTATAAGAATAGTAAGTGCTCTTAACTAGTGAGCTTCTCTCCAGCTCCTTTTATTTTATTTAAATTCCTTAGTTTTATGTATGAGATTTTTGCCCGCACAGATGTATGTGTACCACATGCATGCCTAGTGCCTGTATAGTTCAGAAGAGAGTGTTGGATCCCCTAGAATGGGAGTTACAGTTGGTTGTAAGTTATCATGTGGGTACTAGGAACTGAACCAGGAACCTTTCTAAGAGCAGCCAGTGCTCTTTCCACTGAACCATCTCTCCAGCCCCCATTTATTATTTTTTTAAGAGACAGAGTCTTGGCCGGGCGGTGGTGGCGCATGCCTTTAATCCCAGCACTCGGGAGGCAGAGGCAGGCGGATCTCTGTGAGTTCAAGGCCAACCTGGGCTACCGAGTGAGTTCCAGGAAAGGCACAAAGCTACACAGAGAAACCCTGTCTCGAAAAACCAAAAAAAAAAAAAAGAGACAGAGTCTTACTGCATTGCCTGGGCTGGCTTGAGCTCCTATTTTCAGATGATCTTTCTGCCTTGGCTTCCCAGATAGCTGAGACTAGGTACACTCTACTATGTTCAGTGGAAACCTAAACTTTCTTGGAATTGAAGAAGAGAGTAGAATAATGAAGTAGTTTTAGAATTGAAATAGTATAGGGATTCTTCTGATGCAGTGTTATTCTGGCCAGAGAGGTGACTAGTGTCCTAAAGCTCTGTTGGTGTGCAACATCCAAATTCCCTATTGTAGACTGCTGGTTCTCTAGATGCCAGTAACTCCTCATTGCTGTCATCCTATGCCCTCTTTGCTCCCATCCTCATATGGCAGTTGTTTTGGTTTGAAAGGAAATGGCCCACAAAGGAAGTTGTACTATTAGGAGGTGTGGCTTTGTTGGAGTGGAGTGGAGTGTGGCCTTGTTGGAGGAAATATGTCACTGTGGTGACAGGCTTTGAGGTTTCCTATGCTTAGGATACCAGTGTCTCTGTTGACTTCCTGTTGTCTGCTAGATGTAGAATTCTCAGTTACTCCAGCACCATGTCTGCCTGCATATCACCATGCTCCCTGCCATGATGATAATGGACTGAATCTCTGAAACTGTAAGCAAGCCACCCCCAATTAAAGGTTTTTATTTATGAGAGTTGCTATGGTCATGGAATCCTTTCACAGCAATAAAAACCCTAATTAAGACAGAGGTTACAAGGGACTGGGGTATTGCTGTGATAGGTCTGACCATGGTTTTGTTTGGAGGAATTTGGACGTTGGTACTTTGGGTTATGTTTTAAGCACTGCTTTATGGGCCATACTAGTAGGAGCATCGAAGACAGAGGTGCTAAGAGTTATTTGAACTGTCGAGGGCTCACTCAAGAGATTTCAGAGGAGAAGAATGTTAGTATGTTGCCTAGAGATTGTTCTTGTGATATTTTGGTGAAAAAAGTGGCTGGCTTTTGCCCTTGTCTGAAGAGTCAGCTTGAGGCTAAAGCAAATAATTTTGGATTAATTCTGTTGGCAGAGGAAATCTAGTATAGACTCTGTTGTGTGGTTACTAGTGTTTGTGCTTATAAAGATTTATAATGAAAAGGAGAAGCTGAGCAAGGAAAATTACAAAATGGAGAACAATTTGAAGAGAAAACCCTTTTTAGGAAGTAGAATGAAGCTAAGTCCTGTGTTAAAGGAGATAAACAATTAAGAAATGGAATAAAGGGAGTGGTGATCTCAGGGCAAGATCCCACCCAGCTAAGTTTCCAACTTGTGAAAAGGAACTGAAGAAAAACTTAGAACCAGATGTGGTGGGGCACATCTTTAATCCCAGCATTGGGAAGGCAGAGGCTGGCAGATCTGAGTTTGAGGCCAGCCTGGTCTACAGAGCAAATTTCAGGACAGCTAAGCTTAGGCTGTGAAGGACAGAAAGCTGGTGAAGATATAATTGAACGAGGATGCCATTTCCAGCTCCAGTAAGCAGCAGAACTTGGCAGCTTTGGCCACGTGGTTGTGCTTTAGAGTTAAGGATAGAAGAAATGGGTTATGGAATTTGCCTCAGCCTAAAGAAAGCTGCTGAGGCCAGGCATGTGTCAAGTGTGTCTCAGTGCAGGCCTAGTAGAGATGCCGTTTTGTGAATCTGTGAAGTTGAAGCCTGGCTTGCCTTGGAGACCCCAAGATGTTAGAGATGCCAGAGTCCTGGGATACCTGCTGAGGAGAGCTGCTAACAGGGAGTGGAACCAGCTCAAGAGAAAGAAGTATGTTGCAGTCAACAAAGCTGAACAGAGTTGGAGATCTGAAGAGTGTTTTGACATCAGACATAGAGATACATAGTTTAGAGTTTACCCAGCTGGGTTTTGGTCTTGCTTTGGTCCAGTATTTCCTTGCTATGCTCCCTTCTCTCTGTTTTGGAAAAGTAATGTATATCCTGTGCCATTATATGTTGGAAGTATGTGATTTGCTTTTTGATTTTAATTTTTTTTTTTTTTTTTTTTTTTGGTTTTTTGAGGCAGGGTTTCTCTGTGTAGCTTTGCGCCTGTCCTGGAACTCACTTGGTAGCCCAGGCTGGCCTCGAACTCACAGAGATCCGCCTGGCTCTGCCTCCCGAGTGCTGGGATTAAAGGCGTGCGCCACCACCGCCCAGCTTAATTTTAATTTTATAAGGGGATTGCCGTTAAGAGATTGCCGTGAGTCTCAGAAGAGACTTTGGACTTTAAAACATATTTGAGACTGTTATAGACTGGGAACATTTGAAGTTGGACTGAATGCATTTTTGCATTAAGATATAGCTACAAGCCTTGGGGGGCCTGTAGTGGTGTTTGCTCTGCCCATGACCTTGAACTATATGGCCCAAAGGAGGCGGTGCTTTCTGCCATTGTACATGGCCTCTTGTAAGAGAAAGGGGAAGAGAGATGGCTCAGCGGTTAAGATGTTCTAGAGGACCCAGGTTCAATTCCCAGGCCATCTGGTGTCTGATCACACCAAGATAAAAAAAAAAAAAAAAAGGACCCACATGACCCCTTTCCCTTTTCTTATAAGAGGTCACATACAACAGGCAGAAAGCATCACCTTCTTTGGGCTGTATAGCCCAAGGTCATGGGCCGAGCAAATACCACTACAGGGGTCAGGGAGTGGAATCTTGTGGTTTGAAAGGAAATGACCCCCAAAGGAAGTGGCACTATTTGGAAGTGTGGTTTTGTTGGAGTAGGTATGGTCTTACTGGAGCAAGTGTTTTACTGTGGGCTGAGTTTTGAGGTTTCCTATGCTCAGCATACCACCCAGTGTCTCAGTCAATTTCCTGTTGCCTGCAAGATGTAGGACTCTCAGCTTCAGCACCATGTCTACCTGCAGGCCACCAAATCTCCCCCCACCATGATGATAATGGACTGAACTTCTGAATCTCTAAGGGAGCTGCCCCAATTAAATGTTTTCATTTATAAGAGTTGCCGTTGTCAGGGTGTCTCTTCACAGCAATAGAAACCCTTGGTGGCAGCATAAATGGAGGAATGGAGCAATGTGTATGTGTGGTGGAGAGAGGCAGAACTAGAGATGTCATGGAGATGACAGGTGTGACAGAAGGCCTCGGTTGAACATGTTGATGCTTAGTAGGGTTGGCAGGGTGATGTGCAGCAGCCTGGAGCTTGCTCAGACTCAGCCCGCAAACATGCTGCCCAGCTGCATGATCCCTCTAGTTCTGAGCAACAACAGCATGTCTGAGATAAAGAATGGTTCATTTTCTGGATTGGACTATCTTGAAAGACTTTCATGGTCCATACTGTCTGTCTCCAGAGGCTATGTTGGTATCCGTGGTCCATACTGTGGCCCCAGGCTATGTTGAAGCCCAAGGTTCATGTGAATATCCATGGACTGGGCTGCCAGTGGAGGCCATTTTTATGTCCGAGGTCTATGTTAACCACTGGAGGCCAGATGTATGTCTAATAGTCTGTACTAACTAACACAGAGGCCATGTTAGTGTCTGTGGTGCAGGTTGCCACTGGAGGCCTGTATTTGATGTTGATATGTGTGGCTTGTACTGCCACCGGAGGCCATGTTGATGTCCATGGTCTATGCTGCCACCAAGGGTCATGTTTGGGTCTGCGGTCCTGCTGCAACTGGGAACCGTGTTGATATCAGTGGGCCATGTAGTTGCTGGGGGCCATGTTGACATGAGTGGCCTGTGTTGCCACCTGAGGCCATGTTGATGTCTGTGGTCCATGCTGTCGCCAGAGACCATGTAGAAGTCCATAATCCATTCTCCCACTGAATGTAAGGGGCAGGGAAGCTACTTTTGGAGTGGTATCAATGATGGCAAACACACAGTTGAGAAAGAAAGTTATAGAAGGCTTGTGACAACACCTACCCACACCCTACTCTACCCCTAACAAAGCAACAGCCTAGACAGCCAGCCATCAAAGAGAACTCTTAAAAATTGTGAGAAGGGGCAGTTTGTTGTTTTCGGACTCCAGATGTGTTGAGTACCCAGGATGCCACGTGGAAGCTAAAGCTGCTCTTCCTAGGATGAGGGCTGCTCCCAGACAAGCACCTGCAGCTCATCCTCCAGCAGCAGCTGCACCATCTGCAGTTGACTCACCTGCTGCTGCACCCAGACAGCCAGGCCTGATGGCCCAGATGGCAACCACTGTAGCTGGTCTGGCTGTGGACTCTGCAGTGGGGCACTGAGGCACACCCTGGGTCATGTCATCACTGGAGGCTTCAGTGAAGGTGGTAATGCTGAGCCTGCAAGGCCTGACATCACTTAACAGGAGCCCTAGGGGGCCCAGCTGCTGGACCAGCAGTCTCATGGGCCTTGTTCTCTTGAGATTAGTTTCTGGAGTGTGCCCAGAACCAGAGTGATGTCAAGTTCTTCAAGGACTTCAGTGAGGTGTTGTAGCAGTGCAGTATTGCAAATTGTTTAATCTAATCAAGAAGTTCAAACTGAAGAAATTGAAGTGGGCTTTACATAATTGATAGTGCAAGTGGACCCTGACTAAACTTCTTATTTCTAATAGTTCCATTGCTTCAGAATAGCCATGAAAGAGTTCTAAATGTAAGGATATTCACTGAGGCTTGTAGAGTTGGGGACTGAGCAAGTGATGGCCTCCTTGAACCAACTATATTGTTTTTTGTGAGTTAATGAAAATAAAATTGTTTTATTAAACAAACAAAATTGTGGCAAGGATGCTGAAGTATTGTTTTACATAATTGATGGCTTCTGGCAGGGGTGTGGTAAGGAAGGACTTAGTTTTCTTTAAGGGACTGGCGACTTGGAGTTTGACCATCCTCCAGTGAGTATATGGGCAACACAAATTGGACTTCTGTGTTTTTATTTCTTTTATCGGGGGGTGGTGTCACAAAGGTGGTGGGAGCAGACTTTGGGTGCATTATGTGAAATTCCCAAATAATCAATAAAAATATTATGTTGGAAAAAGAAAAAGATAGCCAGACATGGTAGTGCATACTTTTAATTTCAAATATCAGGATTTTAGAGGTAGAGGCTGGAGGATCAAATATTCAAAGTAATATTTAGCCACATAGGAAATTTGAGACCAGCCTGGGCTGAATGAGACCTGTCTCAAGCCTTCCTCACCAGAGCTACTAACTTAAGGAACAGTTATTTTAGAACACAATTTGCTTTTTGTAAATGAGACATGATTTATACATAGCAAAACGCACAGATCTAGATCTTAAGTATTCGGAAGTATACTATTGGATGAGTCCTGACACATTTACCTTTGTAATCTAAAGAGTTTAGAAATGGTCAATTGAGATTTTTCATAAATGCAGTAAAGTAGAGCTTTAGGGAAAACTGTCATGACAGTATCAAATCCTTCATGTGTTTTGTTAACTTTCTTCACAGACAGGTATAAAAATCTCCCCACAGCTCCTCGAAAGCTGCAGTTCCTGGAGTTACAGAAGGACCTAGTAGATGATTTTAGGATACGATTAACACAGGTGATGAAAGAAGAGACTAGAGCTTCACTTGACTTTCGATACTGTGCAATTCTTAATGCCGTGAACTACATCTCAACAGTACTGGCAGATTGGGCTGACAATGTTGTGAGTTAATGTGCTTTTATATTAAATAATATATTAGTACCTTGATCATCTTTAACCTTTGAAATGTTGACTCTGTTGCAAGCAAAAAAATTACATGAGGCAAAAAGCATAATGATGCCAAATTTAGGAGATGTAAGTAAAGATTTTTATCAATCAAATCTATAACAGTTAAATAATACTAATTATTTAATAACTTTACTCATAAGAGGACTGGGGGTATAGCTCAATGGGAGTATATGAGCCCAAACATGAGCAAAGTCTTGGGTTTGATCCCCAGGACCATAAAATGAGAGAAAGAAGAAAACAATCAGGCATGGTAGTATAGCCTGTAATCCCAGCACTTGGGAATATGAATCAGGAGCCTCAAGGTCATTCTTGGTGATAGAGTGAGTTCCAGGCCAGCCTGAGTTACTTGAGATCCTACTTCAAAAACAAACAAAAGGAAAGAAAGTAAGAAAACAAAGAGACACATAGACTTCCATAAATAGCTGTATAGCATGAACCATTTTTCTCTTCCAACTATGTACTCTGAATATAATAATCCACTAAATGCTAACACAGAAAAGTCATTATTTTACAAAAATGTCAAAATCAATACATATAAATTGGTGGTATAGTTCAGTAGCAGAGCATAGTGGAAAGATCTAGTTTCATTTCCCAGCACTGCAAAGAAAAAAAAGTCCAAGACTTGACTCTTTTGAATATCTTCAAAGCAGGACTATCTGATAGACCCCAAAATCTCGGGTTCTACCTTCTTAAGTGGGCGCCCCAAGAACCCAGACTCCGGTCCAGTTGATGCAAAAGCACAAGGTTTATTTTAAAGCGGCTGTACAGTCGGGCTCCCCCTGTCCTGAGGGCAAGAGTCGCATCGCACTGCCGCCACATAGGTATTTTTAAAGGAAAAACGCACAAAAGCCACAAGATTACAATTCCCATACAATTTCATTTTGATTGATTTATGTCTAGAGGCTAATTTCATAAGATCATGGTCTGATCACAGAGTGATCACAGAGTGGGTACAGTCACGTCTGCATGCACATTCTTCCCGAAACCTCAAGGGTGGGTATCAGGGTGGGAGTGAAGTTTGCACAAAGGTTACAGTGGTCCTTCCTGGAACACTTGCAGTTATCCCAGTCACAGTTGAGCGCATCTCTTAATAGAAATCTCTTTATATTGTTACATTGTGGCGGGGGTGGGGGGGGTAGTTGAGTAATGGCTGAGTTAGGTTGCCCTTGGAGCTAGCTTTTTTTAGTTCCTCATTCTCCTGGGGCTTGGGGGGGTGTAAGCCTGAAGGGTTAGGGTCTTTCAATCTTAGTTATGGTTCCTATTGCTGTGATAAAAAACACTGTGATCATCCAGTGAGTCAGGGCAGGAACTCAAGGTAGGAACATGGAGGCAGGAGCTGATGCAGAATTCATGGAGGAGTGTTGCTTATTGGATTGCTCTGCATCGCTTGCTCAGTCTGCTTTTTTATAGCACCCAGGACCACCAGGCCAAGGGTGACACTACCCGCAAAGGGCTGGGCCTTCTTATATCAATCAGTAATTAAGAAAATGCACTATAGACTTGCCCACAGGCCCATCTGGTGAGTGCATTATGTATCTGTCATTCTTACTGTTTTTGTTTTTTTTTAAGATTTTTTAAAACTATGTGTCTAAGTGTTTTGCCTGCATGTAAGTGTGTGTACCACATATGTGCAGTGACCATAGAGGCTGGAAGATCCCTAGGTTATCCTTAGCTACATAGCAAGTTCAAGGTCAGCCTGGGGTACATGAAATCCTGCCTCAAAAAAAAAAAAAAAAAAAAAAAGCCTTTTAGTCCCAACATTGGTTATTTTCTTTAGATATTTTAGGTCTAGTACCAAAGTGATTTTAGAGGGCCTTCTGGGCTGACTTCTTGGGCAAAGTGCTGTCCAACTGGTATTCAGTGCCTTAAGAACATCTATGAAGATACAGCTTTGTATTTGGCTTTATACTATGTGCTTCATAAAGTACATTTCATGACAGTAACCATCCATAAGGACCTTAGCTAACCAATATGATGATGAAATATATATTAAACTGTAAAAACTATGATGAACAAATAGATACATTATAAATGTAAACTGTTATATATTATCATAAAAACAAAATAGAAAAAAAAAACCCAAATAGGCAAATATACCACTTTAAAAATATAGTATGTAAAGGGGAATTAAAGAATTATAAAGTTGATTTTGGAGGTTTAGTGCAGTGGCAGACTCTTTGCATAGTACAAATGAAGCCCTAGATTCAATCTCTTGCACAAGTAAAATAAAGTAGAAGTTTCTATGTAGAGTTGATAATGTAGCTCAGTTGGTAGAGTCCTTTTCTGCCATGCACAAAGCCCTAGGTTCAATCTCCAGCTCCGCCAAAAACAAAAACAAGTTAACCAAGGGCTGGGAGTGTAGTTCAGTAGTAGTAGAGTACTTGCCCAATATGTGTGAGGCTGTAGGTTCAGTTTCCAGCACCAATCACACACACACACACACACACACACACACACACACACACACACACTCACTCACCTCTGAAATATATGTGCATAGTGACATTTGCTGGAACAAGGAAGTGAATATAATACAGAGTGCAGTGAAGTGCAGTTATCTTCATAAAGTCAGACAGCATATTCATTCATTTTGTGCTTTTGTGTCATGTTCTACTTCCAGAGAGTACTTCATGTTCAGCTCTCACACTGATCCACTTGCTGCTAAGACTTTTTGATAGCATGAAACAAATTGCAGTTATATTTGGATTATATATAATTGGATAATATAAATGGATTCTGGCTTTCATGGTGCTGATTTTATTTTCACATCAAAAGTCCTTCAGTTATTTTCACAATGCTTCAGACTGTAAATGCTTTTTTTTTTTTTTTTTTTTTTTTTTTGAGACAGGGTTTCTCTGTGTAGCTTTGCGCCTTTCCTGGAACTCGCTTTGTAGACCAGGCTGGCCTTGAACTCACAGAGATTTGCCTGCCTCTGCCTCCCATGTGCTGGGATTAAAGGCGTGCGCCACCACCACCCGGCCAGACTTAAATGCTTTAAGTGAATATCATCAAAGTTCTTGTATTGCATAATTCCATAATCAGAAGAAGAAAACAATGACAGCTCACCTTCCATTTATTTCGTTGAGTAATTGAGTGCAATAAAAACAGATGAAGTACACAGTACATGCTATGGAACTATGTGAAAGAAGTTGATCATGAAGAGTAATACTTCATATGGTTACATTTACTTGAAATGTCCAAAGTCGTCAAAACCATAGGGAGTAAAGTAGTGATTGCCTAGAGTTGGACGGAGTGTGAAGAAAATAGAGATACAGACAATGAATGATGGATTTTGTTGCTGGAAGTAATGACAGTATTCTAGAATTGTAATGGTTGCACAACTCTGAATTACTAAAACTGTTGAATTGTAATAAAAAAGATTTATTTTGTGCATGCATATGTATGTGTCATAGCACATGTGGAATTCAGAGGACAACTTACTGGGGTTGGCTCTGTCATTCCACCATGTGCTACCCAGGGAACAAGGCTTGGTGACAGGTGCCTGTACCCAGTGAACCATCTAGTAACATTTTATTTTTGGGGAGAGGACAAAGGCTTTTATGCTTGTTTGCCTTTGGACAGGGACTCATGTAGCCCATACTGGTTTTGAACTTGTGGTAACCTGGTGTCAGCCTCCTGAGTGTGGAATTGCAGATATGTGTCACTGTGCCAAGCTCTCTCTCTCTCTCTCTCTCTCTCTCTCTCTCTCTCTCTCTCTCTCTCTCTCTCTCTCTGTGACAGAGAATTCACCATGGCACATGTTCAGGCTGCAGTTGTTTCCTCCCACTGTTTTCCGTCCACCTTGAACTCAGGTCATCAGGCTTGGCAGCAAGTGACTTTACTGACTGAGCATCTCAGTGGTGCTGAACTGTATACCTTAAATTAGGGAATTGTATGATATAGTCCTATTTCAAGATGCCCAGCACTGTGTTAATAAATGTACTAATGGATGTTTGTTTCCAGTTCTTTCTGCAGCTTCAACAGGCAGCACTGGAGGTCTTTGCAGAGAATAATGCCCTCAGTAAGCTGCAGCTGGGACAACTAGCCTCCATGGAAAGCTCTGTCTTCGATGACATGATTAATCTCTTAGAGCGTTTAAAGCTTGATATGTTGACTCGCCAAGTAGATCACGTTTTTAGAGAAGTGAAAGATGCTGCAAAATTGTATAAGAAAGAAAGGTATGTCCTGTGTGAGTCACCCTTTACACAAGTTAGTCAGAGTCAAAGGTGGCATGTACACTCCAAATTTTAGCTTTTGTAGAACCCTCTCCCCCCAGTTTTGGAGATTAAACTTGGGGTTTTGTGTATGGTAGGTTCAAACTTTGGTTTTGATGTAAATCTTTCTAAAATCTGTTCCTTTGAAGAATTTACTCAGAATAAACAAGTGATAATGTGGATCTCATAAAGAAGTAGCATATGATCTGGGGTTGACTTGCTCACTGTACAAAGTAAAGTGTCCTGTGCATGCTTGCATCTCACAGTTTATTCTCTTGCCTTTATGCTCGAGTGTGTTACCTGCACACAGAATAGTACAATCAATATGGAAGAAGTATTTGCTAAAATCAGAACGTAAGATTAACTGGTGTCTTTTTAATTCTAAAGATAAAATTTAGATAGAATTTAGGGACTTTTCAAGGAAATATTTAATAATTAAAAGTTAAAATCTAAATAGATACTTTTTTTTTCTGGGAGAGCTTTTAATATTAGACATTCCTTTTTTTTTTTTAAACATCACAATTCCCCCAGGACAGTACATCTCCTCAAATTTAAAATGATTTGTTGAAACCTTAAGGTTACAGAGTGATAAGGGTCATTCTGGTAAAGGTTGTTTATTTTTCAGGTGGCTGTCCCTGCCATCTCAGTCTGAACAGGCAGTGATGTCCCTGTCCAGCTCAGCCTGCCCACTTCTGCTGACCTTACGGGACCGTCTGCTTCAGCTGGAGCAGCAGCTTTGTTTCTCCTTATTCAGAATCTTCTGGCAAATGCTTGTAGAGAAGCTGGATGTATACATCTATCAGGAGGTAAGTCAGTGGGTGCTGGGGGGCTGCGCTGATGAAGGCAGCCGTTCCATGGATTGCTTTTTATTTCAGATAATCCTTGCTAATCATTTCAACGAAGGAGGAGCAGCCCAGTTGCAGTTTGATATGACACGGAATCTTTTCCCTTTGTTTTCTCACTATTGCAAGAGACCGGAAAACTATTTTAAACAGTAAGCCTAATGTGTTACCTTAACACCGGTGAATCCAAATGTTAGAGGAGTTGACTCTTTTTTTTTGGTCTTTTGATTTTTCTCGAGTTAGGGTTTCTCTGTGTAGCTTTGGAACCTGTCCTGGAACTCGCTTTGTAGACCAGGCTGGCCTCTAACTCACAGAGATCTGCCTGGCTCTGCCTCCAGAGTGCTGGGATTAAAGGCGTGTGTCACCACCGCCCGGTGAGTTGACTTCTTTTTAACAGTTTCAGTTTCATTGATATTTGTTACAGTAACATCAATTAAAATCTGGAGCTAGAGAGATGGCTCATAAGTTAAGAGCATTTGATCATCTTGTAGAGGACTGAGATTTGATTCTTACAACTCACATAATGGCTTACAACCACCCATAACTCCAGTTCTGACACCCTCTTCAGGCCTCCATACAGGGTGCACAGGCACATACAGGGTGCACAGACACATACAGGCAAAACAGGCACATAAAATAAAATTTAAAAAATTTATAAAAATTAATTAAAACCTTAAAACACTCATTGTGTATCTATTTTATTTTCAAAACACAATAGGGAAACCCAGATAATTTGTGTGACCCATATCCTCAGAAAGTTGACCAGAATCAGGTAAAATTACATGTTGGACTTGCTTCCTAGCATTTGGTTCAACTCTATTTGCTTATTACTAGGAGAGTAAATAGAAAATGGATGCAATTATAATTCTGCCACCCATAGAAAATAAGAAATCACAGCTAGGTTTAGTGCCTAACAGTAGCCCAGACCAGAGGAAAATTAGTTTTCTTATACATTTAATATTAGTTTTACTTCTAAGTATAGTTATAAACATGAGAATAATTACTAGAATTCTAGTAAAAATTTTGCTGATTTAAAATTTACATTATGTATAGGGTATGTGCAATCTGGAAACATTCCTTTAAAAACATAAAAACTTATGTTTGCTTATTTCAGGAAGCTATGATTGCTTCTGGTTTGCTTTTCCTTTTTTGAAATGGGATTTCAGGTATCCCAAGCTGGCCTTGAACTTTGTATATAGTAGCAGAGGATGACCCCAACCTTCTGATCCTCCTGCTTCCCTGTTCTGAGTGCTGTGATTACAGGTAGGTAAGCCACTATACCCCCAAGTCCTCTCCCATGCTTCATTCATGCTAGGCGAGCACTCTACTTAGTGCATTAAATCTCCAGCACTTATTTGTTATTATTATTGTTGTTATTATTATTATTAATAGGTTTTTCAAGACAGGGTTTCTTTGTGGAGCCATGGATGCCCTAGAACTTGCTCTGTAGACCAGGCTGGCCTCCAACTCACAGAAATCCTCCTGCGTCTGCCTCTAGAGTGCTAGGATTAAAGGCATGCACCACTATACCCAGCTGTTTTTATTAGTATTTAATTTTTAAATTTTGTGTTCTTGTATGTGGAGGCCAGATGACAACTTGTGGGGGGGTAGTTCTCTCCTTTCTACCGTATAAAACCCAAGAATTGAACTCAGGTCATCAAGCTTTCTAGTAGGCACTTTACCCCTAGGCTATCTTACCAGCCTTCCTATTTCTGTCGTGGTTTTAGTTTTCTGAGACAAAGTCTCACTGTTTAGCCTTGGCTAGTATGGAGCTCACAGTTTTGACCAGACTGTCCTGGAACTCAGAGAGATACTCCTACTTTGGCTTCCTGAGTGCTGGGATTAAAAGTGTGCCACCATCTCCAACCTATTTATGGTTTTGATTTGTTTAGCTTTTTTGTCTTTTCTGCTATGTTCATTTTTATTCCTTTTCTTTTTTTCCTATGTCCCAATTCTACCTAAATTCATTGCTATATTTAATAATCTGTTAACATCAAAAAGTGTACTGAGACAAACTCTAGTGTTCTATTAATCCTGTACAACTTCCGTAATCTCAGCATATTTAAAGAGCTAAATGGTAAGTCCATAGATACTTGAAATGGCTGTATAGACTCTCCATAGGTCATTGTTGTCCTATGGATGGTGCCATAAAGGATCTCTCCTTCCCTTCGTTCTTGTCTTCCTAAACAGTGTAAAAGAAGCCTGCATCGTTCTGAATTTGAACACTGGTTCTGCATTACTCCTCAAAGATGTCCTGCAGTCAGCTTCTGAGCACCTTCCTGCCACAGCAGCCTTAAATGAAGTTGGAATTTACAAACTAGCTCAGCAAGATGTTGAGATTCTGCTTAACTTGAGGACAAACTGGCCTAACACTGGGAAATAAGGGTTGAGAAAAGGGTTGTTTAGCAAAGAAGACAGTTAGTTGTATTGAAGTTGCCAGATTAATGAAACTGGACAAACGAAAACTTGGTAGAATCATTTGTTATCTTGAGTTACAATGTCACTAAAATAATGACCATGCTTCCTCCATCCTTCTGTTCCTAAGAAAACAAAGAACAGAAAACTCAACCAAGAGAAGCAGAGTAATTACATATTTAGGATTACAAATAGGAGTGCAGATATCTGAAGACAGTGTGAAAGCAAAAGTCAGCCGTAACTGACCTTCATTTTGCTAATCAAGGGGAGCTGTTGTAGAAAGATAAACACAGCCAATATATTCTAAACGTATGTTGATAATTGAGGTTCCTTTATTCAGTTTTGGATTTCACTATATTTATATAAGAAATGCATAGTGTGATGGGAGTGGTTGTAGAAGTAACCAACCGTCTTATTGAGTAAGAAACACAGAGCCAATGTAAAGATAAAAGCCCAAGAGGTCAGAGCTAAGAGCCTTACCCTTCCTGCTTCAGCGATCCTCTTCATCCAAGAGAGACCTACTTCCTGTGTGTTTGTCTTTATATAGACTTTCTGTTCTGCCTTCTCATTGGTTGTAAACCCAACCACATGACCGCCTCGTTACTGCCTGTCTGTACAGACCTCCAGGTCTTCTATGGTTGGTATTGAGATTAAAGGTGTGTGTCTCCAATGCTGGCTGTATCCTTGAACACACAGAGATCTATCTAGCTCTGCCTACCAAGTGCTGGGATTAAAGGTGTGCACCATGAACACCCAGCTCCGCTGTGGCTTACTATTAGCTCTAACCCCCAGGCAACTTTATTTATTAACATACAAATAAAATCACATTTCAGTACAAATAAAATATCACCATAAGTGGTGGAAGAATTTATAATCCCAGAACGCTGAAGGCCAGGGCAGGAGGATCACTGTGGGTTTAAGACTCACCTGGGCAACATAGTGAGATTTTGTCTCACCAGAGAAAGAAATGAAACAAAACAAAACAAACTGCCCCCAAACCAACAACATAAGCGGTTTTATGAGGTGGTGGTTAAGCTATGGTTGTTCCTATTATTCAATTCTCATGTCCTTCTATTAAAGTATTTCCTAGTTGTATTTGTGTGTACATTCGTGTGCAGGTGTGTGTATGTATTTGTGCATGTGTGGGATATACATGTGCGTGTGTGTGCCTGTGGAGGTAAGAGGTCAACCTGGGTATTGTTCCTCAAGATGTCTACCTTGTTTTGGAGATAGGGTCTCTCACTGGGACTTTGGGCAAGCCCCAGAGTTTCTCTTGTCTCTGCCTCCCCTAGACAGGCATTACAATTATAAATCATCATGTTAGGTTTTACATGAGTTCTAGGGAATGAGCTCTTTATGCTTGCTTGTCAATGGCAAATATTTTTGCTCTTTACCACTAAGCAACTCCTCTGCCCTTCCTGGTTCCATTTCTTGTGACAATGGTGTTTCTTTTTCCTCTGTAGTATCTGGACAATTTATAGTCCAGATACTGCTTTAGTCATTTGCCTGTGGTAATAATTATGTAGCTGATGAGATAAAAATCCTGTGTGTGTGTGTGGTGTGTGTATGTGTGTATGTATGTATTTGAGTCTGTGCAAGTGGAGGCCAGAGGTTGATGTTGAGTGTCTTCCTCAATTGCTTCCCTCCTTATTTTTTGAGGCAAGGTTTCAGTGAACCTGGATCTCATTGATTTAGCTAGACTGGATGGCCAGTGAGTTCTAGGGCTCCACCTTCTTTTCCCAGTGCTGGGGTTACAGACATGAGCAGCTATGCCCAGCTTTTACATGTGAGCTGGGGATTTGAAGTCATATCCTTATACTTGTTCAACAAGCCTTTTACCAGCTGAGCCATCTCCCTGACCTGAGAAAAAAATCTTAAACTTTGTTTTTCCTCTTAACATGTCCTTGGTCTTGGGCTATGTTTTATGTGTGGTATTAGAGATCAAACTTGGAGCTTTGCTCATGAAGGCAAGTCCTCCACCAATATCCCCAGCCCAAGCAATGATCCCTTGTTAATAAATCCTCAGAGAGTAAAGCTTTTACACAAATTGAGCTTAATTAGAAGATTTCTATATCTATAAAATTTTATTCTAGTTTCCCCCCCAATACAGTATTTATTTAGTACTCTCAGTGCTATATTATCTCAATCTAACATTGTTGGGCTAAGGGCAGGAGAGATGGCTCAGCTGTTAAGAAACTACTCTTCATTATGATCCAATCGTGAACAAAAAAGTTCTCTTCGTGGAACAGAAAAAAATACGCTCCCTCTAATCAATGGATTGAGAGTGAATTTGATTCATAAACGGGAAGATGGAGGTGAGGCCCTGGCTCAGAGACCTGCAGTGTGTACTGACGAAGAGGAACCGCCAGCATGGCCGCTGGTGAGGTGAAGGCCGCTGTGAAGGAACAGTGCCGTGAAAGAGTTCTTCACGGAGACCAGATAGTTCTCTCTCTGTAGTTTTTATAGGCGGTAATAAAAAAATGTCGAAACAAAAAAAAAAAAAAAAAAAAGAAACTACTCTTCCAGAGGACCCAGGCTTAGTGCCTAGCACACAGTAGTCACTCACAACAGGCTATAACTCCAGTCCCATGGGATACAATGCCGTCTTTTGCCTCTGAGGGCATTGCATGTATGTGGTGCACAGATATATACTCAGGCAAACACTCATACTCTTAAAATAAAAATAAATAAAATATAAAAAAATATAGGCTTGCAACTACCCTACATTGTTTCTTATTTACTTCACAGAAAGTAATTTTGAGAAAATACTTTAAGATACATTCTGTTCTATTTTCTGGGAGAGAGAGAGAGAGAGAGAGAGAGAGAGAGAGAGAGAGAGAGAGAGAGAGAGAGAGAGAGATTGATTGACTTGCTTTATAACTCATGATCCTCCTGTCACCCTCCCCCACAGAAAGTACTGGGATTCTAAGCATGTATCATCATGCCTGCTATTATCTATTTAAAGTCCTGTTAATCCACACATATGATTGTGTATATTTGTATGAAGTGAGTGAGGGAGTGTCATCATGCATGTGGACATCAGAGGACAACTTTGTGTCATAAGTTCTCCCTTTCTGCCTTTATGTGAGTCCTAAGGATCAAACTGGATTCCTGGCTTGCACAGGACTCACTTTACTCACTCAGCCTTCTCACTGGCCCTACTCTATATTATATACAGACATTTTTCCAACTACTGTGTTGACTAGCAGACTGGACTTCCTCACTTCATGCCTGCGAATTGATGAGGTTTCCTTTTTTTTTTGACAGGATCTCTCTACGTAACCCTGCCTATCCTGGAACTCACAATATAGATCAGGCTGTCTTTGAAATCACAGAGTTCTGAGTGCTGGGATTAAAGGCATACTCCAACATGCCCCACATTGATGAGGTTTCCTAATGAAAAAGAATAAGGCCGCCTCTATAACTTTCTCTCTAACTCTATCATTACTCCTTTCTTTCCTTAGGGTAAGTTTTCCCTGCTTTCTCTTTGTAGTTACTGAAAGTTAAAGGGAATGAAATATTTCACCCAAAAGGTAATGGGTGTTGAGTGGGGAGATGGCTTAGTAGGTAAAGTGCTTACTGTGCAAGTGTGAGGACCTGAGTTTGAATCCTCAGAACCCATGTAAAGCTGGACACAGTAGGGTGAACTCTGCTTCTACAGCAAGGTGCAAGGTGGAGATGGAGAATCCTGTAAGGTTGTGAGCTAGCTAGCCTGGGGTACACAGCACTGCAGCACGCAACAAAGACAAGGTGGGAGGTGAAAATTGACAACTGAGATTTCTGTGACCTCCATGACCATGCATGCACACATATACACACAAACACATGCACACCCACATCCACATACACTAATCAAGAAAGGGGAGTGGTACTTCCTGTGCTTGGTATTAATACTTCAAAATCATACCATGTTATTAAAATCTAAAGAGCTTATGCTTTGTCCCTGAGTTTATCCATTTATTAAATGTACATTATTTAAAACTTCACCTGCAACACACAGACCCAAGTGTCTTAGGGCTGGAAAAATGAGAATGAGAGAAGAAATGAAAATTTACGAACAATAATTATTTTCAACTGGAGAAGTTATGGAGTAGCCTTACTCTGTAGGTCACACTGACCTTTATACTGCACAAATGATAAGCAGCCTCTGCCAGAGTAGTCCACCATCTCAAACATTGACATGATGTCAGTAAAGAAAGGAAGTGTTCTTCAAGACTCTCAGCTGTTCCTAAAGAGAAATTAAAGTTTCTCTCTTTTTTTTTGCAAATAAATAGTTGAAATTCATTGTTGTATGAAATTAAACTGTGTCATAAGTAGAAATAGTCACTTAAGAGTTAGATGTCTATGTTCAAAGTACTGTGCCAGTCACTGCGGATTCAGTCTCCCATGAAACTCAACTACAGCATAGAACACTTATGTAACTGAACTCAGCAGTGCTCTACATCAGAGGGCTGAGTGTTACAGCATGGAGACTGGACCTGGGTTTTTTTTTTTTAGGTTCCCAGATCTAATTTTCAGACACAGATGGAAACCAGAAAGATGGGACAGCATGATGCAGGGAAGAAGCTAGCCAGCTAAGACACAGGGAACAGAGACAGTCTTAGACTCAGTTTTCTGACGAGGTAGCATGTTTATGTCTAACATAGAAGCAGTGCTCTGGATCAACAGGCTCTTCTATTGAACTGATTTTAAAAGCAGAAAATCCAATCTACTTTCCAAAAATAATGAGACAGTCATGGCAGAAGTCTATGATCTGTTTTAACAAGTTTTTCTAAAATTTTTATCTTGACACTCATATTAATCAACTTTTTTAATGATAAGACAAAAATGATCAAACATAATATTTATAATTGACATTATATAAATCCCATCTACATTAATTATCCTCTCACTTAAGTGTTCCATTTTTCAGACTGTCTAATTTTTTATCAAACAGAGACCAAACACCCTCCATTGTAAAAATGTTTACCATTTTTTGATGTGGGAAAAAACTTTCTTTTAACTAATTCCTGTCCTTAACAAATCCCAGTTGACTCACCAGATCTGCCGACAATAAGATTCAGATGATGGTGTGGCAGCAGCCCGAGGTGGGGTGGCCCAGAGAAAGCCAAAACCCACTGGGAGAGGAAAGAAGTGAAAAATCCAGCCATCTGCACAGGGAACACAAGAAAGTGGCTAACTCCTATGGTTTTTGGAGCCCAGAAACCTATGGAGTTTGCTTCAGAGAGGCTACAATAAATACCTTAGCCAGTGGATTAAGGACTCCAGCTCACGTGGGGTTGAGACTCTGGCCGTATGCCGCTTGGACCCGAGCCAGGGTCTGCAAAGCAAGCATCTTTTTCATGAATTCATGCCCCACAAATTGGACGCCGGATGTTGTTCGAATCTTAGATGGTCTTTTAATAAAAAATCAGAGCCACATATCAGGGTGAAAGCGGAAAGATGAAGCAGAATAGCCAGCTACTAGTTCTTACCTCTGTGAAATTCTCAGTCTAAAGAGAGTGAGTTCCTGTTTCCTCATGCCTTATGTACCTTTCTGTGCCCGACATCACTTCCTAGGATTAAAGACATGTATGCTTCCCAAGCAAAGGCATGAGATCTCAAGTCCTGGGAATAAGGGTGTGTGCTACCAGTGCCTGACCACTATGTCTAATCTAGTGGCTGGCTCTGTCCTCTGATCCTCAGGCAAGCTTTATTAGGGTACACAATATATCACCACAACACGTACACACGCACCTTTTAACAAACAATGCACTCAGCAACCTGGGAACTCCACCTGCATTGAGCTGCATATTCACCTCTCTCCAAACAGGCAGTTGGGTCAAGTTCCATTGCCTTGATAACTCCCCCTTTGTGGCCAAATACATTCTGAAACTAGGTGTAGTCTGATCCCAGGACTCCATAACAGAAGGAGAGAAAAGAAACCTCAAGCTGCCTTCTAGGCTTCACACACTTGCATATATGTATGCACTGAATAAATGAATGAATATATATAATTTTAAAGTGAAGAGAGAATCAGAAAACTACTTACATTGTAGATTACCCTTAGCAAACAACTCCTACTTTTGGAATGGAAAAGAAACCTTAGGAAGCAATCAGTGACTCTTGAGTGACTCTCACTCAGAGCCCAATGCTCTCTGGTGGTCTATCTGGCCTGTACTCTGTTTGCTTCTCAATAAAATCTTTAGCTTCTTTCTATTTTGTGTGCTTCTTCAATACTTTGGACAAGATGCTAAGAATCTGGATACACCAGTGTAGAGAGAGACCCCTGACAACATATGAGTTAATATTAGACCAAGAAGACTGAGAGCTAGGGTCACAGTGTTAAATACTGAGAGGAACTATACATGTGGAGTTACACACACACACACACACACACACACACACACACACACACATATTTGGGTGAATTAGTGATACATAGAAAACTGAGCAAATAGTATTAAGTTTAGAGGAAAAAATACCAAAGGAAATGTAATCAAAACATTATATACCTATATCTATAGATAGATAGATAGACAGACAGACAGATAGATACACTAGCTGTAGACATTTGTGTAAAATAGCATTGACAGTTCTGAACGTTGGCTGTACTAAATTTGTGTTTTAAATTTAATGGTAAGGAGAGATAAGTCAGTGGTTAAGAGCACTTGTTTTTCTTGCAGAGGATCTAGTTCAGGTCCCAGCATGCATATGGTGCCTCATAACCACAAGTTATTCCAGTTTTCGAGTTCCAGGATATCTGACACTCTCTTCTGACCTCAGGCACCAGGTACACCCATGATGCACAGACATATATGCAGGCAAAAAAAACTTTATATATTTAAATAAAAATTTAAAATAAAAATAATTCAAAAGACTTTTCTCATCCCCTAGGTGGTCTTACTAGTTTTCGTTATTTCCTGAGTTGGAATGGTATTTCTGTTTCTTTCCTTAGAAGGAAATGGACATTTTGGAATTTTGCACACATTATGAAGGTTAGCAGGCCCAATCGCCCTGGGAGGATGCAATGCCATTTTCATCTCCACATGACTTCTTACCATACACCAACAAAAAATTATGAAATAACCCAAACTTTGAAATGGTATGTCTAAAGTATGAGAATATCAGGAAAATCTGGCTCCCCAGGAGGATCCCAGCAGCTCATGGTGTCAGATGTTTAGCTTCCTTACTAAATTAGAGACTCCTTGGAATTGAAAAGCCCTGTTGCTTGCCTAGCCAAGGCTGGTTTAGCTGTAATTCATTTGATCTTCATTATGTTCCCATGAGCTTCTGTACTATTGTTTCCAGTTTCCAGTGGAAGAGACTGACACTCATTACTAAGGGGTAGACCTGGAGCTAGACAGTCCCCAGATTCTGCTACCCTCTGAGTCCTCTCCTAGTCTTCCTGCCACACCAAGGTAGAGGCAGGTACCAAGAGGCTATTTCTCATGTTTGATTTTGGGGAGGATGTCAATATTTTTCAGCAGAGTACCTTGGCAGGTCAGAGCCAAGGAATGCCACAAAGTCATCATGCAACAGATTTCACACAAGAGATTTAGTGAGGGAGAGGGAGTGAAAGGCTACCTCAGACCAGGGACAAGAGAGAAAGGGGTGGGGAGAGAGAGAGAGAGAGAGAGAGAGAGAGAGAGAGAGACAGACAGACAGACAGACAGACAGACAGACAGACACAGAGAGAGACAGACACAGATACACAGAGACAGAGAGAAAGGGTCCCTGATGGCAGGGACCTTTTAAACAGGTATAGCGTGTGTGCACTATAGGGAGAATATTTGGTGGCTGTGACCTCTGGTGCTGGGTGACTGAAGGCAGGCTGGGTGGTCCTTGGTTTACTAACATTCCTCCTCTTATATATCATAAAATGCGAGGAAATAGGAATGTGTGACTGGTGAGGCAGGAATGGTGATGTCATGCTCTTTAGACTGCTTTCTGTTGTCTGGGGGCATTGATATTTTCGTATTGCTGCCTTGAGGACCAGTCTCCAGAGCTCAGGGCTTGAGTTGGTGGACCTCTGAGTTTTCTATTTGAGGGAACAAAACTTAATTCTCTGAGGCTGTCGAGAGAGGGAAAACACACACACACACACACACACACACACACACACACACACACACACACACACACACACACACTATTATGGTCTCTATGATCTTGTCTTAGTTCTTTATTTAATTTCTTTTTTAAATTTCTTTAAATTATTTTCATTTTACTTACCAACCACCATTCCTCCTCCCATTCCTCCTCCTGCTACCTGCCCCTTCCACCTTGCCCCAGCCCCCCTATCTACTCCTCTAAAAGGGTAAGACTTTCCATGGGAGTCAACAAAGCCTGGTACATTCAGTTGAGGCAGGATTAAGCACACACTCCACCCCCCGCACGCATCAAGGCTGAGCAAGGCATTCCACCATAGGGAATGGGATCCAGAAAGCCAGCTCATGCACCAGAGATAGATCCTGGTCACACTTCCAGGGGTCCCTCAAACAGACCAAGCTACAGAACTGTATCCCACATGCAGAGGGCCTAGTTGGTCCCATGGAGGCTCCACAGCTGTCAGTTTAGAGTTCTTGAGTTCCCACAAGCTTGGTTCAGTTGTCTCTGTAGACTTCCCCATCAAGATCTCGAGCCCCACCCCCCTGCTCATATAATCCCTTCTCTCTCTTTTCGACTAGACTCCTGGAGCTCAGCCTGGTGCCTGGCTGTGGATCTCTGCATCTGCTTCCATCAGTTACTGGATAAAGGCTCTATGGTGACAGCGTATTCACCAATCTGATTACAGGGGAAGGCCAGTCCTATCATCCTCTCCACTATTTATAGGAGTCTTAGCTGGGGTCATCTTTGTGGATTCCTGGGAATTTCCCTAGCACCAGGTTTCTCTCTAACCTCATAATGGCTCCCTCTATCAAGATATCACTTTCATTGCTCTCCCTATCCATCTTTCCCCCAACTCAGCCATCCCAATCACTCATTTTCCCATCCCCTACATTCTCCCCTCTACCCTTTACCCACTCCTGCACCCAATTTATCCAGGAGACCTCATCGATTTTCTATTTCCAGAGTGACCCATGCATCCCTTTTAGTGTCCTACTTGTTAACTAGCTTTTCTGGAGCTGTGGGTTATAGTCTGGTTATTCTTTCCTTTACACCTAGTATTCACTTATGAGAGAGTACATACCATGTTTGTCTTTCTGAGTCTGGGTTACCTCACAGGATGATATTTTCTAGTTCCATCCATTTGCCTGCAAATTTCATGATGTCATTGTTTTTTACAACTGAGTAATATTCCATTGTGTAAATGTACTATGTTTTTTTTATCCATTCTTTGGTTGAGGGTCATCTAGGTTGTTTCCAGGTTCTGGCTACTATGAAAAATACTGTGGTATCATTGAGCATTCCTTGGGTATATGCCCAAGAGTAGTATCATCAGGTGTAGCACGAATCTTGTTTTTTTTTAAAATTTTTTTTATCCATTTATTTTTTTTCTTAAGAAATTTTAAAATTTATTTTACATACCAATCACAGATCCCCCTCTTACCTCCTCCCGTCCCTCCCACCCCCATTCCCTCCTACAACAAGGTAAGGCCTCCCATGGGGAGTCAGCAGAACCTGGTACATTCAGTAGAGGCAGGTTTAAGCCCCTTCCCCTGCCTCAAGGCTGATGTAACATGAATCTTAAAAGGTCTTATAATAAAAAACCCAGAGCCAGATATTGGGATGAAAGCTGAAAGATCAGAGAAGCAGAGCAAGCCACAACTAAGCTCACCTCACCAACTCTTCAGCCAATCCTGTTTCCTCAGACTGTAAGTCTCCGAGTCCACACTTGATCTCAGCTGAACTGCTTTAGATCCTGTTTCCTAACACCTTATACAACTTTCTCCACCCTGCCATTACTTCCTGTGTGCTTCCAAGTCCTGGGATTAAAGGTGTCACTGCCTGGCTCTGTTTCCAGTGTGGCCTTGAACTCACAGAGAACCAGAGTGACAGGATTAAGGGTGTGTACCACCACTATCTGGCCTCTGTGTCTAGTCTAGTGGCTGGTTCTATCCTCTGATCCTCAAGGCAAGGTTTATTAGGGTACACAATATATCACCACAATTGGGTCTTGAGGTAGATTGATTCCCAATTTTCTGAGAAACTGCCATACTGATTTCTAAAGTGGCTATACAAGTTTGCATTCCCACCAACAGTGGAGGAGTGTTCCCTTGCTCCACATCCTCTCCAATGTAAGCTATCCTGAGTGTTTTTGATCTTAGCCATTCTGACAGGTGTTAAGATGATATCTCAGAGTCATTTTGATTTGCATTTCCCTGATGACTGAGGATGGTGAGTAATTCCGTAAATGTCTTTCAGCCATTTGGGATTCTTCTGTTGAGAATTCTCTGTTTAGATCTGTACCCCATTTTGTAATCAGATTATTTGGTATTTTGATGTCTAATTTGTTGAGCTCTTTATATAATTTGGAGAACAGCCCTCTGTCAGATGTGGGGCTGGTGAAGATCTTTTCCCATTCTGTAGCCTGTTGTTTTGTCTTATTTACTGTGCCCTCTGCCTTACAAAAGCTTCTCAGTTTCAAGAGGTCCCATTTATTGTTGTTTTCAGTGTCTGTGCTACTGGTGTTATATTTAGGAAGTGGTCTCCTGTGCCAATGCATTCTAGGCTACTTCCTACTTTCTCCTCTATTAGGTTCAGTATAGCTGGATTTATGTTGAGGTCTTTGATCCATTTAGCTTTGAGTTTTGTGCATGGTGACAGATATGGATCTATTTACAATCTTCTACCTGTTGACATCCAGTTATGCCAGCACCATTTGTTGAAGATGCTTTCCTTTTTCCATTGTACATTTTAAGCTTCTTTTTCAAAAATCAGGTGTTCATAGGTGTGTGGGTTAATGTCAGAGTCTTCAATTTGATTCCATTGATCCACGTGTCAGTTTTTATGCCAATATCAAGCTGTTTTTATTATTATAGCTCTATAGTAGAGCTTGAAATCAGGGATAGTGATGCCTCCAGAAATTCCTTTATTGTATAGGATTGTTTTAGCTATCCTGGGTTTTTTATTTTTCCATATGATGTTGAGTATTGTTCTTTTGTGGACTGTGAAGAATTGGGTTGGGATTTTTATTGGGATTGCATTGAATCTCTAGATTGCTTTTCGTAAGATTGCCATTTTTATTATGTTGACCCTACCTATCCATGAACATGGTAGATCTTTCTATTTTCTGATATCTTCTTCAATTTCTTTCTTTAAAGACTTAAAATTCTTGCCATACAGGTCTTTCACTTGCTTAGTTAGAGTTACCCCAAGGTATTTTATATTATTTGTGGCTATTGTAAAGGATGATGTTTCCCTGATTTTTTTCTTACCTATTTATCATTTTTTTTTTTGGAGCTGAGGACTGAACCCAGGGCCTTATGCTTGCTAGGCAAGTGCTCTACAACTGAGCTTAATCTCCAATCTCTTATCATTTATATATAGGTAGGCTACTGCTTTTTTTGAGTTAATCTTGTATCCCACCAGTTACTGAAGGTGCTTATCAGCTGTAGGAGTTCCCTGGTAGGATTTATAGGGTCACTTATGTATACTATTATATCATCTGCAAATAGTGAAAGTTTGACTTCTTCCTTTCCAATTTGTATCCCTTTGATCTCCTTTTGTTGTCTTATTGCTCTAGCTAGAACTTCAAGTACTATATTGAATATGTATAGAGCAGTAGCCTCTAATATCTAGTATAAGATGATACTTCCTGAATTAATTTTGATATTGCATGTCTTGAAATTATCCTATTTATTCTAGATTTTCCAGTTTATTATATATAATAAACTTTCAAAACATCTCAAAGTCATTCTTAGTATTTCATTACTGTATATTGTATTTTTCCTCTTTTCAATCTCAATAAATGATGGAAATAATAAAGCAGATAGAATAATTTAAAATATGGACATAAAAAGATAATGAGAAATACCCCAAGAGGACAGTAAGAAAAATGAAGTAACATTTGAGATATACATGGAATATTTTCTTAAAATTTTTTTTTAAATTCATTTTGCATTCCACATACACATTCCCCTCTCATCCCTCTTCCCACTCCCCCTTCCACCTGTCTACCTCCATCTCTTCCTCCAAAAGGGCAAGGCCTCCCATGAGGAGTCAGCAAACCCTGGTACATTCAGTTGAGACAGGACCAAGTCCTTCCCTACTGCATCATGCCTGAACAAGGCATCCCACCATATATAATGGGCTCCAAAAAGCCAGCTCATGCACCAAGTATAGATCCTGATCCCACTGCCAGGGACCTCTGAAACAGACCAAGCTACACAATGTAGTCAGAAGTTTTCCTGTGTCCTGCCCAGTCCCACAGCCACTCAGACCCAAGTAAACACACAGAGGCGTATATTACTTATAAACTGTATGGCCTAATGACTCAGGCTTCTCACTAGCTAGCTCTTATAACTCAACCCATTTCTATTCATCTATAAGTTGCCGTATGACTGTGGCATTACTGGTCTGCTGGCATCTTGCTATTCCTTAGGTTGTAGCTACCATCTCTCTCTGCCTCTGCCTTTCTTCTTCCCGTCTCTTCTTGGATTTTCCACCTGCCTCTAAGCTTCCTTACAATAGGCCAAAACAACCCTATTTATTAGCCAATGGGAGCAACACATATTCACAGTGTACAGAAAGATATCCCACAGCAAGACAATTGTCTCCCGTATTCATAGGGTCTAGTCTGATCCTATACAGGTTCCACAGTTGTTGGTCTAAAGTTCCTGTGAGCTTGTGCTGTGGATATCATTCTGTATAAATAAAACACTGATTGTCCAGTGGCCAGGCAGGAAGTATAGGTGGGACTAACAGAGAGGAGAAAGGAGAGAACAGGAAAGTGGAGAGAGACACTGCTAACCGCCGCCATGACAAGCAGCATGTGAAGATGCCGGTAAGCCACGAGCCACATGGCAAGGTATAGATTTATAGAAATGGATAAATTTAAGATGTAAGAACTAGTTAGCTAGAAGCCTGAGCCATTAGGCCAAACAGTTTAAATAATATAAGAGTCTGTGTGTTTATAAGTGGGCTGTCAGACTTCCGGGGCTTGGCGGGAGCTGGAGAGAAATTCTCCAGCCACAAGCTTGGTTCAGTTGTCTCTGTAGATTTCCCCATCATGATCTTGATCCACCCTCCCCCGCTCATATAATCCCTCTTACCACTCTTTGACTGGAATCATGGAGCTCGAGCTTAGCCTGGTGCTTGACTGTGAAACTCTGCATCTACTTCCATCAGTTACTGGATGAAGGCTCTATGATGACTGTTAGGGTATTCCCCAATCTGATTACTGGGGTAGGCTAGTTCAGGCACCCTCTCCATTATTGCCAGTAGTCTAAGATGTGGTCATCCTTATGGATTCCTGGGAACTTACATGGAATATTTTCATCATAAATAAAAAGGATAGAAGAATGTAAATCAATCCTTATCTTTTAAACACACACAGATACTCAAGAAAATATTTAATTGGAAATTTAAAATTTTCTAGAGGCACATAAGGAAAACAGTCATTAAAGTCTCCCAACAACAACAACAAAAAAAGCCTAGGACCCGATGGTTTCAGCGCAGAATTCTACCAGATCTTCAAAGAAGAGATAATACTAATACTCTTTAAATTGTTCCACACAATAGAAACAGAAGGAATGTTACCAAACTCCTTCTATGAGGCTACAATTACCCTGATTCCCAAGCCAAACAAAGATGCAACAAAGAAAGAGAACTACAGACCACTCTCCCTCATGAACATTGATGCAAAAATATTCAATAAAATATTGGCAAACAGACTCCAAAAACACATCAAAACAATTATCCACTATGATCCCAGGGATGCAAGGATGGTTCAACATATGAAAGTCTGTCAATGTAATACACCATATAAACAAACTGAAAGAAAAAAAACCACATGATCATCTCACTAGATGCTGAAAAGGCCTTTGATAAAATCCAACACCCCTTCATGATAAAGGTCACGGAGAGATCAGGAACACAGGAACATACCTAATCATAATAAAGGCAATTTAGAGCAAGCCAACAGCCAACAGTCAACACCAAAGTAAATAGTTCAGATTATAATCTTAGCAAAGGTCGTTTTGAAAGACCATGCAACATGCTAGAAATAATACTAGGATTTGGTGTATTTGATTTTTTTTTCTTTTCTTTCCTTCCTCCTTCTTCTCCTCCTCCTCCTCCTCCTCCTCCTCCTCCTCCTCCTCCTCCTCCTCTTCTTCTTCTTCTTCTTCTTCTTCTTCTTCTTCTTCTTCTTCTTCTTCTTCTTCTTCTTCTTCTTCTTCAAGATTTATTATTACATATACAGTGTTCTGCCTGCATGTATCCCTGCAGGCCAGAAGAGGGCACTAGATCTCATTACAGATGGTTGTGAGCCACCATGTGGTTGCTGGGAATTGAACTCAGGACCTCTGGAAGAGCAGACAGTGCTCTTAATCACTGAGGCAAAACCAAACCAAAACAAAACAACAAACAAATCACCGAGCCATCTCTCCAGCCTGTATTTAATTTCTTGAAACCTGAAATCTTCTGCATTGTTATTCTATATTTTTGGACTATTTGGATGACAGTGTCTCCATAATCTTTGTTTGGCAGCTTTTGTTGGTGGTGTTTAGAAAAGTTATTGATTTTTGTAAGTTGATTCTGTATCCTGACAGTTTTCTGAAATTGTTGAGTAGTTGTATAAATTTTCAGGTAAAAATTTTAAAAACTCTTACATATAATATCAGACCATCTGCAAATAGAGATTGTTTGACTTTCTCCTTTCCTATTTGTATTCCTATTGCCTTATCACTCCACTAGTGCTTAATATAAGATATTGAAAAGTAGTAAGGATAGTGTACAGCTCTATGTCATTCCTAATTTAATTGGGATTGTTCCAAGATTTTGTCTAATTAAGCAAATGATGGATGTAGTGTTGTTGTCTATAAACTTTAGTATGCTGAAGTATATTTCCTCCAGCTTTACTTTCCATAGTACATTTAATATAAAAGCATGTTGGATTTTGCCAGTCTTTTTCTGCTTCTATTTAGATAATTGTGTGAATTTTGTCTTTAGTCTCTTTGTATGATATATTTTTTTCCAGAGTTGAAAACAGTTTTACAGACCTCAAAATTTGTTAGCTACAATATAGAGAAAATATCCAGCATTGAGAAAACCCTGAATCCAGAATTGTGCAGATGTAGAAATGAAACAGAATAAAATGTGACAACATAAAAATGTGATAGTTGTACTGGGTGGTGGTACACACACCTTTAATCCCAGCACTCGGGAGGCAGAGGCAGGCAGATCTCTGTGAGTTCAAGGCCAGCCTGGTCTACAGAGCGAGATCCAGGACAGGCACTAACACTACAGAGAGAAACCCTGTCTTGAAAAAAAAAATGTCACAGTTGGGAGATCACTTACTTTGTAGTTATGACTTTAGAAGGCATACTCCTTTTAATAGAATAAGGTATGTGAAGCAGTATTTGAAGGAGTTACTAAATTGCTATGTGAAGAGACCTCCCAGGATGAGGGACATAGAGATTAGATCCCCTTTTATACATGTGTGAGGAAATATATACTGATGTAAGAAACATTGGGAAACATTAAGAAAGACATTTTCTTGAAATCTCTTAATACTCAATTTCTAAATGTGGTTTCAATTGTGTTTGTAAGGGGAATCCTTGGTGCACCAGGTGTCAACAGTCAGAAGGATGGATATTTATCATGGAAGCGTGTAGAGAGTGCCATATCTCTCGACTTCTAACATTGCAGACAGTGGAAAGATAAATACTATCACTTCCATTTTAAAATAGTAAATCACTCACTAGCAAAATACAAAATAAATTTTGGTGATTTGCAAAGTAGTGTCTTTAAGAAGACAAAAGGTACATGCAGTGTCTGCCCTGTACTATCAAAACTCACAGAAATTATTAAAGATAATAGCCAAAGAGAAAAGAAAAACGACAAGTACTTCTTATCCAGAAATTTATTAAAATAAATTTTCTCACTGGTTTTGGGGCAAGGACAATCATGAATATACAATCTTCATCCAGATTCTTAGTGTCATTTATTCTCCAAAAGCACTTGATGTCAGTCAAATTACACAAGAAGACAGGAAGATTCAAGACCAAGATGACAAAAATAAAATGCACACCTCATCCATGTTTGCTCAGATTTGGGACTGAACAATGGTGGTATGGGTCAAGAGTATTCAGACATATTATATATCTCATTTGCATGCAAGCATGTATGTAGTGGTATTTGCTCTGCCCATGACCTTCGGCTATAGGGCCTGAAAGAGGTGGTGTTTCCTGCCATTGTACATGACCTCTTAAGAGAAAAGGGAGAAGAGTCACATGCCCTTTCTCCATGCTGCCTGCCTGTGAAGTGTATTTGCTCCTGGTCAGATCAGAGTATGACTTCAGCTGTCTACTCCATTCTGTATTCATGAGTGTATTTCTTCACTTTACCTTAATAAATTTCCCTAATACTTCTTAAACAGACTCCTCTGGATTTATTGCTTATTTGGTGCCCAACATGGGGCAAGAACCCCACGACCCATTCTCTACGGACTGAGATAGCTGGGAAATGTGCTGTGGGATGTCTTTCTGTATGCTGTGAATATGTGTTGCTCTGATTGGTTGATAAATAAAGCTGCATTTGCCTATGGCTTGGCAGGATAAGGTTATTTAGTACATTTGAACTGAAGAAAAGATGAAGAAGATGGAGGAGACACCAGCCTGCCACCAAAGGAACAAGATGCCAAAAGACCAGTAATGCCACAGCCACATGGCAACATATGGATTAATAGAAATA